GGAGGTGGGTCATCCATCTTCATTGTCAGCCTGTGGCTTTTATACACATTCAAACAAGTGCAGCGGTGCAGAAATTCACACACAAATTCACAAACTCTCCTCTCCTCTCTCTGTCTTGTCAGGAGGCCTCCCCTGGCTGTGTACAGGTCTATTTTCTTCCACTGACATGTCCTCACTTCTGCAGCAGCACTGTACCCTTCTGCCAATTTTAGCGCACAAACACACATAAATCCTCACACGCTCACATGTGCAAACACATGAAAACATACACACAGGCATCTACACACAGCCTGTCAACTCCCCTGCTGCAGCTAACAGATGACAGGAAGCCTGGGGATGAAGAAAGATAGTCTGAGTGCTGTGGAAGTAGAGGGCAGACATACATGCTTGTTTAGACAGCATCCAGATGTGGGATGTGCGTTTAATGTGCACAGCAGCCGGGAGATACTGTGTGACAGAAAAGTGAAGCGGGTGCATTATTAATCGCACATGCAGAGGAAGTGTAAAACATGAGGACACAAGAGGAGATTTTCTCTTTTTCTTGTATATTTTGTCAAATACAACCTGCTTAAACACCGTATTTTGGCTCTGGAGTAAATCATCTTATGCAACAGTCTTTGTATGTTCCCCCTCAAAAACATACACCCCTCACACATCACTGTCTTGGCCTACTTTACCATGAATATGCTCGCTTGAGGGCAGATGCATTTCTCCCTAGAGTGAGTTAAAGAGCTTTTAGTGGACAGAGAGTGACAGCTTCAACGTCTGGTCCTGAAGAATAAAAGGGGCTGAATAAAGGACAAATACAGAAGTGAGAACTGTAAACACTCAACTGTTCAGCGCTGGTTTAAAATCTTTTTTTTTTTTTTTTAGCTTCTTTATTAACTTACAACTACTTTATTCTGCATGATCACCATATGCTGGGTGAGGAGTTTTCCAACTGTTCAGTCCAATAGTAAAGGTTGTCCATGCAACAGTGTAAAACTGTCTGTGTTAATGTGTAAAGTTGATGCAGTTACTCCAAGTGGCTGTGACTTTTCCCCAGCTAAAGATGGAAATCATATAAAACCATATTAAGGAATACAAAGTCTATTTTAGATGGTGGTTAGCAGATGGATGGTTAAATACTATGCACTTGACTAAGGGCTTTTAGGGTTAAAACATCATTTACTGAAAGATAAAGACCCCAAACCAATGCACTGTTACCTTTTTTTTTCTCAAGTTGCATGTTTAAAAAAAATAAATAAATAATAATATGTTATTTTGCACTTTTTAAGACAGGACTACAAAGTGCTTTGCAAAAGAAAAGAAAAGAAAAAAAGAAAAATGAGGTAATATTTTTTAAAAATATATATACTGGTGATGTAATAACAGATGACATGAAAAATAGATAAACAATTTGATACAGAGATTTGAGAAATGTTAAAATGGCAGAAATGGCTTAAAATAATAATAATAATAATAAAAATGATAATTATAAAATAATGAAATAAAATAAAAAATAAAATAAAAAAAAAGATTTATGCCACCACCATGGACCACCATAAAACAAGTTAGAAAAAAAATCCTACTAAAACGACTTAAAGGACTGAAAGGACCTAAAAAGACTACAAACTTCTCTTAAAGGAAATTAAACCGTCTTTAAAAAATGAGAAAACATAAAACAATTTAAACTCAGATGGAATTGATAAATTGATAAAAAGCTTAAGATGCTGCCAGTGGAACTGCTAAACAGAGGAATAAATGCAGCATCTAAAGCATTAAAACACACTAATTGAAAAGCACATTCATAAAGATGTGTTTTTAAAAAAAGATTTTAAAGCCAACAATATAGAGGGTGCTGATCCTGATCCCCCAAGGGAGGCTGTTCAAGAGGACTTATATGATCTCTTTTTAGTTGAGGAGCCGGGCTGCTGCATTTTGCACCAGTAACCCTGGGTTGATGGCAAATAACCTTACTCTTGTGTCTTTGAAAAGCATAATCACTTTAAAAGCCCCCAGACAAAATAATCAGCTCTTATAGAGTCAAAACAGAATTAAATATCTCCTAAGAGCCTTGGGTTTCTGACTTCTGAGCAAAGCAACCAGGCGCCGACAGATTGATCTCATCACAAAAATTGACATAAAGGAAAGTTACAAAGAAAATTACACTTATAGTACAAAACTAGGGAAGAGCTAAACAAGGAAAAACTCATCATGATAGCAAGCTTTTGGTTGAATCTCACTTCACTGCATTGAAGTGACATTGGAACAGTGGCGGCTGCTGGTCTTTCAAGGAGGGGAAGCTCATTTTTCTGGCCTACATCATAATTGTATTTGTTTATTAGTATGTAACAGAACAGAGTCGCCAAACACAACGGCAGTCGTTTTTAACAGACAAAAGTCGCTGAGGATCGGTAAAGTCTCTGGAGCAGTTAAGAACAACGGAATGAATAACTTGGAAAACGCTCTGGTAGATGTTTTATTCTTCAAGATCGCTGATTCGCTTGTTTAGCTGTCAATCAAAAAAGGATTTCACTTCAGACAGCTCATCCAATCATGGATGCAGAAGCTCGGAGTCCGGGAGAAAGTCGGGACCGCCCTCTCGCCATAGAACTCCAGTGAAGCTGAGCTTCCGATGGGCGGGACAAAGCCCAGCATTTATCCAATGAGCGTCTAGTTTCGCTGCTGGAACAACCCACTTTGAGCTTCCACATTGAAGTCAGCAGAAGTCCAGCGTCCGGCTGTTTAAAGCGCTGAGGCGCTGCGAGGATGAATGAGAACGAAGTTATGCCGGTTATCTGTGATTATCAGCTTCTTATCACAGTGTCTGAACAAAAGATGAAGGCTTTCTAGTGCGTATTTAGTTAATGAAATGTACACACAGCCGTACGTATTTCACCACTTTGTCTTTTTTTTGGGGGGGTGACATTTTAAGGGAAGCCGAGCTTCCCTTGCAGTCTTACAGCAATCGCCACTGCATTGGAAACATCACAAAACAAGTTTCTGAATTTAAAAAATCTCGTGAACACCAGTGTAAGTGTTTAAGTTGGAACAGTAACTCAGAAACTCAAGGAAGTGCTGACTTAACGTATTTATTACCATCATGTTTCATTGATGGAAAGAAACCTTTTGTGATTTGATACGTTGCACATTGGCTTTTTGTTTGAATGTATTTTGTGGGACGGTATGGCGTAATGTTGACCGCACAGACTCATCAGAAAAGCCACTTATTAGCATTATTATGATATTTAACTGTTAGTTAGCCTACAATTCAGACCAGCATTAATATGTATGAAGTAAAATTTAAACTCTCTGTATTTTACACAAATTGTCTTTCTAGTGTCCATGTTTTTTGTTATTGCAACAAATCTTATTATCGCAAGAAACTTAGTATTTAGTGGACATCATTGAGTTTTGGAAACAATATTAGACAAACTGCTCACCTTATTGACACCCAAGTCCTGTTAAACATGCATTTAATTTAACCTGAAATAAAAATCTTGTCTACTCATTTTTATTGGTCCATCTACTATTGATGCTGATGCTGTTTTTTAAATGCTTTGAATTGATCCACATGTCTTTTGACATCTTTTTGAGCTCTAAACAAATTAAGCTAAAAATAAGAATAAATGTGAGTGTCTTTATGCATTAGTGATGGACACGGCAGTTCTTTTAGATGTACTGAATCACTAGAATCAGTTCACTAAAAAGATTCGTCAAAAAATTCATTCCCCGAATGACCAAATCATTCAGCGTTTGGCAGGAGAAGCCTGTGACTCCAACCTCCTGAACTGATACACAGCTGAATGTTTCAGGACTCAGTTCAGATCATAGCTTCTGGGACCGGGAGACGAGAGTGTTTGGCTGTGTTCCTTTGGCAAACAGGTTTGTAAAAATGAACTTGTTTATAAGTGATGATGTTTTACGTGTACTGTCCAATGGTATGCTATTAATCAGGTCTGCTCGGTTAATTGGGCTCAGTGAGTGACTCGTTCACTGAACATTTAGAAGAATTCACACTGAACATGCACCATTGCCTTGCAAACCCCTGCAATGATAGGATGCTGTGAGTTTTATGCACTACTTGTTACATGCTGTGTCCTATTGTATGCAAGTTGTTGTGTTGTGGTGGCAATTTCGCGTTAAAATAAAAAAAGGGTTGGTTTTGTCTGACAAAAGTCATTCCAAAGTGTAGTTCAATGCGTGAATTGTTTATCAAGTGATTCAGGTGTCGATGCATGCAATCTCTTGTCCGCCGGCTGCTCGCCTGGCAATGCAGCGTGCAATAACAGCTTCTCTGCTGACAGCTCAGCTGAAGTAAGGAACGAACGAATCACTTGAGGAAGTGATTCGGTTCAGTACATTCACTTAAAAGATTCGGTTCTTTTGAACGAATCGTTCCCGAACAACACAACACTAGTATGCATGCACCTCATGGCCTCCTTTCATAAGCCAGTGCTTGAGTTGGGCCACCCCAGTTGAAAAAGGTTAAACTCATCCCTGGCTGTGTGTCAGTTTTGTCTCAGGCTTCCCAGCTTTTCGATGTGATGTTCATTTGAAGATGACACATGAGATGAATGCCTACATGTTTTGTTTTGTTTTGTTTTAAATGTAAAAAAGATTAATTATTCTAGATCAGGTGCACTGACTCCTCTGTCAGACACATGTTGCAGTATGCTGTCTTGATGGATTACTCAACATCACTGCATTAAGTGCAAACTGAAAAGTAGCTTCATTTTTACAAAGCTGGAGCATTTAATTTTCTACCTTTTTCATGTCTTCAATTTCAGACTGGCCCATGGTTCAAGTCCTAATCCACAGTATATCTGACTCCATGTATATGTTAGGGTGGCGTTACCATGAACAGGCTCTTTTTCTTTCCAGACATGATGGGAAACGTGTTGGTCTTATTTCAGATTCAAGGTGAACACATGCGGGAACGCGCTTTGATACAAATTTCCTCCTCCTGCTGCTGCTCCTGTGAACGCTCACGTGAACGCGCTCCATCGCTGTCATCAGTACAACATCAGCATCTTCCGGAGGGCGCGCGCAGAGAAACGGGAGGAGGAGGACAGAGAAAACGAGAGAGGGGGAGAGAGAGGGAGAGGAGACACATTGGATAAAGGCTACGACAAAAACCGTGATGATAATGGAGGCGAGGCGGTGGAGGATGTCGGATTCACGAGAAAGGACAGTTGAAATCTGACTGAGGGTTCGTGTTCAGACATTTTCCTCGATTTTTTTCTTTTTTTATTCATTCATTTTGATCCCACATGCTGCGTGGACTCTAAAGGCGAGCAGAGGAGGAGTAGGGGAGCACCCCACGGATGCCTCGGAAGGTAAAAACGGGGTCCACCGCTGGCGCTACAGGCAACAAGAAGACGCATCTCAGCTCACGGATGCTAATAACTGACATGCTGAAGAAAGACTGTGGACTGATGGTTGAGGATGAAAAACAGCTTTAACCCACCTCCACCCGAGCACTGTGAAATAAAGAAAACCCTGTTTTGATGGATTTTTTACATCATTCATGGTGTAGCCCCAAGGAAACGCGCCTTAGACAGCAATGTTGAATCACTGGTCTTGGTAAATTATTCATTAGTGGTGTAGGTAGGCTATGATTTTTTTTTGTATTGCTTCAATGTAGCATTTTCTCTCATTCATTTTTACAATGTGTAGTCTTGTGAAACCACATACATATTTGCAGGTGACATTTTTTTACCGTGTGGTTATGTAGGCCCATTTATTAGCCTTTAATAAGAAACAGCCAAAGCTGGAGAAAGAAAGCTTTGATTCAGAACTCAAAAAGATCACTTCAGTGAAGGGTTGTGGGATTTTTTTTAAAGATTTTTTCCCTATGAGAATCTAGAAAAAGAAAAGAAAAGAACGTGGGTGGGAAAAGAGATACGAGAAGAAAATAACTAGATATAAAAAAGACAAAAAAAATAAAATAAAAATAACACCAAACATGTTGCCTTCCCAAGAAGCCTCCAAGATTTACCATGACAATTACATGCGCAACTCCCGGGCCATCGGGGTGCTGTGGGCCATCTTCACCATCTGCTTCGCCATCGTCAACGTGGTGGTGTTCATCCAGCCCTACTGGATCGGCGACAGCGTCAACACGCCGCAGGCCGGCTACTTCGGCCTCTTCCACTACTGCGTGGGCACCGGGCCGTCGCCCAGCCGGGAGCTCACCTGCGTGGGCAGCTTCTCCGACTTCAGCTCCATCCCGTCCGGAGCCTTCAAGGCGGCCTCGGTGTTCATACTGCTGTCCATGGTGCTGATCCTCAGCTGCATCGCCTGCATGGCGCTCTTCTTCTTCTGCAACACCTCCACCGTTTACAAGACCTGCGCCTGGATGCAGCTGCTGTGCGGTAGGCACTTTCTGATTCACTGAGCGTGGATTATTTCCTCTTTTTTTTTAGTCACACAGATGCAAGACAAGAACACATAAACACACACAAGCAACCTCACTTAGCATCGTGTTGTATCATCATGTTTCTCCCCTTTGCAGAGGTGTTTGTGCTGCACATTTTAAATGAGGGCATTCCTCTTTTGATGGAGCCATAGGTTGATCAGTCTCACTGTTTACCCACCTCCACATCCAACACTGCAGTACTACCTCAGAGTCCTTTATCTTCCTGCCCCCTCAAGCTACTACAATCAATGTATAGGATCTAATTTGCAGGTTAGACTGGATTAAATGTAATATATGACGGTAAAATTAATCTAAAAGAAATGGTAAATAAGATATAATAAGATAAATAAGAAATATTCTTCACCTCACACATGGAAATCCCCACATCAGTGCACCACCAAACATCATTACAGCCTCCTGAGGTCAGTTTATTGAATTTCCCAGCTCATGTTCCTACAGAAACATCATGAAAAGAAAACCACGTGACTCTTCGCTTGGGTAGAAATAAGGTGAAAGGTGTTTGTGCAGCATTTTACCGTTGTCTGTTCCTCCCTGAAATCAATAGTCTAAATGGTAGGGGTCGTGTCCTGTTGCAGTTAATTAGGAGCGTAGTACAGATTCTCCAACCCTGCAAACAAACAGGACGCAGACAGTAGAAACACACACTGCTTATTATTCACACACAGAGAGAAATGAGAGGCCAGAGCTCCCGTCTTATCATTGATATTCTGAGGATATACCAGAGCATCTGTAAGGAGAGCAGCAGCAGCAGGAGGATCACAGCTTTATGCTGATGAAATGCAAATATCACCCATTCATCCATTTCAGCTCCTCGTATAGGCTACGCTGAAGAGTGCTGTGCTGGAGTTGTGAATTCACTCTCCTGTGACTGAGGGCTTACATTGGGCTATTTTGAGGGATGATTCCAGGTCGATTGGATTACTGTTTCCAGGATGCTGTTGTTTGTCTCCTGCTGTTGTGGGCAGTCACAGTTTGTAGGCGTGATGTGGGATAAATGGTGGCTCCCCATCACATCCAGGACATGCCAGATTGGTGCTCACTTCAGGGACAGATGAACTGCTGTAGTTTCTTCAAGACAAAGAGATCTGTTTCAGGTCTAAATAGCTGGATTTGTGCTGAGTATGATAGCTTTTGATAGGGACTCTGAGAAACCATTTCTACCACTGAAGAAAGTGGTGTGTTCACTGGGAATCTACCGAATTGAAATCAAGATATCCTAACAAGATATCTTTTTCAATGTTGTACTGTCCTAAAGGCTGAAATGCTCATTAATTTACTCTCAATATCCTTGTCTTTTTCATGACAGTTTTTTTCTTCTACACAAAGCAGATGTTGATTTTTAATGCTCGTATTACAGATTTTGACAACACAAAATGATTGCAATGAAAAATCAAACATAAACTTAATCACAGCCTGTCAGTGATTGTCAATCGATAATCAAATCATTGACTCAGTTCACTCAACCAGCTCAAGTTTCCTTTTTGACATCAGTGTTTCCTATTATCAGGTTAAAGACTGATAAGTCAACCAAATCTTCTGCACAATCCACACGGGAATGTAATAAAGTTAAAGATCTGATTCATTGCTGCTACATGAAGTTGAATTTTTTAAAAAGTTGTGGTTGATTTTAGCTAAATTTTAGTCTTTGAATGATGCACTGTCGTAGTCTTAGGATCAGTTTTCTCATTTTAGTTCATGTTTTATGTTGAACTTTTACTGTCAGTTTTATGACAGTTTTAAAGAAAATTTCTCTCGGTTGTAAAATTTCATTAGAAAGAAAGAATTCCTCACTACTTTTTGGTTATATTGTGAAAATGCTTCTCTAACTTCAACTTCCTCTTTGTCATAGAATACAGTCCCATTTCAGCAACACAACTACTGTCTTCACTTCATGGAGTGACATTGAACCAAACTAATGTTTGCAGAGTGACTTCAGAGAAAGATCATGAAACATTGGCTACTTTAGAGGGAGTGGACATGTGTACTATTAGGTGGCTCTGTTTTATCAGTAATCAGTTAAATACTGTGGTATTCCAGTCGTCAATAGGTGTAGTGTTTAATTTTGCTACTTTGTCAAATAGTGCTACAGCAGCGCAAACCAGTACAGACCCAATTCCACAACATTGAAATTACAGAGTGAATTCACATTCATGTCACCACATCATACAGCACTGGTATTGACCTGGGCAGGTACTGCAGGCTGCTACATTTTCAGGTGTGCTTTAAAGCTCCTGTGAGGAGTTTTCTGCCATTTATGAAATAGACTTAAATTCATATTGATGCCTCTCTGTGATACTCAAAAGAAAGCGAGACTATCAGCAATGTGACTGACACTTTTTTAAATTGTAATATTGAATGCCTTGAAGTAGTGTGAGGGGAAGGTGTCAGCCAAATAATTAATTTCTGCATAAATTTTCACAATTAATAAACATTAAAGGCCAGAAGGATAAGATTTTTGGTCAGAAAACACAAGCAAAGTATGTAAAGGACAAGATAAGAACAGATTTCTTGGTCCACAGGAGGCGCTAAAGTTGACCCAAACAAAAGTTCCTCAAAGGAGCTTTAACATTAAAGTTTTTTTTCCTGTTTTGTACTTAGGAGACATTCCGTTCTCCTCAGGAAAAATACACTCTGTCATCTCTTTTCATTTTTAGCAATGCTAGCAGCCAGCAGGAGCTCATTTGGGCTTTTGATTTGAAACCTTACAGAGACCTAGTTTGGACTGTAAAAACATCTGACAGCATTAAAAGCGATAAATAGAGGCAGTCAGAATTTGTAACGCCACATTTCTTGCAGAAAACAATCTTCATATTTACCCTTTTTGTCTTTATTTGCAAAAAGAAATGGACAGAGTGATCACTCAATGCTAATCTATGGTGACAGAATTTCATCAGGCCAAGTGAGCAAAATTTCTGTGTCAGCAAAACCTTTGAGCAGTGAGAGCACCGAGGAACTCTCTGTAGAAACAACAAAATCATGATCTCTTTCATACGCACATTACTAGCATACCTCCTGTGCACATCCCACTTCTTTATAAGCTGATCAATGTGATAAATAGGCCAGGCAAGACTGGCGTGGGAGTCCGTTTTCTGTACAGAAACAGTCAGCATACTGACTGAGAGAGCGAAAGAGAGAGAGATCAGCACTTTTTTTTCCTTCTGTATTGTTCTTTCCTTCATCCTCATCTGCCCACTCTGTGCTCTATTCTGCCGACTGTGTTGAAAAGGTTTGCTGCTCTACAATCAGCACGAATCGGACAGAATAGCAGAGGTACAGATTTTTAGAAATCTTCATGACTAAACAGGAACTGAACCTGGGTCTTTGCAGGAACCATTAATCAAGTGAAACATTAGTGAGGAGCTGCGGTGGAAGGATTTTAAGTCTTTTTTTTTTTCTTTTAGAAGGTGAGAAATCTCTGTCGTAGGGAAAAGATTCTCTCCTGTGATTGTGAAGAGGCATTAACAGGGAAATGTACCAGGAGAGTCTGGACTGAAAGTACTTGGATACAATATTTATACAGAACATAATTGGGTAATATGTGAATACCGTTATTTACTTTTTAAGCGGCATTTTTGCTTGTTTTTCCACATTTCAAACACACTTCTGTAGTTTGGTCTATTAGGTGCATGGTGACAATCTTATGACAACTCTACCCCCTAGTGAAACTATAAACCTCACAATGTCCTGGCTAAAAAAGAGGAAAACCTGGCTTTGATTCTCCACTGATTGGGATATCTTTCTTCTGAGTTAACAATCTAAAACCTTTGTTTCCAGACTTGTTAAATGTATTATTCTGTCTGTATTCTTTGTTCTAGCTTTACTCCTACACTGCATAAAACTGTCCTCTCGTTCTTATCCCCCCTACTGTATTTACAAATTTGTGTTGCCCTGTCATTTTGGAGGACTTGCCAAAGTTTGTGAAACTTCACAAGGTTTTGCCGTCCTTCCAGCGGGGGTGTGTGTGTTGTGTGGCGGTGGGTGGTTGTCTAATAAGCTTGGCGGTCAGCCTAATGCTCTTCACCACCTTGGAGATGATCATTTAATCATCCACTCTGCCCTGCTGGGTGGAGCTCTCCTGGCACCGCACAGTGACAGTGAATGTACCACAGCAAATACAGCACAGGCCAACTGAACCGCTGGGGGCCCAGAGTCAGGCCAAACAGACTAAATGTGTCAATTACAGAGCAGTTTGGACCCTAAGCGTGATGATTTGTTTGCATGTTGCTGCAATGGGAAGGAAAAACCTGCATTTGCGAAAGCATACTATCAGTTTTCTAACAGTTTGTTGACTTATTATGAGAAGGTGACTCTTGAGATTAAAAAATGTGCAGATATTTGTCTTTTGCATATGCAAGTACATTAGTTTCTTCATAAATGTTAACACATGTGAGTTATGTAAAAGACATACCACCTGGGTCCTTGTTAAACCTTAACCAAAATTTTCTCACTAAATTTTACGAGAACAGTTTCATAAAAGAACTTTACCAAGTGATTTTACTACACGACTAAATGACAACACAGTGCTGGTGCAAAAAGTAAAATTTTACAGCAGGATCAAACCTATAGAGAGTATTGTAAAACTTGGCAAAAAAAAAAAAAATACACTTTAAACACCTTTTTTTTTTTGTCATCTAAAAAGTGAGCTTTGTAGACCAGTGTGTAAAAATGGCACACCAAGAAGTAATTGGCCACTTCAGGGGGCAAAGCATGCTGGTACATAAAGAAGTAAAGTGGGCATGCGATACAACTTTTCAACGACTTTTTCCCCTCATTATAAAATAATCATATTTTAAAGAAAAGGGTGGTATTCTGTTAGCTAGACAAACCCTGTGGAGTGCAGTTTGGTGATAAAACTTTGTCGCCAGTCGGCTAGGCCTCCTCCTCCTCCACTGTCTCCAGCATGGCCCAAAGTTAGCCAGAGTCACAATTGTCAGTGTGGTGACTGCCACCTTTGGGGTGAATAACACATGACTAAAATTGGCTGTTTTATATAGTCTACAGCGTTACCTGACACTACAAAGTTAGCTAGATTATCATCTGTTGTGTGCAGGGCTGCTGACTGAGCTGCAGTATTTCATGAGCTAATCAGGAGTATCTGTTGACATTAAACTGTAACTTTACTTGTTTACTAGATAAAACTTTTCCAGTCTTGGGCCCCTGGAGCTCATTGGTTTGGTGAAGGTCAAATAAAATGAAACAAAGGCCAAAAGATTGAGATCCTGGACTCTTGGCAGAGCAGTGATACAGCATGTCTTGGTGTCTATGAGCTGAAAATGAGCCAAAATGGCCTCAAAGTTTACTGAACTGACTAAATGTGAATTAGGTTAATGCCCTTCAAAATGCACCTCTCATAATATTTGGCAATAAAAAGTGACTGTTCCTTCCAAGAGAGCAAGATGAAGCTTTACTGGCTCGGACACAACGTGCTATTGGCCCAGAGTCTGCAAAGAAATGAATGCACCAGTGGATTTGCAAACATGCTGCACTTCTGTGATGTTGCTGGTCGATATCCAAGAGGAACTGACTGCAAAAACTAGACTTAGCAACATGTTTGTTACCTCGTTTCAACAGGAGAGATCCACTCTTTTGTGTACATAAATGTCCACAAGTTGTGAATTAGTTGTAAAATGTTTCCAGTGTTGGACAAAATGTACCTTGGGAGTATTGTGCCTTGTCGAGACAGCTGTGTCTCATTACTTGTTGCCCAGAGTGGATTTAGTCTGCCTGTTTTCCTACTCCATGTATCTATGTGGTTTAGCTGAGTGACTTTGGAAGGGTTAAGGGTCAGGAATTACCCAAGATAAGACGAGAACTTGCATAGGTTTGACCAACAGCTTCATGCTAATACATCACTGACTCTCTATAATCCTAGAGTTACAGCATACCCAGATGAATAATGGGGTCATTTTTCACTTTGAACCCAGACAAAGCAGCACTTCTTCCCTGTGTGAAAATTACAGGAGGAGGGCTAGATTTCCCCAAAGCCTTGCAGGTCTGTGAGGAACTCGCTGCTCACACCTTTACTCAGAATTAGATTAATTCAGCGTAAAATGCTTCTGGGAAAACCAGGTGTTTTACTATTAATTCACCTTTTTCAGCAGAAATAGATTTAGTGCTGTGAGCTCAGAGGAAATTCAGACAAGATTGGAGTTTTTCCATTTGAAATGACCATCATTTCCCTCTGCTATCCCTCTCTAGGTTGATATCGTTTTTCTTTAATCCCTGCAGCAACATGTAGGTACTGTAGTTTTTTTTTTTTTTTTTTTTAGTGGTGCTGTTGCAGCTTGATGACTTTTCCCGCCTCTCCTACATCAGCTCATGTTTCCGTCCCTCCTTCTTGTCTCTGTCTGTTGCAATATTAAACAGAACTAAGCAGGACATGGGCTGGGGCTCAAGGGAGGAGCTGTCCTGGGAGAAACAACCTGTCAGCAGCTGCCCTATCTTACTGTGTGTGTGTGTGCGTGCGTGTGTGCATGTGGTAAATGGACTGCACTCACACAGCTCCTTGCTTGACTTTTAACCACTCAGAGTACTTCCACTCCACATGTCGACGCTCACCCTTTAACCCTCATTCATACACAGGTGGAAAGGTGTCCAAACAAGGTGATTTTTCCACTCTGACGTTTGTACCAGAGTGGGATTAAAATTCAATTGCACATATTCAACCACATGGCTGGGACTTAAGGAGCAATCCGAGGTTCAGGGTTCAGCCTGTGACCCTCAAGTACGCAGACTAAAGATGCCTCAGATCTCCTGAATTGTACGTGTCTGGATTTCTATGATGCCTTTTGGTCTGATTTCTTTCCAGTATCTCTGGTAAACTGGTAGTGCTGGTGAGTAATGCTGGGTGGGTTGATCCTGATGTGGGTGTTTCATAAATTTAATTCTCTGTTCAGCTTTATCTTCTGCAGTAACACCTGTATTATTACAGACAGGAGAGTCATGACAGCAGGCCCAAACTGTCAGACTGCATCATCACGGTTTTTGTGATTTTTTTACTGAAAGGTGGAAATGACAGGGAGTCATTTATGAGGGGCAGTCATTTAAAATTAAGAAGTTGACTAGTTCCTGTGACCTTTATCACATCTTCAACATGTATTTTTTCATCGTTTTGTACCAACACCTGGAAAAAATAGCGGTGTTTGCTGTTAAAAGTGCAAGTTGCAGTGCTGTGAGATTCAGAGCTGGAGAAAAATGCAGACTAGTGCAGCTGGCAGAGAGTTTCAGGTTGACCTTCTATATAAAAAAAGAAAGAAATTCAGTTCAAACTGTACCAAGTAAAACCAGCATGTCTCGGTCACATTAATACATATGTTAGTTACAACAACAATGCACAGTCATCAAATGGGTCTTTTCCTCTCCTTATGTTTATATTTGCAAACAGGGGCTGCTCAAATCATCTGCAAATGGTTATTAGTGGCTATGAAATACAGTGACCATCCCTGAATCTGGTCAGATCATATAGGTGTCAGCACCAATCATTTACTTACATCCTTTTTTATTCCTACAGACTCAATTAATAGCTGCCAAAACAAATTATTTTGATGGTTGGACTCGTACATTGGCCCTCTCTATCCAAGCTCAGTGTTGGCTCCATGCAAATAACTCAGATCTTTACATGGTGACTGTGATTTCTCATCAAAACATCTCACTTCACTTTATATAAGCAAAACTGACCAAGGGCTCTATTTTCGTTCGCGCCGGTGAGGCGGCGGAGGGCGGCGAGCCCCGCGCAGTTGTATTTTCGTCTGGCGAGTTTGGTATTTTCGTGGACTGAGTCGCATTTTGGTAGACCGGCGGTGTATCGACATACGTCACTGATGCCTCACCGGCAGGTTTCCACAGTGTCAGGCAGATTTCAGTGCAATAAATAATCATCAACAACTATTAATCTGAGTCAGCACATATATTTAGATCTATATCGATATATTCTGATCTATATCTGATCTGATGAGCGCGTTTGGCACGCGTTTGGCACGCGTTTGGGCACACAACCTGACCGAATCAACACAGCTGAAACTGCATCAAATTAAATTAAATATCTAGTAAATAAACACACATGATGAAGTTAACTAGATATGTAATTCGTCTCCCTCCTTTTCTTTCTTCCTCTTATTTCTCGCACAGCTCGACCTGGACACGTCTCCGTGTCCTCTGTCTGTCTTGCTTGCTGCTGCGGCTGAACAGATGATTTGTTTCAGTGCTCAGATGCGTTATCTACTTTAAGCCGACATACGAATATTATAATATTCAGTTTTGTGCGCCAAATTTATTTTATATGCCAACATCTATGAAAGAAAGAGCCAGGCCACGGAGTGCGATGCGTCATTTACGCACAGATGGTTCTGATTTTAAAGCCATTTTTGGAGTTTATGTTGTGATCTGTGCGCTAAACCCACCTTTGTCACGTGAGGTTTGAATATATGCAACTTTATGTGAGTGTCTTTATTTGTGGAAAAGGGTGTTTGTCTTACCTGTGGGTCCAACATTACACACACCAAATCTATCTGTGCTCAGATGAGAGAGTGTGGAGGACACTTGTTGAGCAGCTGCCCTCTGTCGCCATCGTGTGGCATAACTGTCTTCAGACATCTCTCGATCTCTTTGACTACTTCATGAAAATAGTAATACGCCTCGCCGGTGGCGGATTTAAAGGCAAGGAGAGGAGCTTATGTGATTGGTGAAAACAGGTCTTGGCTGTGTTAAATCTACTACACGCCCTCTCTCCTCCCCGTCTACGACTTATGCTGCTGGGAGGAGCTGAGTTAGGGAGGGGGGATACTTACGCCGGGCTGCGCGGCTCACCAAAATACCAAAATGTGCTTGGGAACACCTTGTCAGCGCGGCGGATCTGATTGACGCTGCGCTTGCGGCAGATCTCCGGCGAGGCACCAAAATAGAGCCCCAAGTTTTTGTTCATGTTTATTTGCGAAGCTTTTCTTGTTGCACGATATTGCAAGTTTGTTTGTTCATATTTGCACAAAACATACTTTTATTATATTATTTTATAATTTTTTTTGTGCAGTTTCATGAACTTAAGCTACTATTTTTGCAGGATGCATCAAAATCAGATGTTCGTAGTAATGCCTCATTGCCTCAGCTACCTTTTATTGGCCATCTCTGTGTCTCCTCAAGCATATGAACATGCCTTCAAACTGAAACAAAGTTTCCCAGATAACACTAAAAATGCACATTTGGTTCATAAATGGCACGAGATAGACAGCAGATTGTGGGGAAAAATGCAACTGTTATATTGAGAGCATATTTTCATTAATATTCACATCCATATGTCTCACTATTAGCTAACTCTGCCAGACTAGATGCCCTCAGAGCAGCTCTGTCTCCAGCGGATGTTGCAGAATCAAACTGGTTCAAATCTGCTTGAATGTGACCTTTAGCTGCACCCTGGGCGCAGCCTATGTGTATACTTGAAAAGTCAAGGCAGGCAGAGCAGCAGCAAAGACACCATAGCTAGCATTGGTGACAATGAGACTGGTAAAAATCAGGCAGAGCACAAAGAGGAGAAGCTGTGGAGGAAAGCAGCAAAGAAGGTGGGCTGAAGCGGCTTTGATTGAGCTCTTGGATGTGGGAGCTGAGCTGTCAGTTGATACAGGCTGGTTTTGGGATCAGTTGATGTACTTTAAGGTGAGCCTGACGCCATGACCTGCCTGGACCATAGACCGTATGTAATAGATGTCTTCTGCCTGCACACTGTTTGAGCGGAGCGTAATCACAGTCCTGCCGAACGCTACTGCGCAAATGCTAGTTTCAGAAAATGGAGAAAATCATGAAAATACTGAAAGCAATTTGTCTTCAAATTTGTAAAATGCCAGTAGGCGAAAAATCGTATACAGTCCATGGTCTGAAATAACTCTACATTCACTAATACACCATTAAATCTGGTTGTGCGCATTTCAAAGAGCCTTTTGTCAAGATTGAGGTATGATTCGTGCATCATTTATTCTAAACCTTAAAAATTCAGGTATTTACTCTCTTCAATGCTCTTTCACTCATTTACAAACGTACATTTCTGCAGAGCAGCAGCGCCTACTTTTGTGAATTATTTCTTGTACTGCAACAGTGAAGCAACTGAGGCAACAAACAGTGTGTGTGTGATTGTGTGTGTGTGTGTGTGTGAGAGAGAGAGGAGAAACAGAATGGGAGTGAAACACAGCAAGTGAATGAATTTGTGCGCTCATCCTCATCCATGCTCCTCCTCCTCCTCTTTTGTGTGTGTGAGAGTGTGTTTCAGTCTCGGTGTCTGCGTGGCCACACATGCGTCTGTTCACGTGAGCGTGTCTAACAGCGGGTAAATGTGTATTTGATGGTGTGAGGCTTGAATTATTAACAAGAGCGTTTTCTTCCTCTGCTCTGGAGCTGCACCAATGTTTTCCTTTATTTATTAATTCTTTTATTGCCACACTAGTAAATGTGTAGACTGTGTGAGTGTTTTTGTGTGTGCATACATGTGTGCAGCTTCATATTGTGGTGATGCACATAAATGCACATATGTAGATGGATGCACACATGCATGTGTTTCCAGCTGAGATAAATAGATGCTGCAGTGGTCGAGTTAAATATAGCAGAACAGAGAGAAAGAGAAGGGGGGGAGAAGAGTTTCCCTGGGGGATATCCCTGCCCCTCTCTCCCTCCCTGTGCCCCCCATTCCCACCCCCTCTCTGAGATTTCTGGTTGGCGTTTTCCGACCAAACGTACATGTTTTAATTATCAGGCACTTAATAAATAATTCCAAAGTCAGCGGGGTGTTTCTAAAAATATCCTGACGGCTGAATAATGGATTCCTTTGACCCTTCTCAGCATTGTCACTCCGCTGCATGTGTTTGAGGGTGTATGTTGAAGTGTGTATGAGTGCAGAAATAAAGCAGCAGAAAGAGGGAGGAAGCCCCTGAAGCTTGTTGATAAGACGAGGACGTAACAGGAAAAATGGAAATTCCCACTGTATGCATCATTCATGCTCCTCATCAATGAGTAATCTTTGCTGAACAACATTTTAACCAGCGTTTAAAAAGGATGCAGTCTTCATCCCCTCACTGAGTGCAGACTTTTTTGAATCCACGTTTTTTTTCATGTATTTGCAATGATGAAGTAGTCATATAAACAGCAAAATCTGATACGATTTATCAGATAAAGCGGATACAGGATCATTTAAAATCAGATCAAATGTCTAGTATAGTTTTAATGCATTTATATAGTATAATCGAGTTTCTTTTATTCTATTACATCTGTGTGTGAATAAAGAAAGCAAGAAGTAGAAAAGAAAGAGAAGAAGACCACAAAGAAAAAATGGCAACTACTCAAGCCTAAATGTGCCGCAAAGAGCCATTTACAATATGAAAGAGCTGGTCCATACCAAGCTAAATGATCTGAATCACTGAGGAGAGTCTAAAATCACTGGGAGTGTTCACACTGAGAAAGAAGGATTCACACACTAATGGGAAGACGCACCACAGCCAACTTGAGCATGAAAATTTCACTATGTAGATTTTTAATAATCTAGAACGTAATGAACAAAATGTAATTAGTTTTACTGAACCTGGATCGTGAGGAGCCTCAGTGTTGCAACAGCAGCCAAGCATATCCCACTCACTCACTCACTCACTCACTCACTCACTCACTCACTCACTCACTCACTCACTCACTCACTCACTCACTCACTCACTCACTCACTCACTCACTCACTCACTCACTCACTCACTCACTCACTCACTCACTCACACTACAGTAAATAGAGAACCAAATTTATTCCCCTTACCTTACAATGGTAAAAATGTTTAAACCAATCAATGTGTTTCTAACAGTATGCATCCCCTGTCTGATAGGATGCAAAAATGCACCATCAGGTTGGTTTGCACACGGCCAATAAACCTGAGATGATGAAAAAGTACATCCCAACTAATATAGCTGTATGTTTTCTATTTGTACTCACTGACTGGACATTTAGTATTTAAAAGCCTGAGAGTCATTTGAGATTAGGGACTGCTCCCTACAGTCAGGGATCTTGAGTTGTGTGGTTGTCTTCTGGTATATTTGGTCCTTTTCTGATCTTTGTTTAATGATCTAATTTGTTGCGGCTTTATAATAACAAATCCCACAGATGTTTTAAGACATTTTAGTGTTTTTATATCAGGTTATTCGTTGATAGTTGTAAACACCAATCCTTATGGATTGAGCTCATCAGAGATCCAGCTTCCATGTGGTTAGGTAAATGCATTTTCCTCATTTTGTAACTCATTTTGAGCTTGGTGGACTTCTGTTTTATAAATGAAAAGAATCTAAAGTTGGCGTATATTTGCAGACAGAGATGTAGCGCCATTTGACAGTAAAAGATGACTGATTTAACAGCACGTGTTCAGGTTTGGAAAAGTCTAGTTTCAGCACTGCTTCAGAGCGATCCTCTCTCTTGTTATGAATTAGGCAGATCAGAGAATCACAAAAAAAAAACTGCTCCAGAGAGAAAAATCATGCTTGTGCTTGTGTGATGACACATTATATGGTTATGTGCAAGCCTCTGTTCGCCTGCCAATCCTCTCTCCAGATTCAGGACTCGTGCCAGTAACTGACTCTACAGCCAGTGAAGGACACAGTGATGGATGAGGGGAAGATAAAGGGTGAGGAAGAGGAAGAGATCTGAGATTTTAAACAGCAGAACACAACTCTTGAAAAAATATGAACAATTTCAAGAATTTGTTCCAAAGAGAGAAGTAAAGTCGTGATGGAGAGAGTATCGCACCTAGCCTACCTCCCTCTGTTAAATTTGATCGATACGAAACATATAAGTCGCAAAAGCTGAGACCTTACAGTATGTAAATGTGAAGAGAGGGATAAAAAGAAATGAAAGCTGCACACCAAGTGTGCCAGTAAACCTCAGCTGCGACTACATCCTCAAAAATGCACCCTCAGCATTATGCACACTCTGTTTCATACACACTCACACATAACCGGCTTGATCCGAACTCCAATAAAAGCACTGTACATCAGCGAGAATGCTGTCCATTAGATAGATGGAGGACAGCAGGCCAAGGTCTAGACACAGTAGCAGAGGGGAGGGCAGAGCTCAGACAGCTTTATTAAATCATAGACCTGACAGAGTGATCTCTTAATGCAGCCGTGTTCACACCTTTACACCCTGTGTTGGACTTCAAAGTGCATGAGCTCACTTGCAGGAAGGTCACTAGTTCTCTTGGCGGTTATGATTTCGTTATAGATGCTAAAAAAAGGCAAGGGACATGCAAAAAACCCTGAAAATTAACCTCTGGAATTGGTTAGTCATTAAAATGATGTGATAAGTTGACAGGGTCTGCAGTTTCCAAAACAGAGAACACTGGTGGGTTTATCAAGCTGCAGGTACCATTGTTTCAGACTGCTAACAGGTGTAACACGAACTTTAAGAGGAGCACACAACCATCATGCACTTAGCTAATAAGCAACAAATGGACCCCTTTCATTTAACTTACCCCAGAGTTTTGATCTTGTAGCCTTGGTCGAGTAACATTAATGCCACGATTGTACCCACTGAGCATTTTTTGGTCTAAAAGAGGTCTAATAGATGTCTAAATGTAGCCTAGACGACTGGTTTATCTGGCTACCACAGGTCTAAAAATGAAAGTTTTTTTAGACGTCCAAATTTAGACCAAGTTTAGACTAAATCTTAATCTAGGCTATATCTATACTACACTGTATATTGCTTAATGGCTATCATAATCATTTGGTTAAGTACTTGGAAATCAGTTATGCAATTCACAGTTGCTTTTTGAAATAAATAGTTATTGAATAACGGGTTCATGTGCAACATCTAAATTTCATCTAAAAATATACAGAATCTAGACGGTTGAAATTAAGTCTAAAAAAAAAACTCGACGTCTATTGCACAGTGGGATAGTTACAGTCATAGACAACTGTATATTTGCTAAATTGAATCAACAAGTTTTTTCGTAACTGCCTCCAAAAACAGCACTTAATTTAAAGGCATTGAATGGAAAGAAAACTGGGGTTTTTACTTACTCATCTCTTCCCAAACTATCACTGACTCTTGTGTCTCAATGATAAGAAAATCTGACTTTCTCCGCACAAATCTTAGAATAAATAAAGCCTGAAGAAAACCTACCATTTGAGTGAAAAGTGGAAAAAAACTCAGAGGTGTTGGTCTTTTTGGTTCAGGGTTCAAGGTTGGCGCAACAGCTGGCAGGATTTATTTGGTTTCACACCAATCTGCATCATTCAGTATCAATTATAACCGATACCCAATAACCAAATTTTATTGTTTACAAACAAAATTATTTCTGTTGATGAACAAAAAACTATGTCTCGCCTGGACCACAAGACTGGTCACCTCTACCCTCTTTACATCCTGCAGTTTCAGACCCCAGATCTGTCAGCTACTAGCTCAAACCAACTGAACCCTCAGCAGCTTTAAAGGGATATTCCCGTGTAAAATTAAGTTAGGATCAAAAACACCCTAACATCGAGTTACCCCCTCCACACCCCCTCGAGAGATGAATGTTGTTGACCGCTTGTTATACCAACTTTAGTAACGACTGCAAAATAGCAATACACAGCGGTCTACATCTCCACACACAAACCGCAACCAAAAAGCCACTCTATAGCCACAAAAAATGCTCAGAACAGCACCTAACTTCATCAACAGTACATAAAGGGTCCCAGCCATAGTACTAGCCATCAAACATCTTTTTAGCTTTGCCTGATTTCTTTAGCAAAGAGACTAAACACAATTTACCCACTCTCCTCCAGCAGCCGCTTGTTTGTGGGTGAGTCCTGACGAGTCGATCACCGAGTCCAGCGGATCATTTCCTTTAAGTAATAATCATCATAATAATCATTTTGCACTGCAGACGCAGTAGTTCTTCTGCCTTAGCGTCGGATTGCATTTCCATGAAGTAATGACCATAAATGTTCTTCCTTGAGCTGGGAAACTCCGCTGCACTCAGTGATCGACTTGTCAGGGCTCCCCCCACAAACAAGTCTCTTTGCTTTTTGGTTGAGGTTTATGTGTGGAGTGGTAGACCACTGTGTATTGTTTTTGTGTCATCGTTACTAAAGTTGGTATAACTAGAGAAGCAAGCAGTCGGCAACATTCATTTCAAGAGAGGGTGTCTAACTCGGTGTTATGGTGGGTTTGACTGTGACTTAATTTTACACCGGAATATCCCTTTAATGCTCAATGCTTTCACACTGATGCCTTCACCTTGGCTCCTCATGCCCTGCAAAACAACAACGAATCACAAGGGTGTTAGCGCCAACGACAACCAAGCAGCCCAAGTGATGATGGATGTAACACCATAATGGGCCTACTGAGTCTCTATGTGCATTATTGATTCAACCATCTCTGTATTTTCAGTTTGACTTTTTGAGCAATAGTTGTGCTCATGGGCGTTTATATGCATTGCTCTGTGCGTGCACCGCGTGTTAAAACATCTGAATGGACTGTGTGCTCTCCATGCAGCCATTAAGAACTCCTGTCACAGCACATGACTCTGTGCTGGAGTCGGTCATGGCAGCTGCTGAGGAGGAACGCTAGAGCCCTGAGCAGCTCCCTTCAAAAATACTTCACTCACACACACACACACACACTCATTCACACACACTTATATATAGCACAGTGATGGTATTTTTGGAGCTCTTATGTAATCATTTTTGGCTGTTTGTCTAGAAGGAAAAAAGAATCTGTGTGGACTTGCAGATGAAACAGTCTGACAAAATTCTTATGTAATGCATCTATAAATATCCTCAGGGTGCTATAAATAAATTGGTTCACATTAATTTGAACTAGTTGGATCAGAAACGTGTTCTGGCAGCATGTGACTGAATGTTTTCACGGGTTTGATCTGCTTATTTCAAACAGCTGATTGGCTGCGAACACTGCAGTGAAAGAAACAACAAAAAGTGATGAAGTGAGATGAGAAAAACAACAAAATGGAGCAGAGAGGCAGCAGCTCTCTTTCTTCTTCTTGTTTTTCTCTCATTCTTCGGCTCCCTCCCCTCCTCCTCTCCGTCTTCGATCCTTCTGCTCGCCTCCTTTGAAGTTCCTCCCTCCGTGTTCAGAACGTGGTGTCTCGAGAGCGTGGAGGGGAGGAGGGAAGAGGAAACACCCCCAACAACATCAAAAGGCTTTCCTGGGTTGTGGGAAGGTAGCGACTATATTTAGCTCTCTGGTGTCCACTTAAATACTCGAGTTGAGGCTGAAGGAGAAAGAGAGGAGAGGACACAGAGAGATCAAGTCCATCGGCTGTTACTGTCACACTTCAGCGGACAAACAAAAGGTTTGCTGCAGTTTGCCACAAGATGCAGTTTGTAAGTAATGATCAAAGGTGTATTGCAGATCAGTGCAGCGTGCAGGCCCATGTGAATGCAAGGATATGAAACACTGATTTCAATAATGATGCTCCTTTATGACAGAAAAACCAAAAGAGACCATGAGCATCAATATTTTTTCATTTCTACAAAGATACTTTAAAAGTCTGATACTGCCTCCTTTGGGTGGGCGTCAGACGAGACTATTTACAGCACAATGAAGAAACAGCAGGGTGCTGGGGGCAACTTTTCAAGTCTGCTGTTTCTGCGGACAAGCAGAAGAGAATATATGGATGGATTGTGGATGAACAGACTACAGGGCTTCTCTGTTACGGCAAAAATCACAAGCACAATTATTGCTATTGAGCTCAACTTATTTTTATGGTAACACTCACTTACCAGACTTGTGGTAGAGTAAGAATTTTACTGTTATTGAATATGAAAGGATCTGAGCATTTTCACCATTTACATTTCATCAAAGGTTGCAGGTCAAACATAACATTAAGCACTTTCAAATTATAGTGATTGATATCACTGTTTAACCTGCCAATTGTACACTGACACTCCAGAATGTCATGCTTTTGCTGTCCCTTTGCTTTTCAGGCATGCTGACACACTTAATCCTCTTGGCCCACTGTAAGATCCGCTACTTTTTAGCACCTCCAGACTTTGCTGCACACACAGACTTTATAATAACTGGACATAATGCCAGTGACATCTCCGATTTGTTCTCAAGTTGCCATATTAGAAGCTCTGACTCAACCTTACTTTCAGTCAGTTTACTGAGGTGCGCTTATAGCCTCTTTGCCTATGACTACAGTATGCCCATCAGTCAGTCAAGTCAGCAATGCCTCTGATTCGCCAATCTTGTTACTTTAATGTCTTTGAAATAGATGCATTTCTAAAAAATTCAAACCAAGCTTTAAACACGTTTATTATTGCTCTAAAAATTAGTGTGCATGAACTCTTTGGTGCTTCTGCAGACAGCCTCAAGTGGACAATCTGGGAACTGCAGGTTTTTATCATCTTCATTTCTTGAGACCGGAGGTTGCTGCTTGATGGACACTGATAAAAGCTGCATGGGGGGGGGTATTTCTACGATCGTGTACGATCATTTGTACACGATACAAATGAGCAACACGAAGCAGGTGGCACGACATAACTCAGTCGATCATATGGTAATTGTTTTCGTCAACTGCATTGATGTAAGGGTTCTGTTTGGTGTCCTATTGGATTATCTTCTAGCCCACATTACAAGCTAAACCAGGGGCCATAGCTCGGAAATTAGAACTGACTTGAGTTGTAATCATTATTCTATAATAATATCATGGAGACAGTCAATTTAATTTAGATTTTTATATTTTGTCAGGTAATCACAAACAGTCTCTACCTAAACACATAGGACGAGCTAAGTATTCGATGAGAAAATGATCTTTAATGAGCTGCTAAGAGGCATATTTTTCCTGTCGAAATTTTTGGAGTCACTCAACAACCAGCTGGGGAAACATCCATCAAAAACCCATAAAACACGTTACCTGATGCTCATTACTCAGTTAATGATTTCACCATCTCTCATCTGTGTTCATATCTTGTACAGGTCATAAAAGAAGCTAATAACATGATGATTTCCCCTGACGATTCCTTCCATTGCTCTTCTATTGTCTCATTAGTTACTGTATGAGCGTCATTAGAGTTTCTCTCATTATACTCTCTCATTACGCCTGCAATCATTTTGCCAGAGGAGGGGTCACATTTTCAAACAGTGAAATCAGACTCCTCATATGTGCAGAGTTTTCTGCTTTGCACTGAGAGGCGGTGACTAATATGATATCCTCCATGAGTTCACCACCCACCATCTTTACATGATGGATGGCTGATGGCTGAAACACGGGTCCTCAGAGGGAATCTCTGATGTGACAGGGTTCAACCGAATGACTAATGGACTTCACTTTGGTACAGTCTGATCACTTACCTCAAACTCTGCATGCACAATGTTTTCCATCTGTTATTTTGGATTAATTTATCTTTGAACCTTCTGCAAAAGATTCATTGCATGGTTAGTTTCTTTTTCAGTTTACTAGGCTTCAACATAAAGTCACTTTTCCTTGTTTTAGAAATGGAGCTACTGTCATGTAATTACGCAACTTATCAGCTCCCTATATCATGTTTTGATATATTAAGTGCTGTTAAAACAAAATTCAACCAGCACCACTGCAGAGGGCATTTTGTTTCATCAAAATACCTGTGAGGTCTAGCTGCAGCTTCTTTGAAAAACCAAGCAGGACTTCTTGCTGTCTTCATGGGATTTTACTAATGAAAAAGAATGCTACAATACAATAAAACAATGACAACTAACAGTACATAAAACAAACTGTCCATTTTACGTTTTTTAACTGATCCCTTTTCTTCTTCTTCTACAGTTCGAACTTTGACCTCCTCTAAACTGACATGTAAACAAACAGAATGAAATGGTTAACATTACATATCAGTTATATATGAAATCATGTATGAAATTAACTTTATTTTAAATCTGTATTTTAATATCATCCATCTAGTATTTAAACTATCAGATATAAATTATGAAATACAATTTATAAGTACGTAATGTTTTCTAAATAAATAATCATGAACAAAGGATACAACAATAGTGTGAATGGATTCAGGGGAATTTGCTGCCAGTTTCATTAGGGGACTGCAGGTTGTAGCACCTCTGCTATGGCCTTATATCCCAAGAATTAAGGTTACTGCTTTGGCGATACGTGAGTGATAGGTGCGGCGTGTTTCTGGTCTAGTCTGGTGCAGAATGATGTAGCTGCCATTACATTTTGACTTCTTGAATTGCAGTTCCATCCATCTTCTTGACCCAAGGCATAGTGCAAGTCCAAGGCCCAGTGGTTTGGGGATTTTTGTTTTTTTAAGTTAAGTAAGGGAAGCTCTGAATGTTCTGGCATGTCAATGATTTTTTTACAGTCCATGGTGTGTACTAACAATCTGCCATCATGGTGTCTGTGTAGTATATTTGAGCCACCAAACTAACATATATGGCATTAAAGATTTTTTGATGTTGGACAAAATGCTGTTTGCCAATGTTAGCAGGACTTCCTTTGGTTACATACCATCTTAGTGTGTCTGCAGGCTCGGCGATCAATCAAACACACATGTCAACAAGCCAAAAGCATATTTCTGATGTATCTCCAAAGATCTCGCTGTTACTCTACGCCTCAGTCCACACATCAGCTACTCTGCTGTTTGATCACTGAAGGGTGTTGGGCAGCATTCACACAATCACACCATCTAAAACATCCGCATTTGCACGCCCGTTGAATTCCAGACATTAAATCTTTTAGCATTTATCAGACTGAAGTGTAATGATCACCAGCTCAGGGGGATCTGTCTGACTTTTCATGTATATCACACATGCTGCTGCCTGCAGAAAAGACATGTCTGGTCAGGAATGAAGATCCAGCCTGATGTCTGCCATATATGTTCACTTCCCCCAGTGGAGCCCACTGCTTTACTTACAGCCCCTCAGGCAGGGACAGACTGTTGTTCAAACAGAGCTGCTGAGCAGAATACAGCACAATCAGCTCCCCAGTGCTGCTCACTTTGATGAATGAGCAGAGGTGTGAAGTATAGATTACCATTTCTGTTGTCGTGTGGAATTTGAATGTATGCATTTCCCTGCTGAGCTTTCTACTGCATGTGTTTGCACTGTATGCTTCAGTTTCTGTCTGTAAGGGCGTGCAGGTTTGTTTGATCAATATGTTTTATATTCTGTCACATACACGTGCTCTCCAGAGGTGAATATTAACGATGCATAAATCCCATCTTTCTGCTGTTTCTGTGTAAAGCACTTAATGTCCGCACAGCTGCTGCATTTAACACCAATGAGCTGTCTGTAAGTCGTGCACAAAGCTACAAGGTTTACCAGGTGTCTTAAAGGCCCACTCCGATAAAAATCATGTTTTTCTTGTCGTCTTTATGTTTATATGGCATTTTTCTGGTGCTACAGGACATATCATGAGAATTAAAAGTGCAAAATTCTTTCATTTCTGAGTATTTCTGCATTCAAATTGCTGTAAATCTCTCACAGATGCAAACGGCAGGTTCAGATTCAGTGAAATTTCCTACATAGCAAATCCAAGCTCCGCCACCGGAGCCCACACTCGGAAAAGTAGAGAGGATGATCGCGGAACAAGTGTGTGCGCTAGTGAATTGCAATGCTCGTAAGAAAGCTAATAATGATATCAACTTTCATCATGTCCCTAAAGACATTAATGTCCGAAGGCTGAAAAGCTCCTATGTTACCTGCCACCTCTACTACACTGGCAATGTTAGACTGCAAGCTAGCTAGCGTGTGCAGAGCAGTGCTGTCACCGCCCACGACTCAGAGGCGAATTGTTAATGAGCTACTGGAACTCTGCTGAAGAAAAGCCCTTAAAAATGACACAGGTAATGTCATTTTGGCTAAAAACTTTGACACTTTAAAGACCACTGAGAACACTTTGAGTTGTAAAAAAAAAACAGATTGAAGTGGGACTTTAAAGTAAACTTAACCAAAGTAGAGCTAAGAGAGGGAATTTCTTGAATTAACTGAAGATAAAAAAAAAATCACCCAGAAAAACAACATTGTCCAAGACACCTACCTCATTCGTTGGTTATTTGGTACGTATTTGCAGCTTACACCTTCACATCTCTATCTAGGTGATGATTGGTTTCATGGATGTGCTGCTGCTGCTCCTGAAATCAGTACACAAAGCTGCAGACACATGAGAGATGATGGTGCACTTATTGATCGACCTTTCTTGCAAAGGTTGTCACATTTATCGTAGCAACTAATTGTTGAAGATGATGTCTTCATTTCTAATTCCACCATTGAGCCAACACAATACTTAAAAACGTAACAAATTCACACAGTTACCTTACACGTCATCATCAGTTTCTTATAATGTAACTGAAATTTCTTTGAGGAAGACATTGCCTTGTCAAAAAGTGTTTGTGATGCTTTTATTTTGCTACTTTTGTGTTTCAAATTTAGGTTGGTGCATGGTTAAGATATGCTTTTATTTTGAAGCACACTACTTATGGTAGATTGTGAGCTATAAAACCAAAGGAAAACAATTAAAAGAGTGGTCAGAAAGTATGGACATTCAATTGGTCTGCATGGGTTACAGTGGTTGAAAAGTTAAATTTCACAGAGAAACACAAAGAGTCATGAACATGCACAGATTGCACAATGACCCACACAAGATGATGGATTTTGGGAGAATTTTTAAGTGAAAATCATGCACAAGAATTATAAAGAAACATCAGCACAGACAAAAGAAGAAAAGGAAATTGACACTGCAAAGACACTGAGAAGGGTACTGAGGATCTATTTCTCCTCATGATGATCTGGCATTGTTAAAATAACTGGATGTTGCTCATCTCTCTTGATCCATTTAATTGCTCTCTTTTCTAGAAGAGGAGATAAGAAGATTTAATATCTAATCCGCTGTAGGGGGGCCACCAACATGGATTTTTCTAATAACAGTGTGTTCAGTAGACCAGCTATGCAGCCAAATCATAACCCTTTAGTCAAGAACACCATCATTTTATCAGACCGTCCTGCGCAATGACTACAAATGGACATGCAGAAAAAGACGCTCTCCCCAAGTCTCCGTTTAGTTTGATTTCCAGTGGTATTTTTCTCTGATTATGGTGGGGTTTTTTTTAAGTACATGTAATGCTGCAGTTACCAAACTCCCATGTCTTACTTTAACCCTGTCATCCTCTGTGCAGGAGTGTGCCTGGTGCTGGGTTGCATGATCTTCCCCGACGGGTGGGATGCCGAGGTGATCCGGGATATGTGCGGGGAGCAGACGGGGAAATACTCCCTGGGGGATTGCTCCGTCCGCTGGGCCTATATGCTGGCCATCATGGGCATCCTGGACGCCCTCATCCTCTCTTTTCTGGCCTTTGTCCTGGGCAACCGGCAGACAGACTTCTACCTTGATGATTTGCAGACGGACAACAAAGGTCAGATTTGGCACCCCTGTGCACAAAGTAACGTCTTTATAATTGTATTATACACGTGTAAGAGTTTCCTCAGACACCAACCTTTTTTTACTGTCTTTTATCAGTGAAATATATCACTTATTGTGAGTCTGGCTCCTCCCCACTCCCAAAGGTTTCAGACCTTACAAATCACAACAGAGATCATTTCTAATAATAAGATCTATGCCAGTTAGAACAACTTGAGACCTACTTCCCTTCAACCTGCACAAGTGGAGTGCAAGGCCTCTAATCTAGTCATGGCAGGGAGAGCAGCAGCAAAGACCCTTAGGGTGCAGAACAGAGCATCAGTGACAATGCATATGACGCCGTTTAAGTTGGACAAAGCTCTAAATAAAGAAGTTGGGTGGATGTAGTTTGCAAAACAGCAGTTTCTTACTTATCCCAAACCCACAGGGAGACACAGCAGTCAGGTAACTCAAGGAGAAAAATTTCAAAACTTGAACAAGCCACTAGTCACAAAACACTAAATTTAAGTGTGTGCACTTAATCAAGGTACTGTGTTTTTGAAAAAAGTGCAAATGAATTCTTCACCAAACACAAGGATATGTAATGTTAAGTGACTGAAAATACCTTTACTTTGACATCAATGTGTAGCCATAATGATGCCATATTCTTAAGTCAATAAAGCCATAATAACCTGAAAGTCCAAAAATGTCTTTTTTTAAGATTGAAATCTGCCAATGGAATAAAAAAAACATACTTTTTATATGTTGGTTGTTTTTTTTTTTTTAAAGGGATAATGAATTTGAGCATTCTAGTCTTCTTCAGATTCCTTTTTTTTAACTTATTACAGCAAGTTCAGTTTATATTTTTGGTGTTTAATATCTTGAAAGAAGAAATTTTCTGGACTAGTCAGGCTAAATATGGCTCAAATTATGATTCAAAGCAATGTTTAAAACATATAAGGTGATTTTACTTAAATTAAAGTTTTTGCAACATAAAACATAAAAGTAGGTAAATCCTGCAATATTAGACCCATAAACCGAGACATTTAACATGCCTGTAGGCACAATTGGATGAATACATGCAAAAGACAAATGAGCCAGGGACAGTGCATGTTTTGAACTTGGTTTTAGAGGAGGGTTTAACAATAACCTGGTTGTTTCTCCTGTATCTTTGTATGCATGCATCGGTCAATCAAAAATCAGCATATCTGGTGGCAGCTTCATCCAGTATAGATTCACATGCTCAGCCCTCAGAATCTGGTTTAAACAGCCTCTTTCTCCTCCATCCCTAATATTTTAGGACTCACACTGTGAGGCTAATAACACGAGGAGTTGAGAAATGACTACACTGCAACCTGACCTCGGTAACTCCAGCCAAATTGCTTTCAGTGCTGTTTTCAGGAGTGGGAGAGAGAGTCCTCGGAGGGTTCCTGCCTGTTTGCATGATGTTGCATCAGGACACTTGAACTGCATTGTTTCAGCTGCATGAAAAGAGAGGAAGAGGAGGAGAGGAATGAAAGAGGAAGAGGCAGGAGTGGAGGATACAATGCAGGAGGATAAAAGGTCTCCTTACATGAGGATTACACGTTTGATTTGACTCTATGAAGCAAACGTACGTGAGGAAAACAAAAGAGGGCAGAGTGAGAAGAGAAAGAGAGAGATCTGTGACAGAAGATAATAATAGACTGAGAGATAAACAGAGAGAGAGAGAGAGGGAGTCATGGAGTAAAGGATAGAGGAGGAGTGAGAGATGAAGAGAGAGAGAATAGTGACATAAGATGTCTCGGTTCTCCGACGGTCTATCTCCATGATGGTTTCCATGGTAACTGGAGATATTCCAGAGCGTGGGCGTGTCTTTCTGTTCTGATCTGATTAACCTCACTGACAGTCTTAGTGATTTTACACATTTTTTTGCATCCAATGCTTCATCAGCTGGCTGAAGTTTCTGTTTTTAGCTCACGGCACAGAAATTCTTCTTTTTTCTTCTTCTGTACATCAACCGTTACAACCAAATGTTTGTGTTTGTGCTGGTTTGTCACACCGGCAGATAATCAGACTGAATGTGAAGTCCTTTTAGGGCCTCAAGTCAAAGTTTTTATCCTCGGTTTTAGAGAAGCATTCATGTCGTATTTCATGCAAAATTTCACTATTTAAAGCAACAAACAAACACAAAACAATATCGTGGTTGTAGAAATAATATTGATGAAGTTTAATATTTAGAATTAACTTGTGTTGACATTAAAAGCTCTTTATTAGTGTTGTTTTATCGTATTTTTATTAACACTCTCTCTGTTTTTGTCCTTGCAGATTTTGCTGTGTCAAGGGTAAGTTGCCTTTGTTTCGTACATTTTATCAACATTATATCTGCGTGTATGTGTATCTGTAAAGCCTCATTAACTCCCAGTACAGCAAAGTCATCAGCTTCTTTAGTTTGACCTTTTTTATGGATCATTTATTCCTGCAGGTCAGTAATACCTATGGACAGACTCTAATGTTAGCTGTACCAGAGGACTCAATTCAACTATTTCAACTACCTGGGGAACCAACTTTTCCAGGATTAGCATAAAGTTTGTGACTGACAAATGCTCTAAAAGCATCTTCCCCTTGTAACGTTATATTCTTTTAAATTAAAGGGGCAATAACACCAGCTGTTAATCCTTATAAGCAACTGAAAACGTGTTTGAAAAAAGCTCCCAAACTGCCTCTGGTTTGGCAAAAAGCCAACTATGAATAACAATTTCAGGTTAACATATTTTTGGAGATCACCGATCAGATTCCAGGGGGCACGACGCCACCCTTGGACACACACCTGCAAAGTACACAAAGTGCTTTGATGGGTTTTCTTCTCTATTCAAACACAAAAACAGCAAAAATGTTTTTTTTTTTTTTTATGAACAAAAACTCTGCAAGCTGAGTTCACCCTGTTGGCTTTTTTCCATTTTTGCTTCAGAGCCTTTGAAATTCTCTTTTAATGAGTAAAATAAGAGTCCCTATGTTGTTGTTTTCTCCAGATTGAGGTGCGGGACAGGCGAGAGCCAAGGTACGGCGTGCAGCGTCTCCACTGAGGGCCCCGACGGCCCCGGACAACTTCTTTGTTTCTCTTCTCTCTTTCTCTTTCATGCATATTTCTTTCTCTTTCTTCTCTTCTTCTCTTCTCTCCAATGATCAGGATATCACCCAAACTTAATGCAGACACCAAGTGTACAGGATTCTGTAAGATAAAAAAAACAACAACAAACACACTGGGATACACTATATTTTGAAAGAAAAAAAACAATATACAAGGTTGTACAGTGCATTTAAGAGTTGACTTTCTCAGCAAATACCTTCATGAGGGAGAAAAAAAAAACATTTTGCTGTATTAATGTCTTGATTTGTGTGAGAAATTTAATCCTCCAGATGAAGAACCATAATGTCCATCTATGATTTTATGAGGCTTTCTTTAAGACTGTGCTGTTTGATGACTTTGAGTTTGTGTAATGTGTACATTCATGACTTCAGAGAAAGATACTTCCTGTATCGTGACAGAGTCGAAGCGGCAATACAGCAGCGAGTACATTGTTAAACATTTAACACTCTTCAACAGGGACTTGTATGGCTCTTCATCTAAGGACTTTCAGATGCGAGGAATTTAAAGGAGTATCCCATTGCAGCTTTACAGAACCTAACATCTCTGGGAGATTCTCTACTGTACATACTTACCCGTGTAAATAGCATTACTGCTGACAGAAACAGCCGACAACAAAACCTCATCTGACTCTAATGCATTCGAGTATTTTTTACCCTCAGTTCCTTGTGCCAGAAGGGCAGCAGAGTACGAGCAGATTCACCGTGTTTCTATGAGTCCTCACCACTGATTTTAAGTGACACGAAAGATGGGAATACCAGGATATCTTAGCTGGATATTCCACCAAAAATTAGAGGACCTTAAGTCAAAGTAACTGTGTTTTGTCACAGTTTTGTGGCGCCAATTCAGACGCTCCCTGTGCATTAACAAGGCCTCAAAACCAGATCCTTATGGTAGAATTTTTAAACTGAGATGCAGCTGTCCAAGTCAAGTTCAGAAATCTTCTTGGTTATTATTATTATTTATGTCCGAGTTTGCTTCTTTCTCCAAGTGTGCAGTTTACTCCAGTTTATGGCTCCAGCATACAGTGATCAGTTTACTCTACAGATGTCTTAAGACTGTGTGAATACGGCTGTTCAAGTCGGCCTTCTCTCAGAGGGAAGCCCCAAGTGCTGCATTGTCTCTAGGTGATGTCACATAAATGCCTCTTTCAATAAGCAATGCTGCTTTTATTAGTAGTGATAGGCGCAGGACAGATCACAGCAGATAATCCCCCAAAACTGACAGAAAAAAAGTCCTGAGGAGAGCTGGACCAGACCCAAATGTTGCCTCTCTAACACAAGTCTTAGCCCGCGGGATAAACTGTGACTTGGTGGCCTAATCCAAGAACACAAAAGTCTGTTTTCTTTGATTTCAAAAACCTTTTTACAAGGTCGCAGTTTAGAGATCGGATCATGTCCATTATGGCCATCTGCAAAGTGGTCCAGAAGGCTATACCTGCGTGGAGCCACTTTGTGCCACACAATGACAGTGATGAAAGATACAACGTAGATGCAAACGCCAACATGTCTGAAAAACAAAGTGTTTCAAATAAAGATTAGCCACTTTGTTTATTTAGCTAAGAACAGGCTAAGGGATGACTTCTCTTGCATTGCATTCGCAAGTTGTTAGATTGCATGTGACACCAAAATTGTATTCGATTCCATAATTTGCGCTGTTCCCTTTTTTTGTATTACGCTTGGACAGATTTTTGAATTTCATCTGCTGCAGCTTGCTTTAACCCTCACAAAGTTAAAACTCCCTAAACAGATTATTTCTGACTTTGGAGCAATGCACAACCCATCTGTGAGGATTCAAAACTCACAACCGAGACCATAGATTCCTTAGAATAGTCTGTACTCACTAAGAAGAGTTGGTTTATTTCCTGCAGACATCAGTCTCCATAATTAGTGGAGTCGCCCTCTGCTGACTGACAGACAAACTACAGTATAACATGAAACTGCACGCACTTTGTACATACGGTCTCAGACGTTTATCCCCATGCTAACACAACCAAATGCCCAGAAGTCATTCTGATCACACAACCTAAATGTGACCCAGAGGTATGTGTTCATCTGATTGTTGTCATCACTGTCAAACAACAACTATTTTTCACTTTGCAGTGTTAACGTGATATGCCACCAATATCACCTGAATAGATGTTGCTACAGATAAATGACGCATCTTGTAGCACCAAAATTCAGATGTAGAGTCACCTCTAGTATCAATTATTGATGACACAATATGACTGTGACACACCGACGTACTCCTAAACACAGATATGGCCTTCAAAGTTACATGTCAGCATCAATGGCACTGAATACGATGATATCAGTAACATTGACTGAAGTCTGAATCCAACATGTGACAAGCTGTGTTTGCACCATGGGGCTCTTATCCCTCTCAGAGCAGCACTTCAGGCTGACGTACAGTAATGAGCCTCCCAATGGCATTAAGGCTGGGCTGATCTGTCATGGGAATTTTTGTAAAAAAGCACATGTCTAATTGTTAAAGGCATGTCTATTTGTGGGAAAGGTGTAATCATACTGGAAACAAAAATGGGATGTGACTGGATCCATTTCCCTGAGCAATTTAAATCAGGCAGGTTGATCTGCTTCCTTTCGGATTTGCCTGAGAGGAAACTTGACGATGAAAGATACAGTTGTGTTTTACTGTTATATTCAGTGAAAATGTAATTCATGAGGTTGTTTGTTGGGGATGTGCTATTAATGCATTCTTTGGGAAACATATGTAAGATTTCACCCTTAAGAAAAACTCTGTTTATGTTCCAGTATTTACAACAGTGAGAACTCTAAAATAAGAACAGGATCTTATATATCAAACTGGGTAATGGGTTAACATCATAGACTGTATAAAAAAGTTGGCTCATTGGTTTGTGAGTTACTAATTTGGTTGCTGCCATGCCATTTTGTTTCCAGCCAGAAGAGGGTGGAGCTGGAAAGGAGGGAGAGGCTTGATTTATGACAATAAATCAAAGTAATCTATCTGGTCACTCGGTCATGCAAGTCATAAAAAATGTCTTCATCTATTGGATAATGGCACTCCTCAGACTGATGCTGCTTTATTTTCTATTTCCCTTTAAGTGCAGCCCTGTCTAAGAAATGTTAACATCATTATAAGGATACACTAAAATATAGGTTTTGTACTTAACTCTTTAAGTCTTGCAAAGCTGATCATTTTACCTTAAATTTTCCCCCATAAGACAAAATTACCACATCATGGGCCTTCAGGTGCCCCGTAGCATTAAAATTCAAACTCACCGGCTCTGAAATTTGAATTAAAGTACCAAGTGAGAATAAGGCTGATTTTCTTGCAGTGTAACATACTGAATATTGACTGTATGTATAATGGACAACGTGCCTTCATTTAAAACAGTTCATTTCAGTTAAAATAGCTGAACTTTTGAGCTGCAGTATCGCTGTTTGATCACAACCAATCAGAATCAAGAAGGGGCGGGACTTCTGATAATGTCATAGTCAGCATCTATGTCAGTGATTCTAGTTTTTCTTTGTAAACTGAAGTGTGTGGAGTTTTTAAACAGACCTAATGTGGAACAAAAGTGCCAACAGACAACTTGGATTATATAGCAACAGTAAATGCGTGTGAAGAGTGCTCAGAAGTTTAAGGTTGTGGGTGCAGCCAGACGACAGAAAGGCCTTTGTGGACACGAAGGGACATGAGAAGAAATACAGTTATCTCAAATTCATGTCCCTTTGACATGAATTTGAGATATTTCTGCAATGACGGAGTCCATCTTTTATATACAGTCTATGATAACCGCGTATATTCTTCCCTACTTTCAGTCTGGTATTTGCTCAGTAGAGAATTTTGTCCTGGTTAGTGATGCATCTCTTTGATAACCATCTTATGAGCAGATAGCTAGATGTGCAGTGTATTTTTCAGATTGGTAGCTAGCTAACTCTCAGGAAGCTGTGCACACAGTACTGTATTAAAGGCTCACTATGGAAATGATCAACAAACACAAACAAATTGACATGCCACTTAGCTTAAAGCCAATGCTTCTGTGTTGTGGTCATCACCCCAATGACCCATGACTCCACAGCATCTCCTGTGTGTAAAAAAGTATCAAGTGAAAGCAGACTCTGGTTTTCCAAGCTGGGCCTTTAAGACAATATAAAAACAGCCCTTATGCTGAATCAAACGATGCTGTCCATGCAGGCTCTGCATGAACCTTGGCCTACATCTATTTACCATCGTAGATCAGGAGCGCTGGGCCCTCATTAGGAGAAGTTTCTTCACTTTAACCTTGAATTAACTGTGCAGGCATATAAAACTATGTTAGGAAGTACTGAAATGCTATCTACTGACCTCACCCATTTGGTATTGCAAGACTTCTTTGCTTTTGATATGAACATGGTCAAGTGAGAACATAAGCGCACTTGCTGGGATATCAGCATGGTGAGTTTTTAACCTAACGGTACAAATGGCGTTTCTGTCTCTCATATAGTATATATTGTGATTTCAACATCGATAGCTTGCATCTCTCATTTTGGGATACTTTCATGGGCCTAGGACATGATTTATGTCAAATCTACAAAAAAAAAAAAAAAAAAAAAAAGCCCTGAGACCCACAGAAGTGGCCACAACAGGCCTCCGAGGATCATTACCTGTGTGATCACTGGCCTGGTCTCCTCTCCGGGTTCCTGAGGACTTGACGATAAACTGAACAATACCTTAACAAGGAACTGACGATACCTTAACCCTGATGAGCACATATTTGTACCACTCCAGGTGCCTCTAAGAACTCTTGATTTCTTTCAGATGTGGTGCAGAACCAGCAAAACAAGTAGTGACACAGTAGTTTTTTCTACCGAAGACTACATACTCTGACTGAGCTCTAAAGCTAGATGGGTTTTTATCTGCAGATATGAGGTCAATTCAGTTTCGAGTTTCAAGATTTAAACATATTTAGGAATATTTTGTTCTCAATTATAGAGCTTGATTCCTACAAACAGACCGTTTGACATGTAGAAGTTGAATTTAATTTTTCTTTATTTCAAGTTTGTGATCAGACTCCCAAACTGAATTCACCTCAGTGCTTAATAATCTCAAAAAGAAAAGACTGAAAAATAAATAAAAAGGACAAAGAGACGGTGAGAAGTCATTTCAAATCTCTTGCAGCATACAAACAGTTTGCTGACTGTGTAAATGCCATTGATCTGTCGATGATTTCATCATACTTTTTATCATGCAATATCATGTATAAAGACATAATGTTGGGGGTGGGACGGGTCGGGGCAAAGAGGAATAATGTCCAGTGAGTTATGTTATATTAATATTTGACTTTTTGTCATCTCCTGAAATGCAGATGTTGCCAAATTACCATTGATTATCATGTATTACCATGAAAAAAAGAGAAATATCAAGTTTTTGTTCTGTAGAAGAAAAGAATGAATTACTGATTTGTCAAGTATTTCTGATGAGATCTTTGTTTTGTTTTTTTGTGTTCAATACAAAATCTTTCCTTTTTTGTTCTGGTTTACTTTCTCTGTATCTTTTGGTATGATGTATGATGATTGTTGTTCTGTCACATCAGATTTAACATCTCAGATTTATCCTTGACTCTATAATGGATGACTATTTGTTGAAATGTCAACACCCCAAAAATGTACAAAAGTCTATTCATAAAAGTCGCTTGATTTGTGGACAAGTGGGCTGAGTCTGAAAGAGGCTTGTCGCTTTTCATGAATTATGACGACATGCTGAGTTTTGATTTGAAAATTATGTCTAATTAATTCCTATTTGTGAATAGTATTCCAACTCACCATGATAAAAATTTCTGTTATTGACACACATTTTGAGAAGGTCGAATAAAGATATTTTACATTCAAAAACCTGGTCCTGCCTGAATCCATGAATCAATTAAACCTGTTTGTTTGATGTAAAGGGTTTAGCACTGCTCTGGCACAAAAAGTGTCATACACAGCAGCATTTGTGGTTGAAACAAGGACCATTTGTGTAATTAAAACCAGACCACACATCTCTGCTGAGGGTGAGTCACAAAACCAAAAATATTACACAGGACCACAGCACACAGACACACGATGAGGGCTGCATAGATTGGCCGTGTCATGAGAATCCCAGAAAGTCACAGGAAGTACCCGAAGCTCATCATCTTCTGTGTGGTCTCTTTTTAGCAACAACACTGGTCTCCCAGTGGTGTACTTTATTGAATCCTGTATCCGTTATGAAATGCGAGGCAGGATACCACAAAGCTGGCTCTACTTCAGCACAAAGCCAGAACTGTAAACCTCCAAAGCTTCGGCTCATTTTGGGTTTGAAATTGAAATTGCTGCAAGTTTAAATTTAGCATCAGGGCAAAAGTGATTACAATCAAAGCACCACACAATATAAACCTGTATTTAAAGGACAACCAGAGTATTATTCCTGCATGAGCTGTTTTTTCTTTGTCACTTCCTCTACTCTTAGAAAAAGGGGGTTCTACGATGATGATGATGATGATGATGATGATGATGATGATGAAGCCCTGTGCTGATTGGCTGACTTAGGGCCTGATCTATTAAAGGTTTGCAGATGTTAATGAAATCATTTAGCACCCGCAATGTGATTTATCAAATCCATAAACAGATTGTGGTCGCTGTTTCGCATCTATATTTTAGTACATTTGAAAGGCACATGCAAACTGGCACAGAATTACACACAGTCATTGTGGGGAGAAGGAGGTAAAAGTGCAATGATAGATGATGGAGAGAGAGTCTTCGGTGCACGTGTCAACATATTTGGAGTGTCAGAAATAGAAAATAGTAGAGTAACAGTAATGCTGGGTGACCTAAGGGCTGATTTGGAGCCAGTCACAAAAATGATCCGTGCCATATCTCAGATTGAAAAACTCTTAGTAACACTGCATTTTCCTGCAGTCACTCTGCTCTCACACACTTTCCATGGTGACAGCTGATAGCGCACGTAAAATCCTCGTTTTCAATTGCACATGCAATGAAAGTAGATCACCCGCAATACGCCCACTAATTGCACATGCAATTTTTTAGTTTGCGCACGCAGTTGACATTCGCTATCTTACTAGATCAGCCTCTTAATGTTGTCAAGGGAAGAGGGTGAAGACTGGTGCAGAAAGATGCAGTTAAGAAAACACCACAACAAATGTGGTGAGCACTCCAAGAGAACCCATGCCAATACGCCGCTCATATGACCCCAAATCTGACCTCAAACTACAGTGCAACCACATGTCGCAGAGTAGTGCTTTAAATTTGAGCTTTATTCCTCCTTTTTTTTCCCTACAAATTTGCTGAGTGCTCCAGGAGGGCTGTTGAAGCAGTCTAAAGTGAAACTGTGTTTAAACCAACACAGTGACAAATAAAGAAGATTATTTGTGTTTCATGTGCATGCTGAAGTCGATCTAATTGCATATGAATGTGCTGTGACCTCTGACAAAATCTATTTAAGCCAGGCTGTCCCATGAGATATATGCTAACTTCAACAGTAATGGCACATCAGACTGTGTAGTGTGATGTTTTAAGGAATTATTGTGTCCTTTCTTTGCAAAACTTCTTATGAAGTAGGATGTAGTAAACAGCTGTAGGATCACAGGGCTGTCTAAGCATGCTTGTGACCCTACAGGCACAATAAAATGTTCAGCCATGACATTGGAGATCGCTAGTTTTGCAGATGTTTTGTGACACCTAAAGCAATGGGAGGGAAAAAACATTTAACCTTATGATTGTGACTTTTATTAATTTAAGCTTGTGCAGAACAGTGCTGCTGGTACATTTGCTCAAAATCTTATTTACAGTAGATGATATTTATTTGGAAAGATGATCCCTTTAACTGATACCTAACAGTAAAGAGAACAAAGGAATATTATGGAAGGAGAGACAAGGCATGAGATGAATCCAAGTATTGATCTACTGTGACTGTTTTTGCCAATCACAAATGATGAACATAGAGCCTTAACAGATGGATAAAAATCTTCTCACCACATTGTGATCAGGAGTGGTTTGGTTGCCTGTGTGGTCCTTTTTTAGAGACTTACTCTACCTACCACACTGTTGCACTCCAGAGTCAAACCTCCTTCACTTATGTGCTGCCAACCTACCACAGTCAGGCTTCTGAGAAGAATCCATATTTCAGACCTACCACACTTTGTTCCTGTCATTCATCAAGATATTTGACTTATAAATTCCCAAAAGAAAACACAGCAAGATTCTTGTACAGGATGTGGATCAAAGAGTTTGGGTTTCAGGGCAAGAATACCAAAAATAGGACACATGTGAGGTAAAAAATCTGTGTCCATATCCAGTCATATGGTTTTATGAAGTACTGTTTTGTTCTGTTACAGAAAAGAAAAGGGGACAATGAACTATATTGCTTCATGCAGTTTCTTATCCTATCATACCATGTCCTATTGTAGCATGTACTACAATTGTACTGTACTACAATTACAATACACTTCTCTCCCCAATTCTTGGGGAAATTTTTCTTGGGCTCACAAGCTAAAAATTCTTAACTGCATCCACAATTATATTGTAAAGTGGCATAGTATCATACCATACACTTTGACGGGGCATTTTGAGTATCAGGTTGGTGAAGTGGTGAATTTTGCCAAAGTACTCTTTTTATAGCCTATCAACATTTTCTCATAACAGTTTGTATCATATTATATCATTTTTTTTAAGTGATCAACTTTTGAATTTAACTCGGGGAAGTAGAAAGGTACAAGTACCTGTTACATCAATGAATAATAAGATGTATATTCACATATACCCATACCTATAAATGTATATAATCATATCATATCATATCATATCAAATCATATCACATTATATCATATTATATATCATATAATATTGTGTTGTATTGTTTTAGTGTTGTAGGCATATTTCAAGTATTACATTAGATAAATGGTGTTAAAGATTTGGATCAAACTTCCTCAATTTTAACAAAAAAACTCTGAAGCTTATCTTTTGTCATCTTTAATGCCAATATCACTGACATCTGAAATAAAACCATGATTAAGTAAAATCTGTCCATGGTGACACACCCACTTCTAATAAGATGTAATATTAATTTGGATGAAGCAGGTGTTACAAAGAAGTAGTGTTGGATTGAAATTGTGTTGGAGCAAAGAATTTTGGTTGGCAAAATAAGTATATCCAGGTAGGTTTATCGTTTGTCCATGAGAATAATGTTCCTTGACCCCTTTACAAAGTGATAGTTTTGACACTCAAAATGCGAAGTCCAATTATAGGACTTCCTGTATATTCTGCCTGAAATTCATCTTTGTGGATGAAATAGACAAAGAACAGTTTCTCTCTGTGTGAGTCTTCTCTGACTGCGAGGTCGTTAAACAGCCTGAGACCATTCCTGTGGGACTGAAGTGTTGACGTGAGAGCAGCGGTGTTCTCTGGCTACAGCCCTTTGGCCACCACAGCTGCCTTTCAGTCCCTTGAAGTCCTGTTTGTTTTCTGTTTTGTCAGAGCGTGGTGTGTGGACTGGTCACTCGCCAGAGGTCGGCCGGGAGGAAGGAAGAGACAGACCACAAAATGTCCAGTGGTCAGTCACACTCTCCGCCTGAGGAGATTTTACCGTCTTCTTCTGGGTGTTTTATGTAACATTATCTTAGCATGTCAACTCTCACAGCTGGGCCATTCTTCCACATGTCAGACTACATTTTATAATTAAACAGGTAAACAAAATATAAGCTGCAGTCAGCTGCTGGTTTGGAACACTTTCAACACTATTGTTGAAACTGAATGAGAGAAAACAGCCATGTTTGTCGATACAGTTTTATATTCATTTGGTGTGATCCAATTTCCATCACACAAGGGACAATGTCAGCACAAATGATTTTTTTTACAATGTCAGCAGCTGTGAAAATGGGCTTTATCGTCAGCATCTGGGAGGGTATGCATGATGGTAATAAAATAGGGGGAAGGTAAAATGTTCAATATTGAAGATAAACCAGGGTTAGATGAAAAAGAAAAGACACCTAAGAAAAGACCAGCTGGGGAAGAAGCCACCACAGCAAATTGACCATCACAGCAATCCTTTCACCCACGTCGTTTTTGCCGCCAGCAAGGCCCAAAGGTGATGCTTAGGGATGCATGGGTACACAGCTAAACTGTCTCTGAAACAAATGTGGGAATTGGGAAGAAACCAGGAAACCAAGTGTGGATTATTTTTTCTTTTGCTCTTCCCAGCGAGGATGTGTGACTATAAATATAACTCTGTGTCTCTTGAGTGCTCACAAAGACTTTACTGGATTTCACTAGACAGCTGTGTAAAATCTGAACGGTACAGTTTTAATCTTAGAGCAGGAGTAAGATCTGGAAAAAAGAGTTAATTCAATCTTGAAATTGTATTTCTTTTTTCTTTGACAATGCTTACTTTAATAGGTAGTAACCATGGATGCTCTCTCTCAATGGTATTCGTACTGAGCTTGTCCCTCATCCTCCTGCTGCATCATGGGTACTCAGAAGCTTCTGTGTACCACATAAAAGGTAAGACTTCTTTTATTATCCTTTAGTATGTGAAGTGGTGCATCTCTGCTCCTGCTCGGTCCATACTTGTTGTATTCTTCCCGAGAAGGTACAAATGAATACTATGTGACTTTTTGGACCTCTAGCCAAACCCCAGCTGGCTGACCACAGACAGTGTCCTCTATTTCCTGACCTTGCGTTCAGCCCCGTGGGGCTCTTCACTGCAGATCAGAGTGTTCCTATTGATCACATCCACAAGGTGACTGAAAAAATTCCCCATGAGAATAGCCTGCAGGGGAAAGAGGATAAATCATTGTGAATGCTATATGCAGCCCGACCTCTTGCTGCTAGACTCTTTGTACTTAGCCATATGGATATGCATTTGTAAAAACATGAAAACTTTTGTTGGAGCATCTGGCAAGGGATGAAAATAGGTCAATATTTGAAGTTCAAAGAAAAAAAGGGGGAAGATGGAGAACAATATATGAGGTGGTCTGTAATTCTAACCGATATTGATATGACACCAAAAAAAGAAACTGTGTTACTTTAATGGCTACACACCAAGTTTCTGGTTGAAAGGATAGGACAGCTTCATCTTTTCAACATCTGTCGAGGTTTCATTTGCTTCCCAGTTTTCTACCATTTAAGCTGTTCCACTTCCTCTTCCAAAGCCAGGTGTTCAAACTCTTGAGCACACACTGAACATTTGGGCCAGTTTCAGTTTGATGAAAACTGGATCAAGCGCATGCAGATCAGATTAGAAAGTACAAAAATAAAACGCCAGAGAAAGCACTGGTGTGTCATCATTGTTGTGTGTTTCTGTCTCTCAGGCATCTGTTCGTACAAAGACAAGTACTACAAAGCTGGAGAGTCTTTCCGGAGAGGCTGTGACAAGTGTTTCTGTCATGACTTCGGTGCCTACTGCTTCACGTGAGTAGACTCTTCTCGCATGCAGCCCTCTCCATGTGGTTTCTGTTATCATAGCTGACAAATGCTGCCCTTAGTTTAACTGGTCATGCCTCTATCCCCCTCTCTCTCTCCAGGCCAATGAAGCCCACCTCCTGGCCCAGGAAGTGTCGTCGGGTCAGGGCAGAGTGTGGTTACACGGTGGTTTACAAAGAAGACCCACAGAAGCAGTGCCAAGCCTACAGCTGGATAGGATAATATAATTTTCTAATCCATGCATGAGTTTTTTGATTATGTATATAACGTGTTATCCTATAATTTTATTGTATGTACAGCAGACTTTGCTTTGAGAAAGTATAGTAATACTGTTGAGGTAGTATGACTGAGTTGTGCTTTGTACATGACTTACTGGAGATTTGCACTGAAACATATCTGGTTTAATTTTCTAAAAGCTGAACAATAAAGTGACTGAAAAACAAAGAGAAAGAGGATTTTTAATTTAAAATAAAAATGCTCATCATGGCAAACATTCAAACTGTCACCCGGGCTCCTGTGAGGAGTCTTTAGCTGGTTATTAACACATAAATTGATACTTGTGCTTTGATTTACAAAAGCAAGAGGTGGAATATTTCTACATGCTTATTTTTAATGCCTGAAACCACTGCCACAGGGAAGGTGCCAGACAAGGCGATAAACAGCACACTGCCAAAAAAAAAAAGTCAAGGTTTATTTTTCCTTTTCCAAAAGCAAAGATTCAAAGCAAGTGGTATTTGGCTGTTGGAGGAACAGCCTGAGAGGGTGAGATTTTTTTTTTTTTTAACACGTGTACAGGACAAGATCGCCAAAGAAATAATATCTGATCAGTCCAATCTGTTTTATTTATAGAGCAGCACATTTTAAGTTCAACAAATTTCCGCACAGTACAGTACAAAGCAGAAAGCTCAACTTGTGTCTATGAACCTGTTGTTGAAAAAACAATTATTTTAGCGAGCAGTGCATCACAATCATAACAATAATAGCAAATGTGTAAAAATAAATATAGACAAATATGAGTGGAGTTGGATTTTATTGCACAAGGATGTGACGAATCCTGTGACAGATGCAGTTGACAGCTATATGATGTTCAATGAATGCAAGAGGAACCAGTAGGGCTGTACGAGTGGGGGGATGATGCTGGTTGTTGCAAGTTTCTCTTCGGCTGGGAGTGCCCTAGTAGTGACTCAGCTCATTTCACAAAGTCACTGAGAGTTGTATGTACTTTTATGGCTCCTAAATACAATTTAAAAATAATAATCACCTAAAATACAAAGTAGACTAAGGGCTTATTTATGCTCTTCTTACAAACAATAATAGAGCCGTATGTTTTCAACAGTGTGATGGCCACAGCCCTCACATTGTCATGCACCCTTTGCAGTGGAAAGAAAATGAAGCAGTGCATCTGCTAGATGGGACTGCTAAGACTCAGAAGTAAACCTAAAAAAGAAGAGTCGAAGTCTATGACAACAACAAACATGGTGACAATGGAGGAGATATAAACACTGTGTCTTCTATGAAAAAGGCAAAATGGAGGCAGCGATGTAGACGGTGGGCCGTGATGACATTAAATACTTTCAGCACCATAGTGAGTGACATTACAGTGAACACAAGACCACATGTGATCAAAAGGGTGACCAAAATCAACAGGAAGCACAAGAAGGAAGTTTTAAACAGGAAGCTTTAGGATTCAATTTCATTGACAAGTAGCTGCAATTTGAGATCTATATATATATAAAAAAAGACCAAGCATTACAAAAAAAGTGCAATAGGGGACTCCTTTATCAACTTCTCTGTTTGGTGTTTTAGAAGTAGGACGTCACATTGTTCAGGATTCCACATTAAGAAAATAGCTCTGAATAGCTCCTTCTGCCAATCAAAGATGCCCCTCCTAACATCTCACCGAACATGGCTGCATGTTCATGAAGTGTCCAGACTGATCTACTGAGAGCATCTCGCTCTGACCACATATATATTTGAAAAAGGGCAATCATAAGGTCAACCATGGGTGTCGGAGACACTGTGCAGCAGTTGCCCTCCTCTCTGGGTAATAATCCAACATACAGAGCAGAAAGTCTGAGAATTTAGAGGCCTCCTCAAGTAAGAAATGGTATTTCTCCACCAGGACATCATAAAGGCTCCAGAGCCTCAGCGGGCCGACGTGACGCAGATCACCTGAGTGAGAAACAAACAGTGTTACACAATGGTATCCATGTATCTGTGCATTCATCCATGCATACTATCACTGGCCTATCTACATCTCAAAGCATCCTAATAAGATGCTTGTACCACCTCAATGTGTATATATGATCTCATCCTTTTAATCAATAATTAACCAAAGCTCATCGCAAAAACATGGGATTAGAAAGGTGGATCAATGGGTAACTCTAAAGCTTTGCCCCAAACCCAGCTCCCTCTTCCCCTCTGTTTGATTCAAAGCCAAGATACATCAATAAGAAGTAAAGTCAGGCTGGTAAACAGATTTTTGACTCCTTTTGAACCTTAAGTTACAGACTTACCTCTACGGCTGAAGTACTCTCCAGAGTATTTGCCCGATAAAGCAAGGGCTGGTGGGATTTTACCAAGCCGCATCATGATCTGGGCTATATGGTCTGTGATAGATGCACAAATTTACAACATACATTAGCATAAATGGCCCCAGCAACTACAATGCAAGGTGTAATCCCCTTATTCTTTGCCAGAGTCAGCAGTCTGCACTAAACGTACCTTCCTCCAGGGAAACAGACTCGCTGGCTTTGGGTTCAAACAGGGAGTCCCCAGTGACCAACTCAAAGGCCTGAGAAAAAGCAAAATAAATGAATAAAAAAACAATTAAAAGACAAGATGGATGTCAAAGTGGGCAGGGGTGAGTCCAGAGGGTTGGCACGGGCCCCCCTCGTGGTCTAATTAGCGACCCCAGGTGCCACTCCATAGTATGATTGGCTATTTTCCCCATCAGAGACAGGATTTAATGTTAAAATCAAGGTGCTGGACTTTTGCTTGGCTATATTACACAACTTTTGAAAGTCACAAATGTTAAAGGTCAGAATAAAATCATAAGGGTTTTACTGGAGTCAGGGTGTACTCTTGTGATCTTAGTCGTTTGATGTAGGGTGGTCTTGAAACGGAATCAGGCTTTCTTCTGTCTTGGTGATAAATCAAACTTGGTCGATTTTTTTCTTATGTACTCTCGCCAGTTCTCAACAAGTGCCTCAATCCCATCTTTGGTTGCAATTACAGAAAAGTCCAATTTGAAGTTTCAAAATGAATCAGTGCCACACTTCCTTACATGAGGGACTTGATAAATAAAGTTTTACAACATTTTTTGGTAAATTTTTCGAATAACCTATCTCCACCTATTAAAAACCAAATTACTCATGTTAATGGTATCAAGAGTCTCAAATTTAATTCTTGGTATTTTGTAATACAGGATAAAATTTCTCTTTTGTAACTTTCTGTGGAGAGAACAAACAGATGCATCCAACACCTCCTTTCCAAGAGTGTAGGAGGAAGGAGAACCTACACTGGCGACAAAACTTGTAAAAGACCCACTGTGGAGCTGTGTGCTTGGTCTATTTCAGGCTCTTATTGAAACAAGATGATGCAACATTTGTGCTCACTACACAGATCATGGAAAATAGTCCATTTTGGCTAGAACACACCTCGATCTTACACTCCCTCACTTTCCAGGCTTTCTATATTAACACAGCTTTGGATCAATTCTTATTTAATATGGCATAAATGCAACACTGCTACATACCAGGCACAAAATCTGATTCTGTTTCCCAAAGACACACTCTGGTTTGACAGCAGATTGGAGTTTGTGCAAGGTTTTAAAGCCTTTGATAGGATAATGTAGCCAAATACTGAGTGTGCTGTACTGCATGTCGATGCAGGTTAGGAAGTCAGACCCAGCCCAGAGTACATAAGGGGGTCTTAAAGCTCCTGTGAGGAGGTTTTTGAGATTAATGAAAAAAACTGATATTAATATAGATGCTTTTTATTATATAAAATGCAAACAAGACAATAGATGATAAAATTTGTGTATTTTTGTTCAGTAATTTCTCATGGCTGGAACTGGTGCAAAGGGATAGGAGTCATTGGAGCCACCCTTTAAAAAAGCATATATAGCATTTTCCACTTTAAAAATAAAAAGGTGTATTTGACCCTAAAAGCTGCAAAGGTTAAGACACTATTTCAGTATGTAGAATGACTGTTTTTATCCACAGGGTTTTGTCCACCAAAGTTGACATGAGCCAAAAGCTTCTCACAGGATCTTTAACAGCTGCCCATATCAGCTGATGGCCCAGCCGGTTACCATATGTATTCGCTTGTCGAACAGTCTAATGGATGCTTTCCTTTGCATATGACTTTGCAGCCCACCTCCACCCCAGCTGCTTCTCTAAATGCTGTTTGTATCATCTTTGCTGCTGCTCTCCCTTCCTGTATTCCACATAAGCATGTAGAAGGCCTGGGAAGATCATATAGTTTATTTTTATTCCTCACCATGCAGGCGACACTCCAGATATCAGCAGGCGGGCCATACTCAGATCCCAGTAAAACCTCCAGAGAGCGATACTGCCGGGTCTGGATCTCCTCACAGAAATGTTTGTACTGCTCCAAACAAAAGAAACAAGCATAACAAAGAAAGAGATTATCAGTATAAATCAGTCAAAAAAGTCATGACTTTTACCTGCAGAGATTATCCCTTTAGAAACAAATTAGGCAGTCAATTTAAGATTACAGGGAGAGATAGTCTCTTTGGGTTAAAAACAAACTTCACAATTAGCTTGTCATACATGAAAACCTGTAAGTACAGCACAAGTACTGACCACCCAGCAGGAGCTGCCCAGGTCTGCAATCTTCACTGTGATGTCCTTCAGACTGTGTTGGTTGATCTGTTCCTTCACTGGAGAAACAAAAAAAAGAAAATCATGCATCAGGTCATCTGGCTTCTTCAGTTAACACAGTGCAACAAATGTCTTGTATGATTTAGGCCTAGAGTATCTACAGAGTAAAGATTACACATCTGCTTTATGCACACATATGATGAACCCTGTTGTGTTAACAAAAGTTAAACTGTACCTGTAGAGTTGGCCTCTTTCCTGGTCAGCACAGAGGAGGAGCTGCTGCTGCCCCCTGCTGGAACAACATGGGACAGGTCTTCAGAAAACAGCAGGATGTTCTCAGGCTTGATGTCTGTGTGGATGATTTGACACTGAGTGTGGAGGTAGTACAAGCCCTGCAGCACCTAGAGCAAACACAAAACAAGTTTTTCTAGCCCATGAGTCCAAAGTGGTTAGATAAAAATAGTAACTTAAGAACCAAATTGTTCCAGTAGTCTATCAACATATCTTCAGTCCTTGCAGTTTTTACCTGAGTGAGTATTTGTTTGACCAAAGGCTGTGACAGTCCGGGATTCCCAAAACAAATCTGCCAGCTTCTCAGATCAGGTCCCAGCAGCTCCAGGACCAGGCAAATATCTGACCACAGGTATCAAGGCTGTGTTCACATTTTTACAGAGTGCTAGCTATGAGGTTTTCACTGCATGATGCAATATGTGAATGGCACATCTCTAAAAGCACTACTGGTCCAAAGTGATAAATTATTTAGATGTCTGCATAATTATCTTGCACTTTCTGATCTTGTAAGTGCATTTGAGGTCCCCTCAAAACTACACCAGCTTAGATTTCTTCAGCCCTCAGTTTCGGGTCATGAAAGTATGCAAAAGGATACGGATCCCATTGACCCCAACCAACTTGAACTCATCCAACAGCTTCACAATCCTTCGACTAAGGGGATGGCGGGTTGTAGGACCACTGGCCTGAGGAGAAAAGAGACAAGACAGTCAGAAGAGTCTAATGATGAATAAACTGTCCGAATAAAAGACAAAGAAATGTTTGAAAAGCAGAAAAGTGGAGAAGGGTCAAAGACAGAGCAAACAAACTGTGCATGACTGACACATCGAAGGAGGGCGAGTTCATCCTGTCCTGCCTGAGTGAAGCCGGGTCCACTTTTCAGCACCTTCACAGCCACACGCCGACTGAGCCTGCATCAACAGAAACACCAGATCAGACCTGCAGGCATTCAGGACAAAGTAGTAACCCTCTGCAAAATTCTGTGTTTAAGTGTGAAAAGAGTGTGTTTCATTTCTTACGTAATGAATCAGTCAATGATTTCCTACACTAATCACAAAATTTTTGAACAAGTTTCAAAAAGAAGGATTAAGATTGTAACCAACTCAGCAAAGGGGAGACATGCAGCAGTGAATCGTGGATCGGAGTCAAACTAGCAGCTGCTAAGACAAAGATTGTAGTGTCTGTGTATGGAGCGCACTTAGACTGTCAGGCCAGCCACTGACTTTTTTGACATGGTCAGTTTTGGTAATGGGCTGCATCCAAGTACATCAACAGATGTGTTCAGTTGCCCTTTCTTGGTCCATGCAGTCAAATCCGTCGAGTAACATCTATGAGACTCTTGTGTCGTTTCAACAGTTTATGATCATGGTAAGACACTGACACTTGGCAGCCCAGCACAATCACCAAACTGCTTCAAACAACAAAGGTCTAAGAATTCTAGTCCCAGAATTGCAGTCCTGTCTCTGCAGCCTCTGGGTCTGCAGACATGTGCTACCCCTTGCAGTAGGTAACCTCACAGAGTCAACTGTCATCTGAGAGTCGTGGTACCATAGAGAGGATGTTGTTTTGAAATGTAGGAGTGACTGTGTATATCTGTCTTATAATGTACCTGGTGAATAGTATTTGTAATTATTTAATCCCATTAACCTTTCATTGTGTCTTTACACTCTAATGAACCCATAAGGTTAATATACTGCTGGAACACACAGGACGCTGGCCCACGATCATCCAAAGGTCACACTGAAAAGTCTCTTTCCTTTTTGGAAAGTGAAACTTAAGACTCTCCCCCACCTCTCCATCCTGATCACTTTTATACAGTCCCCAATTAAACCTACGTGTGATCCAAGCACAGCCAGACGGTGGAGAAATAACCCCAGCCGAGCTTAGAAAGCACCTGGTAACGTCCGTTAAGGGTGTCACCTATCTGGACAGGGTGGTACCCTCCTGAGGAGATAAAAAAGAAAAATATGAGATCAGCCAAAGTCATGTCTTTTGATATATTTTTAATATAAACTCAGATTGTGAAGTGGCCCTCCTGGGATTGATCAATGTGTGCAGCATTTGTGACACATTAGGAATTTATTCTGCTGTTCTGAGAGCTTTAGAGAGCGAGGACAAAAAATGTGGCTCTAAAGCTATTTCTGGCATTACAACTTCCTCTAAGCTGTACCATGTCTGCAGTGAGTAATACATTTAAATCTGCCAGCAGGACTCTGAAAAATGATGATGCATAAGCCTGTATCAGCTCTCTTTGAGACAGCAAGACACACACTTCTTGGACATTGTCAGAGATCTGGAAATTGAATCTCTTTTTCTATTAAAAGTGAACATGATATAAGATGGTTTATGATTTATTACTGTGTCAGGTATCTGTAGTATCACATACTCAGCAGCTTATCTGCCCTCCAGAGATACTCGCAGAAACCTGCACAGCTGGCAGGAAAGAGAGGAAGAACAGAGGGAGCAAGGTCAGAATGGGCAAAGAGATACTGCAGGTTCAAGTGATTTACAATGAGAGAGGGATAACTGTGGACTGAGGCCATGACAGCGAGGGGGAAGCACTTAAAGGGCATAAAAAATCAAAAATATGTGTCAGAAAGCTGAATGTCTCAGGACAGAGTAACTAAGAAAAGGCAAACCAAAGGATGGGAGCCAATCAGAGGATTTACACTGAGGTATTAAGGCAGGTTAGTGGTCATAATCAATGTTAGGCTCTTTCCAAGTGGCAGCAAATTACAGTGTGCACAGCTGCCTCTCAATCTCCAATCTCCTAGCCTTAATATCTACAAAACAAACATGTCACAAAGGAGTTTTCTTGCTGTTCAGTGGATGCTTGGGGGTTCCTGAGCTGATCAGACCCAATATGTTTTGTAACCTGGCTTTAAACATGTTTATTTTTGCTCTTAAAAATAGACTTTTTGTCATGGTGGGTACATGGTGTCAAGTGGACACCAATGGTACAGCAGTTTTTAGCACTCCTACATCTGCTTGATTTCTCAAGACTGAAGATTTGCTGGTTAGTTAACCTTAAAGTCTCTTTAAAGTTGCAGCCCTGGTGTTGAGGGTTTTTTTTTTTTACATGTAGGACCAGGGAAGGTGCTATATATTTAAAAATACGTTTCAAAAAGTATTTTAGAAGTATAAAGCTGTAAGCAACTTCATATATTATAGGAAAGAAAAGAAGGAGAGTAAGATCTCCTTGGGATTCAACCAGAGAAAAATTCCCCTGTCCGAATTTGTTCTATTTGAATATTTTACCACCCTAAAGCAGTGGAGCTTTCCAACATTTTACAAGAAAACTTGAACTTATTACAGAATATCTTTTTATATTCATAATCCGAGCTCAGAGCACTCATCCTGCCTTTGAAATACTGTTTCAATCTGTGTAGTCTTATTCATCAGGTTTAGTTTCCTCCACAGTAAGACCACCAGCTGATCTGACCATATTGTCTCATTGGAGCACATGTATGTCAGCAGAGAGGAAAAGGAAATTGCAGCACTGATTAATGCTGCATTCCAGTTGTATTCGGAAGTTGGAATTTCCGAGCTGCGAGTCTGAAATTCATCTGGAACGCCCCTCTGAAGTCAGATATCCGAATCTGAAAGTCGGACGATCCTCACCAACCCCGACTTGATGTCAACATCATAATCCAAGATGGCAGCGCAGTGCATCAACAGCAAAGAGTAATAGTGAAAGCTCTCGTAACATATTATTTATTTGCACTTCTGTTTTGTTTTTGTTAAATTAAATAAGTGGTATATGTTATACTGCCCAATGTCTAACTGTGAACACGGTGCTATGGTGTTTGTAAGAGTAAAATACTGTGTTCTATGTTGTTTACAACTGATATAGCTAACAACAACTAACAACAGCAAACAATAGCTGACAACCGCTAACAACAACTGACATCAACCAGCGACAGCTGACAATTGTAAACAACAGCTAACAACGTCTAACAGTAGGCATCCATCTTGGTTTTCCGACTTGTTAACTGGAACGCCGTCAACTTGGGTGTAACGTCATTCCCAGCTCCAACTTCTGACTTCTGAGGTTACTGAAATGCAGCATTAATCTTTAATCCCAGTTCAAAAATCAGCCTATACGTTGTCTTTGGCAGTTTAGCTCTGGTGATGGCCCCATCAGGCAATCAACCAGAATATAATGTACTATATGCTATATGTTTGTCACATATGAACCTTGAACTTTGCAATGGATCATGGCTGTGATGATCCTTTTAGTGTGTTAACATTGGCAAGCAGTTTGCAGATAAATAAAGAGTCTGCTGTACCATAACAGTATTCTCTGGGGTCCTCGGAGTCCCGGTTCTCCTTTACATGCGGCTGCTCGTGGCTTTCCAGGGGGTTGAAACTGCATGACGCAAACACACACAAACAGACATGTCACATGAAAACCTATCACTGCCTCCACATACATCATGTTCATGTATGTTTGCAGTGTCAACTGTCTGCAGGCACCTGAGATACTGGCACGACTTTGGGTTTTTCCGTAGACTCTCCCTGTCATGGAAACTTGTCCCACTGCCCAGCTAAGACTGTACGAGCAGCATCGGAAGTTGCACTATATCTGACTCAGCTGTAAATCAATTTGCGGTATGTTCACGCAACCTGATAACACTGCTGCGTCTCAGCTGCTTTAGTTTGGACATCCACAAGCGCAGCATAGGGAAAGGTTTTGGTCTCGTCATGTCTGGAAATACTGAACAGGGGTCTGATTTCTGTGCAGCTGGAATGACTTGCAGGGGAGCTTGATGTGACAAATGGCACCCTTGTTTTTAGATGAATGGAAACAAGGATCTCTAGTTTTTGGAAAGGTTTACTGACATATGGATGATCTTCTGGTTTCCTTTTAGAGTTTGTTGAATCATGTTTTGATATGATGAAACTCTAAACTGTCATCTAAGTCACTTTCCAGATGTCTAACACCTTGTCACTTTTAGTTGGGGCATCACTTTGCTAAACTTAACTGCTACAGACAGCATTCTGCTGCTGTGGATATGAACTTAATGAGGACAGTTTTATATCGATCAGAGGAAGCATAAATCCAAGATTGTACCGAACTTTTACTAAATGCATAAAAGATTATTTCTGTTGTGTGTGTTTCGTGTTTAAAATCAAATGAAATAGTTGTTCCAAATGTTTGTGGAGAAACTGGAGCACAAAAGAGGGATGATGTGGCTCATGTGCTAAAAAAAGAGATGGAAAACAGAAATCCTGTACTCACATGTGATCCTGAGTTGCTTTACATGTTGTATTAGGACTCCTCTGCATATTGTGGTTCATCAGTTGCAGCCGGTGGAGCAGAAAAAAATCAGGAGTCCTGTAATTAAAATTTAAAAAAAAGGTGGAAACCTGCAGGCTGCAAAAGTCTTATCTTCAGTATAACATGAGAGAAGACATGGATATTGTAGTAAAAGCAAGTGAAACTGCAGCACCTTTAAAGTTGCAAACTATTGAGCAGCTGAGAGGTAGCAGAGAGTTGAGGGTCTTAGAAATCCTTCAGGAGACTGGGAAAGCCAGCAGCAGTCAGTCCGGTCCAAACATGGAAATCCCAGCAGTCCTCCAATTATCCCCCTGTCAGGACTTTACCTGCTTCTCTCTGATTTATACCCTTCCCTCACTCCTGATGTGAGCAAATCTACAGCTAATTCATTCACTCTCTCTCACTTTATCTGTAAGTCTGGATTTCTCTTTGCTACTGTGAGAAAGCCACAACAGAGAGGAAAAGAGATAAGAGGAGTGTCGCGTGAGTCCTCACACACTGTGAGGGGAAAGAGTGACAGCTGCTGATGTTTTCCCCTCTTGGCTCAGGGGCTGTTTGACCTTTGGGCTGCGGGGATCACAGAGAGCTAAACCTGGCTTGAGAATGGGATCCTCGACCTCCAACATGATATTAAGTATCACAATAAAGGCATTAGGAGGAGGGTTAGCTGAGGGACGGCTTTTGTTTTGTTTTAAACTGGACATTGATTGACTGCATGCACATAGTCAACTTTTCCCTCAGTATTTCACTCTGTTTAGGAAGCCTGAATGTTTTGTCATTGCAAGTCCTATAAAGATAGGAAATCTGACAAATCAGTGTGTTTCATTTCCTCTACATCAGCCTGTATAATCATGGTATGAAACCAGAACAGTCTCCAACCATGGAGCAAAAGGGCTGCTGGGAAATAAAACAATAAACAGACTGAGAAAGAGAGAGAGTAAGAGGGAGAAGCGTGATGGTGTGGAAGGGATAAAAATGAGCAGTGTGTGTGTGTGTGTGTGTGTGTGTGTGTGTGTGTGTGTGTGTGTGTGTGTGTGTGTGTGTGTGTGTGTGTGTGTGTGTGTGTGTGTGTGTGTGTGTGTAGGGTGTGATGTGAATTAAATGTCATCACCTTCAGAAACTGATGTTCTCCTGACCTCACGTGAATAACGGTTCATCGTCAGTTAACACATTATCACAGGTCCTTTTGTGGACTTCTTGACTTCTCTAAATATAGAGCACACTTTGGCTGAAGTGGTACAGCATTATAGGCATGTCACTGTTTATATACAGTATATATATATATATATATATATATATATATATATATATATATATATATATATATATATATATATATATATATATATATATATATATATATACAAGTACAACTCTTTATAAAGCCACCACTTTTAACACATTGTAAGCATTCAAATTCCCACTTTGATCTTTCAGACTTATTTTCTTGGATTTTTTTAGTTTAAAGTAAAAGTTCTGAGAGACAATTTTTGATAATATATAACAGAATTTTTTTAATAATAATAATAATATATATATATATATATATATATATATATATATATATATATATTTTTTTTTTTTTTTTTTTTTTCTCAGAGATCAAAAATGATCTCTCAGAACTTTTACTTTAAACTAAAAAATATATCATTTACAAAAATCTCTAACTTTAATTTTAAAAACATCAAACCAAGCCTTAAAGATGAGACTTCCAAATTTATGAAATGCTGAAATGCAATGTGAGGTGAATCTTTATTTATTTATTCATTTTTTAAGAGCAGATTAAGAAGTCAAGATGCACCATTTTGAACATTCATAAGCCCTCTTAATCATGAATGGGCTGTAGGCTGAAAGCTTTGTGTACACACTGTTGGGACGCAATCACAGGAACATTCAAAACTGTGCGGCCTTCCTCCTGAGATGTTGATATCTAACCATCTGGACTTTGTTTACTCTGTGTCAGAGTTTTGAATTAATCTACAGAAAATACTAATTTATGAGATCACAGAGCGATGTGAAAGCACATCTTTATTGTGGTACAACACTCCAAAGCTCTGAAACAGAAAACAGAGCCGTGTTTGGCTTTGTATTGCTTTGCAGAAGAGTGTGCAGGTGGTCCAGCCTCCTGTGTTCAGCTATTACTGTGTAATGTTGGTCCAGTCTTAAGCTGAAAAGCCTGTGCAGGCTGTTACTGTTTTCCACTTTCAGAGAGTGTAATCAGAGACTTCCCTCAGGAGCAGGAAGTGTATGTATGTGTGTGTGTGTGTGTGTGTGTGTGTGTGTGTGTGTGTGTGTGTGTGTGTGTGTGTGTGTGTGTGTGTGTGTGTGCTAAGAGACATCATAACAGCACCTGCACGGATCTAGATCACTGGGTTAGTAGGGAATAAATACCAGGTAGTGAAAGAAGATTATACCACAACACGCATCAATCCCAGTCTAATCTTTAAAACTTCACATGAATCTTTTAAATCGCCAGGCAAATCAAACGTGAAATATAAAAACACAGCTGGTTAATTCATCTTGTTGCTGATTCATTTGTCTGTAAACTCTACAAACTGGAAAAATAAACCATGGTTGTGCAAAAAGAAAAAGTCCCCACAAGAGCTACTTAGCAATCAGGAGCACACACACTCTCCACGACCTTCAGAGTAGCCTCACTGACCCAGACCTGTCTATACCATACAGAGAAACGTGAGCTGCATCCAACTGCTATCATACTGCTAATTTAAGACACGCAGACACACACACTGTGTTTACATGCACAGTTAAGTTACGCTATGGTTGTACCTAAATTAGCTGCTTTGACTAGACTACTGTCTATAACTAGCAGGCGTAAATAGATGTATTGACCCAAGGTACAGTGTGTCTGCCCCCACTAAGGTAGATGGTGATATGATGGTGACAACTGTGGAGCATGCTCAGAACGCTTAGGCCAGTTTGACTCCAACTGAGGTGTACAGTAAATGCAAGAGAAAACTGGTCACCAACAGCATTATCTCTGTGTCTCAGTCCAATGATTAGAAATTTGAGTTCATGTGATTTCAAATGCATGCAAACGCATTGGCTGATTCTGCGGGTCTTAAGTCATGCTTTTGAAGCCAGAGAGACTAGATTTGAGATTTCATCACCTCTTTAGTTCAGAGATAAAAACAACACACAGCTGTTACCTGACACTCCCACACTGGATTACAAATGAATGTCTGTTGTCTATGTGTCTCCTTTCAGAGTCCAGTGTGAGTATAATGAGTGCAAGAGCACACACATAGTGGCAAGGCCTCAGTCTCAATCTTCACCCTTAAGCCGGAGCACTGACCCCCATTGATTCTCATAATTGTAGGTGTTCAGCAGGGGTTGGGTCTACGAGTACAAGAAGAGGCACGGTTACTTTCCGAAAACTTTTTTACCTTTTCATCCGACCTTCACCTGTACTCAACAAGACAAAATGGCCATCTTCAGTTACCTTCGTGTCAAACTTCTTGTCATCAGTCGAATTTTTTGAGGACCGAAACTATGGACTAATCTGGATGCATCTCTAAAATCAACATCATCCCTCAAATCCTTTAAAATATCATTAAAATCTCATCTAATCATGTCCTAAACACATCATTATTTGTTATGATCATGTTTCTTTCCTTTTTATGAATACTTATATTGTCTCTATCACTGTTTGTTTTTTAGTCTGTGTTCTATTTATGGCATTTTGTATCTGTTTGACCTTTCCCTAATCATTGTATATTTATAACCTGTCTGTGTCCTAGTTACTTTGTTGTTTGCACCCTATGTAGTGGAACTTTGTATAGACCTATTGACTTTGTTTCCTCCTTGCACTGTTTTTAATCTGTGCTAAATAAATAAATACAAATACAAATACAAAGGTGTGGTCCTGCTCCTGAAACTTTGATTGCTGTTTGCTTTCACTGATGTTTGTTCTTTGAGAGTTTTTCGATCTCAATACAAAGGAAAAACTTGACAAATGCCCTATTGATAACCACAGCAGAAAATAAGTGCTGTGAACCTCCTACTGTCATAGGCTTTCACTTATTTGGAGGTGCGGCCACTCCGTTATGGCAGCTGCAATGACGGATAGCTCCAGGCAGCATCTACATGCTTATATCTAAAGATAACCACCAACATTATAACATTACATCTGCAGTGACTTCTGTATACCACAGGAGGTTCTGTAGAAATGCAAACTCACAAAGACTATGTAATTTGATGTTTCCAGAGTCTGACATTGTAATGGGATAACACCAGTACTCATACTCAATGCACCCTAAACTCTGTGAGTTGGTGAGTGTACTGATTGAGCCTAAGACCCCACTAAGGGAGGTTAAGTGAAGTACTTCTGAAGCCCAGTTATTTGCCATTTTGGCTATATATCAATAAGGGTATGGACTTATTAAGAGAAGAGAAGATGAGAAGAGAAGAGAAGAGAAGAGAAGAGAAGAGAAGAGAAGAGAAGAGAAGAGTTATTGTTTTCCAAAGGGAAATACACAATATTAACTGAATTATTAATTGTAAAATCAAACATTTTCATTGGGTTAAAATTGTTTTCTTATTACTATCCAAAGCTGATGGACATGCTATTCAAAGGACAGCCACCTAACATGTAACATGTAAAGTGGCGCCATTCGGTGAGCACTCTATTACAAAGAAGGGACCCATACATGTAAGTGTTAGTTACACAGTTTATTCATTACATCATTTAAGTAAATTAACCTGCAGAAATATTGGAAGATTTTGATTTCAGACAGTTGTTGCTACATCTAGTTGCAATTTACCATGAAAAAGAAGTGATAAAATAATGCTATCGCTGTTTTGTGTAAATGTTTGATGACCTAATTAGACTGAGACAAACTCACTTTGTGTCAGTAAATACACAATGTAGAGAAGGTCATTTAAGACATATAAAAAGTTTTCCCCTGACTCATAAGGACTGATCAGTGTCTTGTTTTGGTGCTGGTAAATAAGACATGACACTTCTGTTACTCCACATGTTTATCTGTTTATCCGTGGGCAAACATGACTTGCAGCTTTAGACTGTTTGGGTCCAGCTTGAGGCTTATGCATGTTTTAACATCACCAGCTGTGTGCGACAGGTGTTCATACTTTCTCATTCACAGGACACTGAGAGAGGGAGTCCAAATATAGCTCCCAGACCGGCTCTCTGATGACAGAAGGTGGTTAATGTGCTTAGCTGACGCTATGCTAACTTCCTCAGTCGGAATCAACAAACAGGGCTTGGTTAAAGTTACGAACGGATATAAACAGTGTTTCTGAGAAGAGTTGCATACTATTTTATGTAATTTGATTGGCTCATGTTCACATATTGAGCCACAGTTTGACACTTAGAACATGGAAAGGTGTGACTAATAAGGATAATAACAATAACAGTGAGGGCCTGTGCTTACAAAGTTCTTTCAAGTTTTGGTGAAAGATAAGGTGACCAGATGTACCCGATCTCTGCGGACAGTCCCCACTTTGGAGAATGTCCCTGATTCAAGCGTTTCATAAATGAGAAAAAGAAATGTTGCACGTAGACTAGAACAACGGTTAGTACGTTAGCCGAGTATGTAGGCAGCGCGAGTACGCATGTGATCCCGCCCTCCCAGAAATACAGGGCTTGAAATCAAACCAAACTTAATGCAGAAACTGATTAGTTTGATTCTATAGCTGTTGTAAGTCACTAAAAGCCACAGTAAACAGTGGGATTTTTTAAATGATCAAGATCTGAATCAAATCTACAGCAGGGGCCCCTGGTTCTGAAGGGATCGCAAACTTGACGATTAATTAAATGATGCCTCTAACTGTCAGCATCTTCACTCTCTGCTGCTCAGAGCTGCGCCCCAGAGCTCTCTTCCTCATGGCACTAAACGCTATCTGCTTACAGTATACAGTGAGCTTGATGGAGAAGAAAAGTCCTCAATTTATCCGAGCAAGTCAGCAAAACACAGCTTGTTCATTTACTAACAGATCAAGAAAATGTTTTCTTAACTGAGGAATTTGAGTGTGACAACACTTGTAAAAACTGCTACAGTTCGAAATGACAGTTATCGTCTGTGGCATTTAACACCAGTGTTTGTCAGTGAGGTGGGTTTTGCTGTTAAGCTTGTTTGCACAAAGAAAAGTTCAATTTGCAACACTGAATGTATGTTAACGATTAAAATGTATGCAAATTACACTAGTGCAAAAACACGATATTTGCATGCAAGTGCAGTTTGTGAAGTATTTAACACTTTGCTTTGTGCATTAAAAATGCCTTTTTGACCCACTTGGGTTCAGTGGGTACAAAAGTCATGCAAACCTTTAGTGAACAAAGCCCTCAACTAAGATATGAACGATCACAATTTTTTAAAGAAGAGAGAATTTGTTATAAAAGCCTGCCTTTAATACAAGCCTCACCTGCCTCATATTAAAGCCTCATATATTTGCAGTAAAAGCAAATATATGACCAGATTTATGATAAGCAGAAACAGCAGCAGCTCCACCTCACTGACAGTCCAGTAACAAGCAGCAGTTTGAGAGATTGCCCACAGCCTGAAAAGCTCATTATGACAGATGTGGCAGCAGCAGAAGGACAGCAAGATTTCAAGAGTAGAGAACAGGGAGACAAAAACAAAACGTACAGACCAGGATTAAACACTGGGACCACTTTATTGCATCACATTAAGCTGTTGTTAGGTTTGTCCTACCAGTTAGTCAGAGACACTAAAGTCAGAGTTACTTCAGAGCAGTTTGTATGTACAGAGTGATGGTCAAACATCACAGTGGAGTTTAGCAAACCAGAATAAAAACTTGCAACAAGACAAAAATATTTCTCAACTGCATCAAAAATAGATGAAAGAAATGATAGGAAAAAAAACTGAAAATGTGGCACAAATTCAAGACGACTGCCTCTGAATCTGATTTTGAAATCTTAAAAGAAATTAAATTTGTGTTTTATGTCACCTGTTGAAAAAAGGGGTTAAAAAAGATATTTTAAACATTTGCAAAATAACACTGGACAACTATGCAACAGAATAAATAAAAAATAAATTAAATTGGATAAAACTACTTAAAGACTTTCCCAGCTCTCCTGTCAGTATGAAATGTTTGAGCCGAAAAAAGTTATCCTGCTTGTAACAACCGTTCAACAGAAATACTGCCGATAAGAATAAGTTCACAGGGAGCTTTACACAAAAGAAATGACAGCAAACAAAATATTTCAAGAATGGAAGAACAAACCAGCAGAAATAAAAGAAAAAAACCAGCTGTATTACACAGGAAAGATCAATTAAAATCAACTAAATTATGCACATATATGTTTTAATTTAATCCTACATTATTCAGCGTACGGTCCCATCAGGATTTTGAACCTTTAATGAGGGTTTTTAAAATTTTCTCTGTCTCATACATACCAAGTAAAAGTACTGTCTATCACATAAAAACATCCAGCAGAGGAAAAACACATGTTGCATCAGGGGGATTAAATCCTAAAGTGGCAAAAAAATGTTAAATAAATAAAGTAGAATCAGTTTACTGCATCTTTCTTGTGCATTACTCCTGCATTTCAAATTGAAGTTTTCTCACTTAATTGGTGCAGTTTTTTGTTTTTTTGGTAGAGTTCATGTTGAGTGGAGGATTTTACTCTCATGGATTTCTTCAGGACGGATAAGGTAACATAAAAACCAAGAGCAACTTTTGGCAAATCTACGTGGGTAACACAGAAACACAAAAACTGAAGTGAGAAGTCACAGGAGCAGAGGATGATGGTTAAAAAAGAGCAGGCCGGGAGTGTTTCTGTGTGCTGCATCTTCAACTATAGAGCACCTTTGCGAAAAAAAAAAAAGTCCAAATGGCAGAAGGCAGCATCTACAGTTTGTTGAAGTGATGCTTAGAAAATGAAAAATAAAGCCTGTTTGCAGGGAACAACAAACTGTCCAATAAAAGCAGATTAAACCTGTCAGAGTAAGACTTGTTAGAGCGATTTCAGGAAGCTAAAGCAGAATGAAAACGTCTTTCAAACACGATGAGTTGTTGCAGCTTCATTTGTCCGTTAAGTAAGACTTTGTGCTGGAGAGCTCCACGTTTAAGTCCTCCTTTTCCCTTTTCCTCCATGTTTCTTCTTCCAGCACACTTATATTGTCCACTTTTCAGCAGGAGACGCACGGCCTGTCACAAGCAAAGCGGTGAACTTGCAGGAATGTTCTGTGCAGTTTGGACAGTCGGTTAAGATTAGAGTAGAAAGAGCCAAAAAAAGACGCCCTCAAGAGTGAATCATGGTCAAGGTGAAAGCTCAGATGAGATTCTGCAAGTCTATGTGCTTTATTTCTCCCTTTTTGGCCCTCAGAGCAGTGTCCTTTCACTCCCGGTATGAGGAACTGGAGTCTCAGGATTGGAAAGATCTCAGGATCACTTCTCCCTTCACTGGAAATCAGTCTGCACAAGCACAGTGTCTCCCGCAAAAGTTCTCAGTTCATCTCAGGAAGACAAAACCTCCTGCAGACAGAAGCTGTCCTCCATCAGGGTTAAAGGAAAATCTAGTGTGACCTCCGGGTCATAGATCTGTGACTTTGTTTTCTACAGCAGCAGCGATCTGCTGGAGCCGATAACCCAGCTGCATCTTCTGGGCCGTGGAGTCCTCCTCCAGCGCTGTGATGATCTGAGGGGGAGGAAGACAAGTTCACTTGAAACAGAAGCATGACTTGTTTTATTTGTTACTGTAGGTGGTGTTAACCTTCATGAAAAAGACAAACTGATTGATAATGGAGGATAGACGTGTAGGAGTGGATCACACACTAAACCTGCAGGCTTCTTACTGACGTCACCCTCGATCCTCACTTCTTTGTTAGTTTAAAACTTGTTTTAAAGATTTCACTCTTCATTTTAAAGCTTTTTTTCCAGCTAAGACTACATCACTAACAATGTTTATGCCATTAGAGCTTCTGGACTTTAAATCCACCTGTAAGGGAAAGTGAAGCTGCTCAGTCAGTGACATCTGTAAAATCTGTCCTTAAACCCAAGACACAGATTTGCTTTTTTGAAACACTATCTCAATTCTGAATTTAGATTTTTATTTTTTACGATCGTTTAATGTCTTTTCTCCCTCCATTTCTTTAATTCCTTAGTTTTATCTACTCTGGTGCTTCAAAGTGCATTTTTATTTCTTTATCTTGATTTATTTTCTGTCCTTTTACTGCTTCTATGTGTGAAATTTCTATTATTTTCCAATTTGTGTTTTTTTTTTGCTTTATTGACTTTTATATCTTTGTATTATTTCCTGCTATATAAAATTCACCCTTTCTTTCCCGTTTATTTTATTACCCTAATGGCTTTTAATTTTTTTTCCTTTTTTTTCATACTTTTAAATCTTTTAAGCTTTAATGAAATGTGTTTTACTTTTTATACCTACTTTTTTGTTCTTTCTGTTCTCTGAATTTCTTTTACTTTATCATTAAAAAACATTTTTCTGTTTCCTTGAATTTGTCCTTCTGAATCTCAACTCACTTTTTTGGTTGATTTTCTTTTCTTGGTTGTCAAAGCTTTTAAAAAACTCTTATTTAAAGATATAAAAAAGTACATTTTTTATTCCAAATTGAAACTCACATAAACTAAGCAGATCTGGAGAGCTCTTTTTTTCTCCCTCAAGAAAAAACTTTAAAGAACATAATCGTAAATAATTAACAGGCTTGTCGTCTGTCCTAACAGCCTGTAAAAGCCTCACCAAGTTACTTCAGTATCTATAGTGGTGATATCGAGGCCAAGAATCACTTCAACATCATAATTAACCTTGAATTTTTACTTTTACTGACAAAATTGAGGTGTGATTCGTGACAATAAAGTGATTTATTCAATTATGTGTTTTTACATTAGTGTACACTGTAAGCTTGGTCATACACCATCAGCAGAGAAGATGGATTTTTCAGAGCATACTAGTATTATAACTCTGTTCTCCTAATGTGAGTGTTTCAAGAGGTATAAAGTTAGTAAAAGTAGCTGAAATGCACAAAAACCACACTGTAAAACCCAGCACTCGTGTTCTTCGGTGATACTCACTTGATCGTAATATTTGTTGATGTACTTGTACAGCTCGTGTAAAGCCACAAGGCAGTTGACCTCAGCGGTATAATTCTGTTTTAGGAGAGTAAAAATAGAGTGTCAGTGGGTGGGGGGTGTTCAAAACTGCATCGGTTTCCATTCATATTTCATTTCAGTCTCCACATGAAGCTTGTTAGGCACGCAGCCAGAAGGTCCTGAAATGATTTATGCCTTCAACTCTGCGCTTAAAAAAAGTTAGCTTCTGCAAAACTAGAAGACAAGAGCGGGTAACTTACTCGAGAGAGTTCTGCTAGAGCAGAGTTCATCTCCTGGTCACTGGCTGAGATGGTCTGACGGATGTCTGCGTAGTACCTGCAGGAGGAGGCGAGAGAGGAGGAGGGGTGTGCAGAGAAAAGAAAGAAAATGACATGGAATACTACAAAAAAAACCCTTTTCCTCACCAAATGTATTGTTTATTAACTGCAAATAATAATAGTTATTATCAACAACACTTCCATATTGTCTTGTGAACTGTGTGCAATGTGAAACCTCTAGTTTGCACCTAGAAAAAGTGACGTAAGACTGCTGCAATGTAAACACAATATCAGAAACATAATCTATAAAGTTGATCAGCTGTTAATGTAAGTCCAAACTGATCCCACATAAGTAACATCAGCTGAGAGGTGGAGTCTGCTGCCTCCTGCTGGAGATTAAGAGCTGATGAAAGATTCTAATTTTACCAAAGACTTTTAAGCTGATCTTTAAAAAAAAAAGGTAATATTATGTATCATTCCAAGAGTCTGTGCAATATCAACTCAAAGATAGAATATTAATAGAGTGTCACACTAAAAACAAAACTATGATAAGCACTACTGTTTAAGTTTATTCCTGTTACTCATGTCTTTGTCTGTTATATTTACTACAATCATGATTAACCTATGACACTGATTTAGAAACTGCGTATTATCATGATTATTATAAATATTTTACAACATAGAAAAATAAACACATGCTCTCTCTAAGGAAAAAAAAAGTGAAGCTTGCTGAAAACAATCAAACACAAAGAAACACTCGTTTTTTTTCACTAATTTTCATGTGAAAAAAAAAAAAGAATTTAAAAAATCCAAATCTAAGAAAGTCTTTTGAATTATTTATGGTAAAAATGGAAGAAAAATCTCTCACTCGAAACCAAACTGAAACCAAACTTCTTCAAAAAAATGCAGAAAATGTCTTATTTGAAGATATTTGATTAAGACTAAGTCATACTTTATTTATTGGCAGGGTCATTATCAAGGTTTTATTCAAATTCTGCTTTACGTTTTGCAAGTGACCTTTTCTCCTATTAAAAAACACTTTGCGCACTGCTGAGTTATCTGACACAGAGACACATGAGGTTTGCCTCTGTATTACTAAGAGTGCATACAAAAGCACTGATGATTCATCAGTGTTTCCATGTGCAGTTTTTTAGCCTGTGGTCTAAATCAGTGCAATGGTCTGTGCATTAGAAACATGGATATGTAAGACTAATGAGATTCAGAAAAGCAGTTAAGTTGTTGTGTAAAAGTCTAGTCTGGGGAGCTTTAATACATCAGCAGTGTGATCTGCAGGGTCCTCTGTGCAGCAGACAGCAGTAAGTGTAACAGTCTGCTCTCCAACCATCCATGCATGGGAGCCTTGCGGGCTCAGTCTACCCTGTCTGGCACTGACAGATTGTCCTGGGCCTCACTCTCCCCCATCCTCCCCTCCTCCCCCTCTATTCCCCAGCATTTTTCATGCCCGGGGTCAGCAGAGCAACTGGCTGCCATATTCTTACCTCTCCACCATCTGTTTGTAGCGCGGGATGTCTCTGGCGTAGAGCAACTTGTTGATGGGAGAGTCCTGTGGATGGAAGACAAATGAGAAAGACGTGCATTGAATGCGACAGAACACATATCACAGGTCAGATAGGGAAGCTTTCACAATGCATCAGGTGCAAAACACAGCTACGAGGCTACAAGCGTCTACACTTTGATATTGTTCTGTAACATGAGAAGCTAGGACAGTCAGTCAGCGTTGGTGCTCAGCTTACCCGTCCCAGTTTGTGGTCAGCAATGGTGCAGGAGTCCATGAAGGTCTGGGCGATGACAGACAGCACAGCATCCACGTGGTCAGAGGTCTGCACGTCGAAGATGAACTGTGGGTTCTTCAGGATGTTGATCCAGAACCTCAGTGGTAAACTGTTTGAAAAGACAGAAAATATGTTGAAACATGCAGAAAGCTTTCAAATGGGTTTGTTCACACTGGAGCAGAACTTTCTGAGCTTCTGTTTTAAATTTGATCTGGCTGCTACATCTTACTCGCTGGAAGTTTGCTACTTTTTCTTCCCACGTCTGTTTTGTGACGCACGACAAAAAGATAACTCACTATGAATTCACAGTTTTACTGTACATTTATTTTTAGCACAATATCAGTACTTTACATTTTAAAAGACAGTTGTCATCATTGCCGGTATACTGCCCTTGTCAGATTCACTAGTTAACAGACAAAATGAGCCTTTCCTCCATAACTACAGGCTGATTCTGGCAAAGAAATGCACCGCCTCAGGTTGAACACTTAAGGTATCAATAGTTTGTTTACGGATCTACAGACTCTATGCACAAACACAAGTGAGAACAAGGTGTTAATGTCTCTGAAGTATCTCAAATCAGCTGTCGTCCAAATGCTCCCCATGTCCAGGCTTTCCTGGCACATGAACTCCTTAAACCTTTGGTCTGAATCCTCCATGAATCTTGTTTATAACTTTCCTCACACAGCCACCCACCACACTTTGGCCTGAGATTCATTTCTGTCTCTTTCCAAACATCCACACCAGCTGCTGCAGCTGTGGGTCAGTCACCTGTTGGTTTTCCAGATGTGGATGGTCTCCGGGTCTGTGATGTTGTGCTGCAGAGCCTGCTCATCCAACAAGTCAAAAAAGTATTTGACAGCCAGAGGGACGGGACGACTGGTGCTGAGGATGGCTGTGAATAAATCATCCACAAACTTCTGCAGTGTGCCCTGAGAGCCAGAAGATGTCATAGAAAGAGAAAAATACACAAACCAACACTTAATCTGTGCTTTCACATCACTCAGACTCACATAGTCTATGCATGGATTTGCAATACTGATGATACAACCACCACCAAGAAGGGTTTGAGTTTGGTGACATTTGTTAAATCTGCTTTTGCAGCATGCAAGTATTCCTTGATAAATTTCTTTGAATTTGTTAAACACTCTATTCAAAAAAACGAAAAAGAGGCAAAACACCTGCACATTGACTAATTTTTATTGTAATACATGGATTTTTAAGTGAAGTTAAGCGTTTTATGATGCATAGTCAGTTTAATTGTAAATATTAGGGACCATTCAGTCTTTATTTTGGCTAGTAACATCTGAAAAATAAAACTTATTTCTGTACTTGTCAGATTAATCCATAATCCATTGACTTTATACCAAACAAATGCACTCTGAAGGATTTAAGTTTCTGCAGTGTGTGTTTCACCTTCATGGAGAGCAGGCGGGTGAGGTAGATCTCAGGGATGGCCTTGGCCCTCTCTCCCCCTCTCTCCCTCACGCTGCCTCTCCTGTGCTTCGGCAGCTCAGACTCCTCGCTGGCTTTCACGAGATGCCAGAGTCTCACCCCTCCCTCCTCCCCATCATCCAGCATGGGGGTCTCTGGAAGGTCAGATCGACAGAGTGATTAGTAAGATTTTATCGGGTTAGTTTAGTTTGACACATGAAAAAAAGATCAGTTTTACATGATGTAAAATCACTGTTAACTTATTGTAAACTCACAGTAAGCTATGACAAAAACAGTAGATTTAACTTTACTGCCTGACTGAAAATGTTGTAATGCTGACTGTTACTTTTCTTCCCCATGTTACCCAATGAGGCTTAAAATCCTCTCTGAATACACAGCCCAACAGTGACCTCTGCTGGCTGTTTTGATTCTGTGCAACTTTTCATCTGCTCTGATCTTGTGTTCACAGCAAAAAAATGATTTTGTGTGAAATGGACACAGAAACATTTCCTGTGTTGTTTTTTTCTGCTTCATTATAAGCTTACTTACTTTAATGAATTGTTATAATGCTGGTGTAAGTAGGCAGAAGATATGAACTGAAACATAAAGTGATTATTGCACCGATATATATCAAAAGAAGAAAAAAGCATGAAAGTGCAGGGTGTAAAGAGTCTTTAAGGATTTCTGAGGCAATTTTGCCAACTGTAAAATGAAACAAATGAAAAGAAACAAAACAAAATGAAAAACTTCAAACTGACTTGATGACAGTCTAGGTCTAAGTCATAGACCACACTAAGCTATGAATTATGAACAGAGATAATGCAACAATAATGAAGGTATGTGGCAGTAATGACAGCTTTTCTCATCTCTAAATGACCAACAAATCAACTGAAGGCTGGTGAAGATTGACATCTGGTCAATCTGTTGAAGAAGTGAGCTAAAACAGGACCATACAGAAAGCCAGTACACTCAACACTTTAAACTCAGGATTGAAATTCATTCAGGCTGACTAACTTTTGCAGTTTCCAGGAAAAAAAAATGCAGAATATCCAAAAGTTTTCTTTCCAAACTCAGTTCAAACTTTCTGAACTAGAAACCTCCATCCAGAGTGAAGGGCCTCAGATTCATTGCAGAGGATTGGAGTCATTATTTCAAATCGAGGTAGCACCCGCTGTACCTGTCTGGTCTACAGGGATGCTGTGCTGGCTAAGGCTACAGCTGCATGTCTGAGGTTTCATACTTTAAGCCTTTTGTTTCGATGTTTTATACTTATCTGTTTTTTAATTTCTTTTATTTTATATTCTTGTAATCCACAAAACCCCCACAAGACTCACTTTCCCCCGGCATGTAGTCGTGGCTGTCATGGAGGAGCTGTTTGGTGTTTCTGGGAACGAGGGCGACCGTCGCTCCATCAGGGACCTGCCATGCAGAAGAGTTTCATAACCTTAAGCTCATTTGAGGTTGATTTGAACAGTTTCACTCTGTGCACACACAGATGTTGAGTATGGCTCGTGAACAGACCTTGTAGTGCTGCAGAGTGTTCAGGCGTTTCCATGAGCCTTGTACCACTGATGTCAGGTCTTCGTCTGAGAGGATCAGGTGACCTGCAACACCCGCACGCCACTCTGCAGGGAATACGAATGTGTGAGATCATGCAGAACTCACTCATATTCAAGGGAACAAATAAACATTGAGCAAGTAATGCATTTGATTCTCCCAGTTTGAAGAAACTCTACTGGGAGGGAAAGGAGAATAATGATAACTCCAAATATGATGCATCGCCTGGAGAGCTTTCTGAAAATCTGTACAGTTTTCTATTTCTTTAATAATTAATAAAAAAAATAGAACAAGCCTGATTAATAAATGTGTCCAACTGTTCCAAAAAAGCAAAAACGTCTCTTTAAATTAGTGATTCATCAACATACCGAGGTGTAATGAGTCAATGTGGGGCCTCTGGGAAAACGAGGTTCCCTTCCAGGTTTGTTCCAGAAGTTTCTCCTTCACTTGTGTGATTGTGTCACAGTCCAGGACTTTGGCAGGTACAGTCTGGTTTGTAGCTCCTCCAGTTGCTGCTGCAGCTGGGACCACAACATTCAGGGTCTGCAGAGAGGACAAGGAGAAGCTGAATACTGAAGTACCGCTGATCTCAGAAACAAACTATAATGACAACACTCCCAACAAACAGGCCACACAAGTCTTTTTAAACACATATACGCCTGCAACTGCAGCTCTTATCCATGTTACATGCAAAATTTAACATGAGCGCTAAAGCTACTTGACACTGTCCTTCAAAGGCAAACAAGTGCCTAATTTTCCTAAGTTCCTTGAATGCATCAGAAGTAATCTAACCAACCCCTATTCAGTTAGACACATTTTTACAGCTGTTTTCATCCCTTCTTAAGGACAGACCTGACAAAGACAAACTTTTTACTTTTATAAAACCCGATGCACAGCATGCTGTGTTGATTTCTATTTGTGTGTGTGTGTCTTCTCACCAGTGTACGGTACTCCACGTCCTCCCTCAGCAGCCGGTTGTCGTTGAGCGTGTACTTGGCTTTTCCTGTCACAGCGTCTACAGGTCCTTTATCCACCTGGTGCTTTATGGCTCTGAACAGCATGTAGAAGGACTCTCCTGCTGACTCCTGGACAGGAATACAAAGACAGACCCTCAACAGAGTGCTAATCGTGACAGTCATTTATTCATGTTATAATAGTTCTCTGAGGGGGTGTTTTCTGACACATTTTTAGGGACAATTGTTGAGAATTTGGTCCCAAGATTCAATGTGACAGAGAAATAACACAAAAAGGAAGCAGAACTGCCAACTGAGGAGGAAAAAACTGAATGATTTCATATTTCCTTGTCTCTGGATGGATAAAAATGATAGTTTACTCACCCTTAGGAAGGTAAAAAGACAGATGGACATCCAGTTTGTCAAAAGCTTCTCCACCACTGACTCTGTTCTGTAAAAAAAACAACAACACACAAACAGTGTAAAGATGAAGAAACGTGCCAAAGAACCAAAGTAAACCCAAAACCAAATCAACCCTCCTCTCACCTCCTGAGCATCAGTTTGGGGTTTTTGGCCACGTACTGTTCAACCAGATCGTTCAGCAGAGTCTTCAGGATGTCTGTGAAGTACTCCAGTTTACCATGCAGGGCTACTGTCAGCAGAGAGGCCACGTATGCCCGGTCTCTGGGGGAGAAGGTACGCTGGACCTCCAGAGTATGAATAAACTGCAGAGACAAGAGTGAGAACATAGGACCCAAATATCAGCTTGTCAAATGTTAAATATCTGGATAACAGATTATGCACACAAATGTGAATCAGGACTTCAGGAGTTGTGGTTTTAAGATTTTTCTAAATGACATATTGTCTCCAGGGTGTGATGTGTTTGTAAATCACTTTTCTGTGCATGAAAATCAAGATTGAATGTAAATACTCCCCTCTGCTGTCTGACCTTAGTGAGGAAGAGTTTACTGTTAAGCAGGTTGGACAGCTGGACCAGGCCCTGCTCCACAGTCTGCCTCCGGCTCTCTGGCACATCCAGATCTCGCCTCAGTGGCGAGTCTTGGTGGCCAGGGAAGAAAATACGCTCTGCGTACGCTCGGTAGTCCAGGAAAGGGATTCCTGAACCTACCAAGTCACTGGACATGTCCATCATCTCTGTCATCAGATCTGAAGAAAGAGTTAGGATACAGATCAGCCTTTATGAGTAAAATGGTCTTTAATTTCTTTACAGTTTAGGTTCGTAACAGAAGTTTTAGGTCATACCTGTGAACTCCTTCTTACAGCGATCCCTCACACTGGTCTCCAGGTTCTCCAGCTGGATCTGCACCTTCTTATAGTCCCTCATTGCCTGTTTGCTCTTCCTCCTTTCAGTGTCATCAAGTAAAGAAATAAAAAATTAGGCTGCAACGTCATAACAGGAGCAGAAAAAGCAGGCATGGTTAGGATTACCTTCCTACCTGTATATGAGCACTATGATGAGCACAATGAGAGCCACTATAGAGGCCCCCACCCCGACTCCAACCTGAGCCTCCAGAGGGAATGTGGACTGAGCGTGAGTGTCGTACTGCACTTTACCCAAAGTGAAGTTCAGATTCCCCATTTTCACCTGGAAGAGAAAGAAAATATATCAACATTACAGAACTGGCTGTAATTAAAAACCATCATGATCACGTTTGAAGAAACTTTTATCTCCACCTACTTTAACACATCACCCAGAGTCAAGCTAAAAGTACACATGCACTGAGTATGAAGTGAAGGTTTCCTCACCGTGAACTCAGGCAGACTGTCCACGCCGTCCTGCTTCTTACTGGATGGGACTGAAGGCTGCTGAGCTGGAGGTTCACAGTACAAGTGGATGTGGGTTAAGGTCTTGACCAAACAGACGCCCTCACCTATCAGAGCCTCGACTTCATGCTTGGAGATGGCCAGGTCTAGGTTTTCTCCCTGAAACACAAAATAAAACACAGCATGACTCCCCATGAGCAGAAAGAAGCGGTGAAGTCATCCTTTCTCAGAGATATGTGGGGCCCACCTCCACAGATATGATGCTGCCAGGTTTGTGGTGGTACGGTTTGCTGGGGTTGTTCCGGTTGAGGAAATAGAGCTGTGGGTCGGCCTCATAGCTGAAGGCCTCGTCCCCCACGCTGCTGAAGTCAAAATGAAGGCTGTCCAATAAGAAGTGGACTTTGACCCTGGCCTTCCTGGCTTCCTGAGCCACAGCGGGGGTCGGACAGGAGATGAGAGTGGAGCTATTCACAGTGCACAGGGACTCATACTGCAAAAACAATCAAATGATGGACATCAGTGAAGTTTCAGTTCAAGTTTTACCCATGCAGACAGTTTGAACCCTTTCATCTCACCAAGTGGATTTATTCCTTTTTATGTTTATGCAACATTTTCACACAATAAATCCACAGGGCAGGCAGTTTGATAGAAATTGACATGTTTTTAAACATATTTTGAAATTTGAGCTCCATTAGTTTTATATTCATGCACATTTTATATATATTATTAATAAATATTTAATTATATTGAATATTTATATTATACTGAATATTTAAATTGAATTTCCCTTTGTAGATAAATAGTAATTCTTATTTTTTATATATATTAGAACTGAGATTTTTGATCATATAGTCCTTAAAATAAATAAATAAATAAATAAAATCCAGTTATATGCTTTTAATTTGCAGGGCAGCCTTCAAAGTAGTAGTTTTTACTATTTCCAGCAGATGGTGCCACATAGTTACTTTATTGTCTGTGGCAAAAGCGAACAGTTATCCTAAAAAATACGATGGATTATTTATTTATTCATTTATTTATTTTTTATTGTTTTTCCATAAAAACAGTTACATGCTGTACACATTCTGGTATAAAAAGAGTTAAAGTCCTTAAAACAAATGTTTTTCCTTTTTATTCAAAAGCAGGACTGACCTTGGAGTAAAGATTTGATAATATTATTTATGCTTTATGATTTTAGACGCCCTCTAAACTGTTCCCTTTGATGGTCTGAGTTTGACTCTTTTTAATGGGACACAGGGTTGAAATAAATCTTTAGGCTGAACTTTTCACAGAAACTCTGCAGAAGTTAATCTTTCTGTACAAGAGGATACCTGCTCACCTGTCTTACGTGGCAGAGGGTTCCTTCAGGACAGTCGGCCTCTGGGACGATCCTCCTCCATCTCTTCAGTGAACTCAGAAGACTCTGTTCTCTGTTCAAGTTCCCCTTTTTCCTCCGACCGGTGCTCCTCCTCTTCCTCCTCGGGGGGAGAGTATCAGGTGGACTAAGAGTGACCCTCATTTTGGGCTCTTGGACAACATCCAAGTTCTGACCTGTGACTCTGATGATCCTGCCCCCACTGAAGAAGAATACAGAGTAAGATGAGAAATTATGGTTTTAATTACTGAAGTTTGTGGGCAAAAAAAGAGCATCAGTGTCCTCTTTTCATATTCTCTTTTGGTGATGCTCAAAATAGACAAACCTCAAAATTTCCCCATTTTCTTTACAAATAGGCACTAAACTCCAGTGACAAAAACAGTAATTTCACCGTTCTGGGGACAAAAATGATGGTCAGCTATCAATTTACTATCTCTTTTACATAAAGAATAATTCTGTACTCATTTACAAAAGGTCTACATCTATGTAAATGTCAATCACTAATTTGCACTGGCAAAAGTAACGTCTCTATTTGGGTGAGAACAAGCTCTATAAAATGACTCACATAAATAAGAAAATATGAGTAACACCCTGGCTAAAAGTTTTTGTGCAGCATCACTACTTGAAACAATAATAAAATCAATATTTAGCACTTTTAGTTCAGTCATTAATGGCTGCTAATGGTGTTTTCCTAGTTCATGTTTCTCATTATTATGATTAAAACTTATAGTCCTGATGCATGGAGCCTGTGGAAAAAGATCCACAGACACAGGACAGCTAAACTCAGCAGCAGGATTCAGAAAGAGAGTCGGCCTTTACTTCTCTTTGTGAACATAAATGGACCCCTGTGGACACATTTGATCCAGCGCTGTTCTGGTTAAAAACAAGACATTGACTCTTGGGTATGAGGATGGTAACAAAGAGAAGCTCAGTGCACTAAAGTCAAAGATTACATGTTTGCCTGGACTCTCAAAAGCCATTAAATAACAGTCCATTTTAGATGGACAGGGTGAGTCTAATAATTCTCTCCTCAATATGAATTCTTTAGTGTTTTCAGACAGTAAGAATGAAACTATGAGCCTGTAACCTGCAGAAACAATCACTTCAATCAGGGGCAGTTATCTGCAGGGACATGGCCTGTTCAGTGACCGACAGCTGAAATGATCTACTTGAGAAATTGTACAAAATGAGAACAGTAGCCTGTAAAAGTGTATATTTGATTATTACACAGTAATTGATTAGAAATATTTTCAGACTCAAACCCACCTGAGAAAGCTTTTTGAAGGCATAGCCTTTGTGATGTTGGGGTTGGGGGTGTAATGATACACCAAACCCTTTAGATGGCGCTCTGCCCCACCAAACTTCACGATGATGCTGTGATCCCCTGTTCTGTTACTGCCTTTGGTCAGACACCTGATCTGATCCTCCTGGATGTTCAGCCTGAAAAGATATACCCTTAACGTTTAATGACTTTGTAAAGATATGTAAATACATCTTAATAACCTTATTCTGTCACAGAGACACTTACACCACACACGGCACTCCTCCAATCAGGACGCTGACTTCACTGGGGTGTCCTGTCCTCAGCCTCCGGCCTCTGATGGTGAGAGCAGTGCCCCCCGCCTTGGGCCCTCTCTGGGGGAAGATGCTGCTCAGTACAGGGTTCTGATGGAGAGATGAGGAGGGGAAATGTTAAAATGAGATGCATATGAGAAAGAAGAATGAGCAATCAATAACCCAATACTGAGCAGGTGATTTATTAGGAAGATAAAAGAGACAGCAAGGCATTCTGGGACAGAGTGGAGCCTGCCCCACAGCCAGCCTGTAGCAAAGCAATTAATTAGCTTGTCACTTGGTCCAATTAATTAAGGCTGTTGTCAAACATACAATACTTTATCTGCGACGTAAATAGGAAGACATGTTGTTACTTTATTGCATTGCTCTAGTTTGCATTTTACTGGCCGATTTGAACAGAAACCTAATTATAAGAAGCTGGGAGCCTTCGTTTCCTTAATTAGACAGTTTGTGGAACAAACAAACACAGATACAAGACGTTTCAAACAATCCCCCTCTGTTTTCAGTGTTATACTCAAAGCCTGACAGGTCATGTTTGTATCACTCTCTTCAAATGAGGCGTTACTGGATTAGTCAGAATAATCCCAGAGGGAATTCCCCGTCAGTAAGGTCTCAGTATGTCTGTTTTAGTCCAAAGCCAGCTGAGATTACCACGCTCACGACTCTAAGAGGAAACACGTAAAAAATCAGAGAAAGTGTGAAAACACCCTGGAGATGTCTTTGTTTTCTAAATGCTTGTTTACTCGATCCAGCGTAATTAGAACTTGCTGAAAGGGTGCAGCAGATGCTCGGTGGGTTTACAAGCACTTAAGTCAGCAGGTTACACTCTGCATTATGTTGTAACCTAATTTAGAGCGAACTCCCCTTATTTCATCAACCCTTGTGGAAAGCCTTTTGTAGCTCCAAAGTGAGCTGCAAGAAGCTGATAAATAACATCAAGCTGTTATACTTGATTCAGGCAGGTTTGTGCAGATGTAGAAAAAAGCTCAGTGTGTGGTGTTTAATTTTTAAAACTGTCATGTAATATTCAGACGTGCTGGATCTCAGCAGAGAATTGTTGCTGAAGTGAAGCTGGAGGGTGAAGGGGAACTCTGACAACATGAACCCTCGGGGCTCTGAATCAGAGCTGGGTTTGACACTGCAAGCTCTATTACAGTTTTATTTTTGTTTAATGCATTCATTTCTGTGGGTATTTTCAATCGCCGCATATTCCTAGAATTCAGAAAAGATGAGCTGAAAAAAAATTCCCCGTTCATGGGAGCTTTGCAACAGAAAGAGATTACACAACATCAAAGAGGTTTGTCTCCATTAACATAAAAGGTACAACGGATCAGAGATGAACAACACTAGAATAGAGAAGTAGGAGGAGACAGGTGAGGTGTGTATATCTGTGTGTCTGAAAAGCCAAAGGGACAGAATGAGCACAATAAGAGAGAGGCTGGAGCGATCATAAGTGTTCACCAGTGATCACAAGCTATTGAGTGCTGAGCTAAAAAGTGAGTAACATTGTCCTGAATCATAATCAAACACAAGTCCAAGTTTTTCTGATAAAGTGTATGCGGTGAAAGAGCTCAAATCTGTTGTTTTTATTGACATATACAGCATTGTTACACCATCTATGCAGTCCGTCTTCCCCCCATTGTGCCTCAGAGGGTCAGAGGTTGAAGACCTTGCTCTTTACACATCAGTACACCTCTGTGCATTGATGTCTGCAGACAAGACATGACAGGGCTGTCAGTATCTTGCCTTTAAAGTTGAAGTATGTACGATCCTACAAACTCAGACGTACACAGACGACATCGTTCGACCTTAAAAGCTTTAACATGCATAGCTGCCTCCACTGAGGGCTCAGAAAGTCTCGACTGTGAAGTGCAGCAGTCCTGTTTCGGATACACTATGTAAAAAGAGCCAGTATTACATCCTTTTTAAGAGCATAAAATCGTCCTGACACACTGTCTTTACCTGGAAGCTGAAGACCTGAGCTGACAGTCCCAGCCCCCCTCCCCTCACTTTGACCGAGGCTTGACCACTCCTCTCTCCTTCACTTCTCGTAGTCTCGCACACTATCCTGTAAGGCAAACCCAGAGGATGGTTAAAATGAGAAAAGGTGGAACAATTTTTCTTTTTAATCCTGAAAGTGGTTTGACTGACCTTGAGGAGACTTCATATCTGCTGTGGATGACGCTGCAAGGAATCCCAGCGACTGTCACAGAGTTCTGGATGTCTTCAGCTCTCTGACCGAGGTTTGAGCCTGAAATCGTCACCACTGTGCCCCCCTCAGTGGGACCAGATATGGGGTCCAACTAGAACACACAAGGGTGAATTGAGGAACATGAATTTAACATGATGCAACCATATCGATATACCGCTGATGGAGGAAGTACAAAGATTTTCAAATCATGACCTCAGTTTTTTCTTTGAATATCTATAACTAGGGGTGTCCCAATACAACCTTTTGACTTCCGATACGATACTGATAATGTAGCCTTCAGTATTGACCAGCACTGATATTGATCCAATATTTGCATAAAATTGTGCATGACAAGTTTTTCACTCAGCTGCAATGTCTTTTTCAGACTTAAAAAAAATACTGCCACAAGGCCAACAACACTCCTTCTCTTTGCTACTTTGTTAGTACCTTAGTACACACTGTTGTTGTGATTTTGTGGGCTCAGCTTGTTGGATCAGGGCGCTGCTAGATAGAGGTGCCGGAGTGGAGTCTGGAATGGACTGCTTGTATCGGATTGCTAATATCGGAGATTTTAGAGGCCAATATCATCCGATATTCATTTTTTTGCCGATATCAGACCAATATCTGATATCTGATACCAATATTGTATCGGGACACCCCTATCTATAACAATCCAATCTACAACCTAACTCAGAAATCATGGTGTCAAAAATCAGTCCACTACATCTTACACCCTGAAAAACTGTTTTCTTTCTTTCTAAAATTAAGACAGAATAAGAAAAGGTTCATATCTTTGCCTCCAGCAGGCCAGACTATGGTAAGGATGTCTGTGTATGTCTTAAAAAATCAATCACTGCTGCTAACACCACTAAGAAAGAGGAGCGCATTACAGCAGCCTTTCAATCACTGCACCACGTCTGTCTGTTCGACTGATTTAAAAATCCTTTTACTCGTCTACGAAGCGCTTAACAGTCTCAGGCCTGTATCTGATATCTGGTTTAATTTTACACTATGAACTTCCCAGACCCATCAGGTCATCTGAGAAAGGATTACTCAGCATTTCTAGATCAAAACAAAGTAAGATGAGGCAGCCTTCGGTTTCTATGATCCTCATCTGTAGGAAAAAAAGCTTCAGCTTGGGTTCAACCAGGGTTCATGTATAAACTAATTCAATAAGCAGCCATAACTCAAGGGGAAACTCTGAAAAGGGGTTTGAAAGACTCTTACAAAGTGGATGACGGGGGCAGGACAGGTGTGCTGGATCTTCTCCCTGCAGGAGTCCTGGTACACGCAGTGAGAGCTGGAAGCACCGCCACACCAAACGCAGCCATACTTCGGGTCTGCAGTGCGACACCGGCTGCAGTCTGAGCGACCCACTGAGCAGTTAAACAGGGTCACTGAAACAAGAGACAGGAAGTGAGGAAATTCAACAAAACTGATCTCTAACACACCCACTTTTTGTTCCCGCTGATCTCTCACAGACGAATCAGAAAGTGAGAAAGCTCTCACCGTACAGATCCTCGGGGCTGTCGATGAGAAAGTGGTTCTTTCTCCTCACGTTGATCATGGCTGGATACTCCTCCGTCGAGGTAGAATATGCATACTAACAACACAGTGAGAGGAGAAGAAGATTGTTGGGCTTGTCTTGTTAGACTGTATGAGCTGATGTTATGCACCTTCATGTCCTGAGCAGTTTGAGTCAAATTATCGGGAAACCAAATGACTCACAGATCGTCTTAAACACATAAGTGTGTAAGGAAAAGTGTCAGTTTATGGATTTCTGCAAACACAGCATGCTTATTGTTTATTTCTGCTGGTTACAACTTTTCTTTTTTATTGATTTCTTTGGTTAGGAGGACATTACAATTAAAGACTGGTGTTATTTGGAGATGTTTCAGGGATGTTTTTAAGTTGTTTTCACTCTCTTGATCTTACCTTGTTAAAAGTCCATATTTTTTTATTCTGTTTTGTCGTCTTATTTTTTCATTTTGTGCATTCCATCCCATGCTCTATTAATATATCTTATTTGTAGGTCTCTACAATCTGTGCAATTTGAATAAAAAAACTTTTCTGCAGTCTTATTTTTCCAGTTATTTTGCAACACAGTGCATTTCTGTTGTTGTCTCCATCTTTTGTCCTGGTTTGAAGTCAGCAGCTTTAAAATGTACCCACTAAATAAGAGGATGCTTTGAGCAATATTTGAATAAAACAGGAAGCTTAATTATTAGATGTGACATACATAGACACCCACATGGATGCTTTTTTCTGCACAAACTCTGAGTCTTGATTTATGACCCTTTTATTGGACGTTGCAGAGACAACTGAAGAATCTTTATCATCAGTTTGGCGGGTTTAAAATGCTAAATGACATTATTTTCCTGACTGTAAAACATGTGATAAGAGAAATTTGACATAAAATACACTTTAAAAAATGTTATTTTCTTACCTGGTGTGGCTGGCAGGTGATGAGGAAGACTGATGACTGTGAAGCATCGTGCTCCACAGAGGCCTCCACCACCACGGACTCATTCTCCACATCCAGCACACATTCATAGTCCAAATCTTTGTCCTAAACATACACACCAAATACAGAAAGTAAACAGAAATTCAGTTACAAAATGAGCCACTTAACTGTCAGTCAGGTAACATTACATTCAAATGCAGTTCTGCTGTGTCTATACAAAGTTCACAAAACTTCTGTTAACATTTTTAACACTTGAATGCTATTTATTGTCTGCAAAGTCAAAGTAAAGCAGGCCAAACTGTTTAAATTAAAGCTAAAACACCTTTTTTTTTAAGAGCCAAAACTTTTGTGCTGAAACAGTTTTTGGCAAATTACAAATTTTCCAGATGAAAACAAATGTTAATCATTGAAATTCAACTAAGATAGTTCTGATTTTAAATGCATTTTTTAAACTTTTATTTATTCTCAAGAGACATTCAGGTTACCCTTATTTTCAATGCTGTTGAGTTTACAAGCCATTAAAGCATTGACAGTGGTTACAGTCATTTGAAAGTGAATACATGACAATATACATTTAACAAGAAACAAGACAGACAGTCATTTGAAATGATTACAATAAGAAACACAGCTATCCATGACCAAGGTCCTGAATTCTGTGTGTGAAGGGAGACGTCCAATCTCAGGAAGTGCTGTAGCGTGTTTTAACAGTTAAGAGCATCATAACAAAATATAGTCTCGCCAATACTCGTATAGACTCGAGGAACTTTGAGTAGCAGTAATTCAGCTGAATGGGTCATGTACTGTGGTAATTTGCCTAAAAGGGCCTTAAAAATATACAAAAGCCAGTGCACCTTGCACCTTTCCTTCACCAACTTTTCTACACAGAACACAGTGGTGGATATCAAATATATCACAAGTTGAAAATCTTAGAGCTGAATGATTGACTGAATCTTAACGTTTCAGAGTTGAGGCAGCAGCTTGTCTATTTCTGACTGATAATACCAAAATGCAAAATGAAAAACATGTTCACGCACAAGTCTTTTTTTTTTGTTATCAAGCATGAAGCCTTTGTGATGGGTGAGTTACCTGAAACAGGTGAAGGTGATGTCCCACCAGAGTGATTTTCCTCTCCACGTTAACGGGGAGGAGAGAGGAATCCTGAATGGTCTCCACACACGGACACTCCTGTTGGTACATTATAATCCATTTTAAGAAGAGTAAATGTAATGACAGCTGGACTTAATATACTTTCCTCTAAAAATAGATCACATTTACCGCAAGATCTTTTAAACATGACGAGAACATCTGTTCTGTGGTTAACTGATAATCATAGATATTAAAAGGTGGTGTCTCCAGCCTGAGAGGACTTAATGGTCTACATTGTGCACAAAAGTTACCTAGCATAGGAAGCAGTCCAGCAATGTAATGGTCTAAATGTGTTACTCAGTAAACTCAAGATAGGAGAAGCTTTCATTAACAAAATCTGATTACTTTGATGACAAGAAGAACTGAAAACAAGACAGGAGACACTCAAAACACTAAGAGAACAAAAAACATGCAATGAACCTTTTAATATAAAAGATTAAAGATAAGATGAGGGCTTCAAAGGGTTTTCATGCCATGATCAGTAACTTGTATGAGAAAACATGTGCAGTATTAGTGAAGTGTTATGGAGTGAATTGTAATAGTAAGAAGAGGTCAGACTGGTCAATAAGACCTGACAGATCAGCATCTTAAATTTCTCAGTTCCATCCTCGGGTCGCTGATTTTATTGATTTTATATTGGTCAGTTGGATTTTCTTGACAGGAGAGCTAATAAAGATAAGGACATACAAGAGTAGTGATCATTGTGTCTGATTGTTCTGCATTGCTGGAGATCATGTATCATGGTGCTTTATATGATGGCAGATTGAAGCTAAGGTCTTCCAGAGGTAATACTACAGTTTGGTCAAAGTAGAAGCCTCACATATGGAAACACCGTTGTTCGATTTAGGTTGGAGGTGAAATAAAAATGGAAATCAGAAATAATGCCACAGCAGAGTTTGCTAAGATTAGCTGTAAAAAAGCCATAGACGAAATAAAACATGGATGCAGACTCAGTGATGTCACCCTTTGGGTTTTTTAAGGGCAGACTGATATGACATCAATAAAATCAGCAACTGGTTCTGCATTTGAACCAGTCCAAAACAGAATGTATTGTTTTTGGTGCCCCTGATGTACATGACAATGTAATTAGATGCTGAAATTCGTCTTCCTTTGCTCCTCTTTGGAAACCTGTTGTTAGGAACCTGGGAGTTATTTTGGACCCTGGTCTAAGCTTTGATCAGCAGATTGACTCTTTGGTCAAGATGAGCTTTTTTCAATTGCGCCTTTTAGCCGACGTTAGGCCCTTCCTCAGCAGGTAGGATCTTGAAATGGCCATCCATGCTTTCATCAGTGCCAGGTTAGATATTTGTAATTCCCTATACATTGGTATCAAAATGCTGCAGCATGCACCACATTTAAAATCCAGACTCAACCTAATGTCTGGTGTGCTTGTCTTTCATTCAAGTCACCTGTGCAACTAATTATATCAAACTTCAAAAACATTATCTCCAGAACAGATGAGCTATCAAAAACTGAGCTTTTAGAGATTAATGTGTATATAAGATTATTATGAGTGCAAAAACAAGGTGATCTCCAAACGCATTATCTTAGGTACAGTATGTTAGCCCGACTATGAGAAGTTTGATTTGAACTAAAGTGTTTACCTGCATTTTCAAAGTCCAGTTACAGTCCAACAAAAGCAATAAATCCCTTTTTAAAGGTAGTCTATCCTTGAAGAGTTAGTGATTTTTATGGCCATGCAGCCTACATAACTGTTCCATACAACCCCTGCAGATGTCACTGCTATACTCACCCCAAAGTTAGAGTCACTTGAAGAGTCTGACTGGTAATTTGCAGTAGAATCAGACATGGGTTCAGTAACTGTTTCAGGCGTTAAGGTAGGAAACTTTTCGCTAATGCTAGGTGACCCCGTTGCAGTCTCTTCATTTTGTTTCTCCATCTTATCCAACCACAGAAGAGAGTCTTCCTCTTCAGAGCTGACCAAATCAGCCTCCTCCTCCTCATCAGTGACAGACAGGTCCAACGAAAGAGCCACTTTGCTGGGGATGGTTGAGTTTACATCAGAGGAAGAGCCCAATGCTTCACCAGAGGGCTCCAACAATCTCAGCCCAGAGTCTGCGGGGCGACTAGTGCTGCTGGGTAAAGTAGTGTTTGAAGTTTTATCCATGTTATTCTCTGTGATTATCATCTCTTCCTCTAAAAACCCTCTTGTTGTGCCACCATTCTCCTCAGTTATCCCCTCCATATCAAAGAGGGATCCGTCTGTGGTGGAGGCGTCAGTGAGGACGGTGGGGTCCTGGGTGGAGATCTGGACGAAGGGTAAAGTGGTCGCGAATGTAAGGGGTGAGGTAGGATCAACGTAAGGGGTGGTGAGTGGTGTCACTGTGGTGGTGGTTGCAGGGACAGTTGCTGCTGTGGTGGGGGTGGGTGTCTCTGTGGGTGGCGGCTGTGTTGTTGTTGTCGTAGTTGTTGTTGTTTTTGTTGTTGTAGCCGGGACAGTTGGAGGTAAGGTTGTCAGTTTTGTTGTGGGTGGTGGGATGGTTGGTGTTGGCGGTTTGAACTTGAAGATGAAATAGCACAAGCATGGACAAAGGAAGAAAAAAAAGGGAGCAGGAGGAGGGAAAGGAAGGGGAGACATGTAAATCAAACAAAAAGGGTATGCAAAATCAAGAAGCAAATAATGACAAAGAAGATGATCATAAACTGAACTAAAAAGAACCAAAATTAAAGTGCATGCATGGACTGATCTTTACTCTAAGTTTCAGACTGCAGCATAAAAAAACACCCACCAATAAAAGAAAAAGTGTTTTCTCTTTAAGTTCAAAGTAGTTTCAAATTCAATATATAGACCTGACCTAAGCTAATGCAGCCAAATACAACAGTAGTTCAATAAATTCTGCTTCCATAAAGGGTGTAATAAAATAAACATCTTTGATTCTCCATCATGCTGTGTGTAAATAGTGCTGTGGAGTTTTATTGTGTTTACAAGGGGAGGTTTAAACCTTTTAATCCTGCGCCGACTTACTCTCTGATTCACACAAGCCACACATTCATCATTTATGATCTATTAAATAAGCTTCATACTTAAAGGATTTAGAACTGCGGTACTTAAAAGACCACATACAGAATGTTTGCCTTAAAACATTCACCCAGTGATACCAAACCTCTTAAGACCGAATGTGGACTCACATTTTGGTTGTAGATGGTGACTCCATGGCTGCAGGCGTGTTTGTGTGTGCAGACGTGCTGATGGATGCACCAGTTACACCCCCAGCGACTGCTCACACACCCTTGGCATCTGTTAGAGAGCGGACGGGGAGCACATGCAGTACATCAAAACAAAAACAAAACAGAAGAAATGAAACCTACAAATTCACGTTTATCGATCACACAGCACTGTAATTCATAGATTTCTTTGCATATGCTCTTCTTGACAACCTCAACACTGGTTCAAACTTGGTGTAAACTCTCAAAATAAATAATTTCAGTAGGAATAAACATCCAACACATCTTAAAAACTTTTGTAATGGGGACCCAGTGAGTACCAAACATGATTTTAACTCTGAGATTAATCAAATATTAGAATCTGTGCCAGCTCCAAAGACCAACAATGGCTTAAAATCTGCCAAAATGCTTAAAACATGTTCTATTTCACCTAAAAACAGCATATATTGTTGTTATATTGAGTGTAGTGGGCTCAGTTGAAGTGTGTTTGTGTGTGTCTGTACTCACGGCCTGCGTCCAGACAGCTCCTGGACCAAGCTGCAGTTGTAGAAAGTGAATTCTGTCTCTGCTACAGTCACGTTTGTAAACCGCAGCGACAGAGTGACCATCACAAACTCTGCATCAGAAAAATAAAAACAACAACACGGATCAGCTTTGAGTTGTAGCTTTGGGTCACTTTTACAAGCTAAGGCATTATGTGATTTTTTTTTTTTTTATGCAATTGGTGTAAAAGGATGTGTACATGTAAGCTGCCATCATTGAAAGACACTCACCATCTCCTTGGCTAATGGGAGGCACTCTGCTGGCAACAGGGGTGGAGCAAACCACGCCAGTGTTTGTGAGAAAGGCAGGAGTTTCAGTATCCTGGAAGAAGCATGAGTATGCTTCACCTTTACCCAGACTGGGGAGGCCTTCCACTGACACTGAGATCTGAGAGGGGGAAAGAAAGTAACCCTGTTTTCACTGTACCAACTGTTATCTTTAAAGCACCAAAGACATATAAAGAACTACAGAGTCTAGAAAGACCAACAACATAACACACAATGTCTTATGAATAATGTGTCCCCCCTCTTTCCCCTGTATTACATCAGTCTCCTCCCCCCGGCTGATGTTGTACAGGCTGAGGTGCTGGATGCTGAGGCACTGCTGGGTTTGGTTGAAGCTCCACAGCCACTGACCCTGCTCAGACCCTCGCTGGCACTCCCAGCGCTGACCACACCTGAAATACCACAGAGGAGTGAGAGAAACAAGCAGACACGAATTTAGGAAAGCACTCGCAGCACAGCAGCCACACCTTTACTGCTCTCCCTCTCTCTTTCTTTCTTTGTTAATGTCTGCTGACTCACCTTCCCTCCAGAACACACCAGCCACAGTACGGGTCTTTGGCAGACAGACAGGACTGACAGTCCATATGGTCTCCACATTCAGCTACTGGACGCTTCTCCACCTGAAACAGACATTAAACAATTTACCCGCAGTGCAAACAGAGTTAACTTCACATTTACATTTACAGTAATAAAGACGTTACTCTACATTATTAATACCTTTTACTCTGGGTAGTCATTGGCCAGATTTCAAGCATGAGTAACACAGTGTTTGACTCACTACACCAGTGAGAAGTTGATGCTGCTGTTTATAACGTCTCATGACAACTTCTTTTAAGCGTTTCCTTAAGATGACAGCGTTTTTGTAAAACCCTAATTCAATAGCAGCTGAGAAAATGTATTGATAGTTTGCAAACCAGGATCTTCAGGCCCTCAGACAGCGCTACATTAAAACAGTGGAAACTATAGTCTGTGAACAGAAGCTGTCTCCACAGCCACAAATGCAGTTTGAACTTACACTATGCAAAAAGGAAACCAGATATTAACATGATGCAAAAATGCCATTTCCCCAGACCCTCACCCATTTAAGGTGGACCGAGGGGTAGGGGGAAACTGTCCTGTGGTCTAAAAAATCAGAATAACATTCTTTATTGAAGATTAGTGATGCCATATCCTCCACTCTAAGGAATAGAGGGACAATTTAGTTTGTTATTAGCTCCCAGTCAAACCACATTCTGCAGGGATTACAACAGTATAGCTCGGTAGTAGAAGAGTCCTGCTGATAAACTGGTCTTCCTACAGTCCTGACTTGTCCCTCATTGAAAAAGTTTGGAGCATCATAAAACAAAGAAGAGCCTGGACTGCTGAGCAGCTGAAATCCTCTATCAGACAAGACTGGGACAACAGAAACTACAAACTCCTGAAACTGGTCTCTACAGACCCCAAAGTTTTAAAGAGTGTTGCTAAAAGCAAAATAAGTTGGGACACAAGGGTAAACATGTTCCTGTCTTAACTTTTTTGAAGATTTTCACGTTGTTACACCTCCTTGAATCCCTGGATGTCGACACACTGCCTGATTCTCACATATATAAAAAGGTACAAAAGCAGATGTCCAATTATTATGTATTGAAGCAAAGGCGGTGTAACTATAGGGATTTGAAAAGCATTCTTGTGGGATCTAAATATAAAAAGGCTGTTATAGATGTGTTAAATATAACCGCAGGCTGCAGGTCCACATTCAGACTGAGTCCTGGGAGCCTTTGAATATAGAGAAGTAGTTTCCTCCATCCATTTATCAGCATCTCCGGCTGCCCACACAGACACTCTGTAGGGAGTGTGCCAACACAATGAAGGCCACTTTCCCCGATCAATACCATTGTTGTGTCTGACCCTACACCTCCTGCTGACTGTTGTACTCATCACAGTGGGCCCTGCGACCCTTGACCTCAGCAGCCAGCTGGCCTCTCAGTTTGCTCTTATGCTCTCTGCCTCTTATTCTTTTATACCCTTTATCTGAGAGAGAAACACAGCTTGAGGAAGTATCAAAGCCCAAAACAGTCTGACAAACGATAAATTGTCTGACGGTGAATGACACGACATGTTCGGTCTCGTGTATGGAGACATCTGGGTGAGAGGCTGAATGGACAGGCTCGCAAAAACGGCTACGGCTGTTTGTGCATCTGCTGAGAGGTTCAAAGATTAAACACATTAAAAGCTGTGAAAGCTGATTCAAACATATTATCTCACTCCATGGATACTGTGGGGTTTTTTTTCCCTCTGGAATCATGCAGCGCTAAAACAGTCAAACATTTGTAGTGTTTGAATCTTCTGTAGCTCTCAAATCAAATCAAATGCCTATGAAGCTTAATAAACTTATTGAAACATAACCATTAATGACAAAAGCATACGTATATACCAGTGGGATTATGGAAGAATTGATTTGGTTGCATAACATTAAAGGTAAAGTGTGTAGAAATGGGGATATTTAGCAGTATGTAGGGGTTAGATTCTGGACTGAAACATTCCCTTGCTAACCCCTATTTACCCGCTGGTAAAATTGCAGAAGCAACAGTGGCCTAGAAGGACAAATAGTTCCTGTAATCCCTGATTGTGATCCTTAACTTTTCATGTGTTTACCTTTTATGTCTTATGTCCTAAAACAGAAGACAGACAAAGGAGACGAAGCAGACTGCTAGCGAGCTAGCAGCAGTAGTTCTTGATGAGACAGTTAGGCACTTCTAAAAACTGACATCCAAGATTTATTCTGAATCCAAAAACGATGTGAGAGCTTGTGCCTCTTTGGTTACTAATCAGTCGAACATTTATACTTTCTAACTTTCCAGGCTTCTTCTCTTCTTTTAGGTACTTTTTAAAACAATTTTAAAATAGTTTTTGAGGTTAAAAGGAATTGAAGTTCCTACTTGTGACTCATTAACATTTCTTCCTCTCTGAACTTACAATCGTTTTGGTCATGATGTAGATGTTTGCTCCGCTCTGGTCCAGTAAAAGGTCACTGTTGATGGGCAAGTTGGGCTGGATCGTCATGTTTGCGTAGACCTCCACTCGACCCTCCTGGCCCAGATAAACCTAAAGAAACACATCAGAAAAAGCAGAACACTTTTTTAATCATGGCGTGAAACAGAGTAGAGTTAAAAGCGCTCCTCTTATGAAAGAAAAGTGGAAGGTTTTCAGCACTGCAGGATAAAAATACAGAGCCGTAAAAAGGGGAAAGGATCGGACAGAATATCTTCAGCCTACGACTCAGACGCTAATCACATCAGTCTTGTGCAGGATCGCAGCAGAAGTGGCCATGAATGTGATTATGAAAGAGTCAAATCTAATCCACAGCGCAGGAAGACACCTCTGGCTTAAGTGATTCCCAGGCCTTCAAACTCTCATGTTACCTCCTGTTAATGAGATTAGCAGAGGTTTTCATGCCTCTCTCTGTCAGCCTCTCACTTGAGCAGAATTGAGAATCTGTTGTCCCATTAAGAAGATGCACTCAACACATTAAAGCATGGAGAGATGCTCTGTAATGCTCTGAAACTCCAATATTAATGCAGTCTATCCTGTGTGCATGTCACAATATTTAAGGAGGGTGCTTTCATATTGAAACTGCAACATCTTAACTGTACAATAGATTAAGTAAACTGGATAAATTATCAGATTATAAATGCAGTGAGTATTTCATCAGGTTCACTCTGACCTGGAGGGTCATTTTCAACACTTTGAGGAGCAAGATATTAACGTCTTTAATTTAACACAGGTCCCAATTAAATGCCAAGTCTCTTATCCTGGCAAGGTCCCCATGCAAAAAGAGGCCAGATCTTAATCGAATTATCTGGTTATACATGCTGCAAATTTTACCACCATATGTACCACCACTAGGGGTGTCCCAATACAACTTTTTTTACCTCTGATACGATAACGATAATGTAGCCTTCAATATTGGCCGATATCGATTTTGACCCGATATTGGCACAAAATTGGCATGAAAAGTTTCTCACTCATCTGCAATGACTTTTTTGAACTTTAATGAAAAATACTGCCACACAGCCGACATCACTCCTACTCCTTGGTACTTTGCTAGTACATTAGTACACACTGTTGTTGTAATTACATGGGCTCTACATGCTGGATCAGGGTGCTGCTAGATAGAGGCGCTGGAGTGGAGTCTGGAAGGGACTGCTTGTATCAGAGTGTTGATATTGGAGATTTAAGATGCAGGCCGATATAATCAGATATTCGAATTTTTGCTGATATCGGACTGATATCTCATATCAATATCTTATCGGGACACCCCTAACCACCACAATATAAAAACAATCATATATTTTTCAGCTTTGGAAATAGTTAAAGGCCCGTCACTTATTGATGCCTGTCCATTTGGATGGAGAGATTAGTGTAACCAAAAGCCTGAAAGTAGGATGATAGTGCAGCTAAATCAAAGTCAAAAGTTAAAAGTTTGTCAAACTCTTCAGACAGTAAAATTACCATCCTTATCCTTCAGACTCTATTTCTGTGTTAGTCTCCATAATAGTTTCTAAAGTCTGCAGTGGTACTACGTCACAAAGCTAATGCCTGTAACTGAAATGTTATCAGTATAGTTGCAAACACAGTACCCTCACAAACATGTTACAGAGCAGTAAAAGGAAACCATAAAGGAAGCATGTTTTATGTCAGTCTGTTCAATTTGCCGTCACAAAGTGGCAACAATTGAATTATCTGAAAGGAAACAGAAAAACAGAAAATGATCCAGAGTCAGCTGGCTGTCAGAGACCTATAAAAAACCCTTCTCAATCAGTCATGTGACTATAACATGTACCAGAGTTCTGGAGAAACTGATGTGGTCTATTTCCTCCTTACTATTTGTTCTTATTTCACATGTTTATCAATCTCATATTCAAGCTGTTGGATGTTACTGATTTAAGGCAGACTAGTTATGTGTTTGGTACCCTCTTCTCTTTCATTTGTTGTGTCTTTTGTTTCTTTCTGTGAACTCAATCACTGTACTGGGAGTTTTGCAGAGTGTTCAAAATTATATAATGTGCTTTAGGACGCTTAAGGACAGGGCTACTCCATTGGGAGGCCAAATCTTCCAGTGGTCCCAATCCAACCAGCGCAGATGACTCTAGTACATGAAAAAATGAACAGCACATGCATTGCTCATAAAAGCAGTTTGCAAGTGAGCCATTTAACTTTAGTTCTAGCTTTATCTGACATTGCACATGTGCAGTACTGATCACAACATAGATTCAGAGAAGTAGTTGTGTTCAAAACACCCAGTCCACACTTAATAACTTAGTTTTGATAACATTGTCCACACTAAAGCCAAAAACAGACAGTAAAAACTAACAGTTTAACTTTGCCTGGACTGAAAAGTATTTCTTTGTTTTACTCTGCACACAAAAAACCAACACACCTCATTTCTAGCAAGTGCACTTCAGCAAATAAAGTATACTTTAGGAAAACACAACTCTTTGGAGCAACTTGGCAGAGAGATCCCAGGAGAGAGAGGTCAAAGTACAGAGTTAATCTGGTCCTGCATGTCTTGATTTTCAACGCAGTCTTGTTTGCAAATCAGGTCCTTACATGATTTTAAAGTAAAGGGGTGTAGAGTGCAAACTAAACCCCACTTTGAAACTAGTTAAGCTGTAACGTAAGTTCCACCTCTGTTTGGTTGGTGTAAGCCTGTCACATCCAAACTAACTAAATTATTATCACAGATATGACGTTTGCACTTCAGTAGCCAATCAGAGAAAAGCTTTTCACCTTATGAAGTGATGGTTTAAGGGTAAACTCTTGTGCTTGACTGCTTCTTAACAGCTGAAAATAACTGCCATTAACATGGGAAGGGATGTAATATGACAAAGCATTATAATAAGGTTATATGAATGCATAGTGTAAAATTACTATGGCCATAGCTTTTCCTAGAGCTGTACTTGAGATCTCCACCTATGGAAAACAATCAGTGTTGATATTATCTGAATTGATGTAATCTGTAGTGGACAACAAGTGTGGCTTGGATTTAAGATATATATTATGCAAACATTGAAACTATTTCAGTCGGTGATCTCCCCAAAAACTATTTGCGCATTAACTTCATTTACAAGGCTAAGTATGAACTCCCACACAGCTGGTGCCACCCAGTGGAAATTGAATAACATGTTAATTAATTGCCTTTGTTCTGATGTCTTTTTTATCGTCCTTTCATTAGAGCTTGTACAAAGTTGAGCTAAGTTAAGGATTTTACAGGCGTCGCTTCACATCAAACAGGATGACAGGAGCGAGGTGAAGCGTGGTGTCTCACCATGAGACTTCTAAGAAAGTGTAAAACGTGTTTTCAAGAAAGTTCAAGTCAAGTGCATGACACTTTGTCCTCTGTTTGACTGTCCATCCCAAACACACTGGTTTGAAAGGAGCCATCACACATGCACGCACGCGCACGCACACACACAAACACACACAGTCCTGTATCTGGATTCTGTGGAATTCGTCCTGCTGTGATACGATAATCCTGTTACAATAGCTCACTTCAGATGGCAACATGGAGTGCTGCTTTGATCTCCTACCTAACAGTGACATGTCTGACTCCAAGTCTCGCTCTCTCTTATACACACATCATAAACACTCACACACACATATGTGTTCAACAAAATAGACCTGCTAGACGATAAGGAACTTCTTGACTACCTCAGACCAGAGTTATGTCTACATTTCTCTTATCTGAATCCCAGGACGTATGTATCAGATCTGTGTTGATGTTTTTCTAAAGGGCGGGACACACGGCAGGTTTTGGACAATAAAAAGCAGAACTTTATGTTTAACAGACAATATAAGACCCAAATTAAAGAGTCCACTCTGGGAACTAAACCAGCCTTCAAAAAAAAATAGAACCTTTTTTAAATATTATCTAAAAATAATACAGCTTACTCTCCAACAATCCCACACTGCAGTCTGTAGATGCATCAGCCATGGGATCATGCTGGTATGCTAGTCTGTGTATGTTGGAAACTGTGAGAGCAGAAATGACTGGAATCTGTCCGGCTGTGGCTAAATAGTTATCTTAAAGGATTGTGGGAACTGGCACAGACTCTGTGTAAGGTGTGTTTGCTTCCCTGGAAAATGATTCACAGACATCCTTAGAAGGAGCAGGCAGAAACAGACACGGGCAGGGCTGCAGGGATCAGGGTGTTAAGAAAGCCCTGGTGGTGTGATTGCCTTCGGTTTGAAAATCAGGACACTGCCGTCATAGGATGTTGCTTAATGGTTCAAATAATTCCATGATTCACAGTTCTGGGATTTACCGCTGATGTGTCCTGGGCGTTTCCCTTCTTCCCACCTGGTGCATGTTGGGGCAGGTTAAAGGGCTTAAAGAAACTAGCACAAACATAAGAGCATACAGGACTGGAGCTACCTTGTGTAAGGTCCCTTTGGAGTCTCCCAGGAAGGCGATGCTGTGTCCATCTCTGACGCTGACTGCCACCGCAGTGAGACGAGCCGCTGAGGTCTGCCACACGGCTTTGGCTTCCAGCGGTGCGCGGCTCGCCATCGGACTGGGCGTGTGGTCGGAGCCGCAGGGATATGCCTTCAGGGTGTTCTGTGGCAAACAACAACAGAGAGATTGGTCAACTAGTTTGTCCCTGTGTTAACACTAAACTGGCATATTTTTTTTACACACTTTTACAGTCCATCTTCAGGATTTTAACGCTGATATAAAACCAGTTTTGCTGTCATGTCACCTGTTATTTTAAAGCTTTACAATGCGTGGTGCCAGATTGGAAATGCTAACATCTGATATCAAGGCCAGACTGCATGCTAAAAGCCCTGTTATAGCAAGATTTAGCAGACGTAGGATGTTGAGCATTTGCATTTCAAAGTGTCATCCAGCCCAGCCCCCTTTTCTATACAATGCAATCATGTCAGCCGTAATGAATGGTTGGGTACCACTGTTTAGTCTGTCTATGTAACCACACAAATATATGTCTCTGTGGATGCCTAACCTGACACAGGGACCATGTGAACAATGACCTTGCGACAGAGGAATCAGACTGAGTCATTCATATCCATACTATAAATGCATCTTAATCATTTTGCATGACAAAACTTTTTAACTTTATCTTGATTATTCTTCAAAAAATCTTGAAAAAATCTGATACTTTGGATTCAAACCAACAAATGCTCTTTCATGTCTCTTCAATTAGTCTTCCATTCTTGCGAACGATTGCCTCAGAGCCTGTGAGTCCTTTTAAATCACCATAAGAGGATTGCACCATAGATAAAAGCAGACCCACAAAAACACACAGCCAAGTCCTTCCTTTGGTTTGGCAAAACAACTACTCCAAATCCTGCTTGCCAGTAAGTCTTTGAGCTCTGTCTGCGGATAATTGGCCCTAAAGAAGGAAGTAGCAGCAGCAATCAGCATCTCTTCTTCCTTCTCTAGATATTATTTTATTCTCTGTCCCTGTCACTTCACATGCTTGTCTTTCTCTCTCCATGTATCCAGCCCTCTCCATCTCTACTCTCTTTCCTCTTATGTCAGTGGGTTTCAAAAGAACTCCTTGTCAGTGCTCATTAAGCAAAGGTCCAGCTGATCCGGAGTTAGTTTGGTTTATTGATCCCTAACTATCCTATTAAATGGTTCTGAGGGCTGGCAGGACCGGAGTGGCTGCAGGGCTGCAGAGTGGGTCACTGCAGGGCTGCAGCTGGGTGAAGCTTCTCTTGGGGCATCTGGGAGATTTTCAGTGAGAGCCTCATTATAAGACATGCCTGCCATTGTCCCTTTCTGTCACTTAATCTCAATGCAAACAAGCCACTTATCCTCTGTTACTGTTCTCCACTGTATTTTGTCCTTCTGTGAAACCAACTGACTCAATTTACCAAGATGTTTTCGAACCATGAGGAACGGTAATTTGAGTCTCTAAGAGAATAATGTTTACAAAACTGTTGTTCAAGAAGTTCCTACCTCTTTAATATTTTGTTTTCCTCCATTAAAGGAATTGTAAGCATCAAAATAATGTCAGAGTTGCTGTATCAAGACAAAAAACTTGTTGTGTACTTACCATGGGCAGGTTAGCACAGCTGGATTTCACCTCGTACTCTATGTAGGCCACTTCTCTCCCCTCCATCTGTCCATCCTGGGTGTAGCACAGGTCACGGGTGGAGTCGATGTGTCTGTCAAGCTCATCCAGCGGGTAAACACACAGAGCCGAGGCGTCCAAGGGATTGTTGTTGGCTGAGCCCATGCGGGTGGAGAAGACTCCCAGCAGGTCTTCACCGTCCTGATCTAAACCTTGACCCACCTGTTGTAACAAAGCCGTGGGAAAGTCTTGAAGAAGTTTAACAATAGCATCACCTAAACAGCTATAAGCAATATGGTCTACCTTAAAACAGACAAACAAGAAATTTACTTAATTTTTTAAAAAGTCACCACCTTTATACTTTTAAGGCAAAAAGTGTTTCTGATACAACAGTTTATGATGGTCTTGTTGTTGAATCACTGTAGACCAGATCTGGACCATGTTTGTCATACTTGCCAAAGCATTCATTTTAAGCTGATGTAGAACCTCTTGAAGATACAGTGTCAGTATCAATATGACCAATGTAAAGAACTGGGACAGCCTTGATTATCATTTAAAAAAAGAAAAGTGTTGAAGAGTAAAGTCAACTGTTACGCAGGTGATACAGTCTTGTATGCCAGGACTTCATTTTGTGTGTTCAGAACACTCTGCAGGACCTTAAACTATAACATAACCCTCACTAGAAGTAGAAAAGAGTAATGCAATACTCATGAACAACTGAATCCAGTGTCTACATCATGCAAATAAAATGCAAAGTAGCCAGGTGGCCGTCACGGTTTTGTAAGAAAAAGGCTTTTGGGATTCAAATCAATTGTTAAGGAGGTGGTACAATCCTATAAGCACAGGATTCCAGTTTGGGTTTCAGATTTCTCTACAGGACCTCAAACTGTCACATAACTTTCCCCAGATAATAAAAAGTACACAATACTTATGAAATAGATACTAGTGTCAGTATCTAAATAACTCAAATGAAATGAAAAGTACCTGGGCAGCCTGGAGCAGATTGAAAGTCTTGGATGGGGAGGAAGGGGATCTGCAGACAAGAGGAACTTCAACATAGGAATAATAGGAAGTGTCATCTAGGCACACTCTGGCAGCATAGGTCCGATACTCCCTGGATGTTGACTTGATGTCACGGCGGTAAAACAAGAAGTAGACATATGAGCGTCTTGTGAATGCCTTCACAAAGTGGTGGTCATACTCTGACAAACGCCCAGCCACAGCAAGCTTAGCGGTCTCCTCATAGGAGAAGACAGGCTCTGATGAAAGGTGGCGAGTGGAGATAGGTGGATGGCTGGCAGTATAGCCCCTTCCTACATACATCACTGTCCTTTCACCGCCACGGAGCCCCACCACCAGCCCCACAGTTGACACTGCTGGATCATTGGCAGCCACATATTGCGTATCTACAGGCCTTTCTGTGGCGAAGAGAAGCTTCTTGATGGATGCAAGGCTGCGTTTCTGGCAGGTGCCCTGGTGAATACTGCCACAGGTGATCAGCTCTAATGCCTTTGGGTCCACCAGCAGTAGCTTGTTGTGATTACTGGTTCTCCTGGCCTGGGGACAATTAAACTCATTGACTGGTGGAAGGCACTCTTTGCTGTCACTCACAGGACCGGTCCTTTCCTCCTGCTCCAGCCGAAGTCCATCTGACCCATCCAGCTGAAAGAGGTGGTCCCTGGCCCCAAGGTACACTGTGCCCAGTGAGGGGTCTGGGTGGAGCACCAGGTGCTGGAATTCAGTGTCATTTCGGGTAAAACGAGGATAAGAGCGACCATGGGCAGTAACAACGATGATGTGTATGAGGAGGAAGAGCAGGGTGGATTTCAGTGCCTTCCCATGTAGCATGGCAAATATTCTGAGGAGAGACACGGTGGCAGGATTAGAGGACTGAAGACGCAGATGTTAAAAATAGTAAAACATTGACGACCTGAGTTCAAGGCTATTCTACTCTACACTGGAGTATATGTAAGAAGCCAAGAGATAAAGGTTAAAAAGGCTGAAACACAGGTTGAAAAGAGATTTACCAGTCTGTGGGAGACTATGCATGCAATTGTACAATAATTTCAGGATAATGTTCTTTGGCATAAAACTGAAAGAATTTGCGAATTTCATCATTTCCAGAACATAATATCATTAAAGATTCAGAGAATTTGGAAAAAAATGTCTTCACAAAGGGGATAAGGACCAAAATTAAGACTGGATGGAAGTGATCTTTCGGCCCTCAGGAAGCACAGATAAAAACGTGACTTTTTAACTTTTCTGCACCTGGGCTCATTTTAGATGGACTGAAGCAAAATAGAATACTGTCTTGTGGTCTCATGAATCATTGTTTGCTTGCTTTTTTTTTTTTAAATCATGGACAGCAGGTCCAAAAGCGGTGCTACCCAGCTTGTTGTTTTGACAGTGTTGTGAAAATGAAAGGTGATGCAACACAACAGTAAACATGTCACTTTCCCAATTGTATTCAATTCAAAATGAGTACACTCTCATAACACAATAAAATGTTTCAGTTCTAGCATTAAATATATTCTCCTTTGCACTCTTGTCAATTACACATCGACTTCAAATGATTTGCAAACCATTAAATTTTGGTTTTATTAAGGTTTCACAGAGGGTCCCAACTTTTTCAGAATTGGGTTTGTAGATTCAGTCTACTGTTTTAAGATTTTCATCCTCAGAGAAAAATACACTCAAGGGCAGAGTGCCTGAAATAGGGTTGAGAGACAAACTCATTCCTAATTGGTTTTAGAGATTATGAGATGTAGAAATAGTTTGATTGAATTCTTACCATCTATGTTCTTTGTTATGCTGAAGTATTCCTCCGCCTCTTCACCTGGAATCATGTCCCATTCCTTTCCTGTCTGTCTGAGATTGTCAGCAACAAAGAGGATTATTCATCTGTAAACACAGAGGACAGGGAGATGTGACTCAGATTGGCAGAAGCAAATCTCAGAGTGACTCTTGTCTTGTTTTATTCATCAAAAACCTCACACCGTCAAGCTTATGATTACTCACACAGTGTTATAACCCCACCACTACGCAGTGTGTACTCACTGGAATAAAAACAACAGACCTGCGGTATCTTTTACAACCGGAGCAATCGAAACATCAACTCTCATTTCCCATTTCCACAGCCGTCACTCAACACCTCCAGCAGAGTGGTTTGTGGACACAGAGAGCCTTTGCATTAGAGATAAAACCCCTTTAATTATTGAGCAGGTTTCCTCAGACCTTTCCCTGACCCCGGTAAGGAAGGTCACATAGGAATAAAAGTAACTCCTTTGTGGCAATGTACAGAAGGAGCTTTAGATTTGGGATTCATCAGAGCTCTGAGCAGAAAATAACGCAGGGTTTCTGTTTAAATTAAGCTCTGGGAAGCATTGTTCCCGCACTAATGCTCTGAATAATAAAGACATAAAAAGTGCAGGGAAAGCAACCATGTGTCCCTTTCAGAGTGTGGTATTAAAAATTGCAATATTTTGCATCATTAGCTCACTGTGTGAATAGACTTCCCTGACATTAGACATGCAGCGCCATCTCACCTAACTGTAGACGCCCTGGGGCTTCAAACGGGACAAAGACGAGGGGGAAGAAAGGGAGGAGGCCGGAAATCTTTGTGTGGGTGTGTGGATGTGTGTGTTTCTGCGTTTGACCAGGGGCCATCCAGGAGCAGGTGCATACGTCTTCGCCCTTGTCTGGCAAGTGACTAAGGCTCGGACCCCCTCTTTACTTATTCATGAGTAGAATAAGAAGTATAATAAGTAATAACCCCCCGCCCACTGTCGGAGGATTTGAGTCGGACGTGTATGAATGTGGGTGAATGTCAACAGGAGTGGCCATTACAGTCTGTTAAACAGGGCTGGAAATCCACACACTCCTCTGAGGCTGGGGAGGGATATTCTTTATGAAAAATGAATATAAAACAAACCAATTCTTTCAGCTTCATGTTTTATTGAATCAAATCTGAAAAGAGCTCTCAGATCAAGCCCAGTGTGGTTATCTGAGCTGTACTTTTCTTTAGGAATGGAAATGTTGGTGGATCAGTACGTGAGATTGATCCTTGATGAGGTCCAGGGTAAAATATTACTCAAACTCTCTAGATAGTGTTTGACATAATGTAAAGGTTTAAATGTGTACCTCAGGATGATGAATTATTCAACTTTCCTAATGGACACCTACATATCATTTAACGCTGTCATCATCTTAAAGCCTTTGTGAAGAGATTTTAGCTGGTTATGAAACAGACTGAGAGGCTGTCCACACAGAAACATATTCAGTGTAAAGAAAACTGTTGATGTATTTTGGCTTTTCCAAAATTTTGGGGAGGTTAAAAACACATTTTTGAGACCAGATTCCAGAGCAGATTCTTTGCCATTGAAGTTCAAACTGGCAAAACTGTAAAATGTCAGAATCATACATGCGAGTGTTTACTTTTATGCACCTCTCCATTTCAAAAACTGCAGATCCTTGAACATCCACTGGGGCTGGATCCAAAAGCACTGGAAGCCTCATACACACCCGTTCAAAAAAGCCCAATCTTCACAGCTTACTTTATCATGTTTACAGCCTAAAAAAATGTTTTAAATCCAACAGCTCTTTCCTATATTCAAACACACAAAACATTTTTTTTTAAAATAACAATTACATTTAGCTTCCTCCTTATCTCTTGCTAAGACAGGTGAGGTTGAGTCAGCATTTCCAGTGTGCTCATGGCCATTAATCAACTTCAAAACTGCTTCAGGAATCAGCAGGAGTCATAAAGGCCATGCCAGTGTTTTAAACAGTCTGTTTTAAACCCAAAAAGTATCAAGAACCAGCAAAAAAGCATTTCATTCAACCAAAAATGACACTTTCTGACAACTTTTAGACTCCATTTGCCAAAGAAATTCCATAAATCCCTAATTTTTGGAGGTTGGGACCATGATTGACATTAACACTTATATAATGTTCAGAGTTGTAATCACTGTTGACCACTTTTGTGTCAGTTGACTTGTTGATAAGTAGACTGAAGTGTTGAGCTTTAACAAAAATACCACACTGAGTAAAAGAAAGCAGAAAGACACGTGGAGAAGAGTCATTAAGTCAGCTAACTCAATCAAAAATGGAGGATAAAATTCCTCACATAAGCCTGTGACACCTGTCTCAGGTCTCTCTTTCTGTATCTGGTTTCCATCCTTCCTCTGCCTGCAGCATGACTGAGCATTATTGGCAATCAGGACAAAGGAGGTGATGAAGAGGGATGGTTAATTTCGAAGCTCTTTCTGGCACACACACACACACCTTCAGCAGCATGTGGTGAGGAGTGTTTGTTTTTACTTCCTTACTTTCAGTTGGCTCCTTTTCCCAACACTTTTTGGATTGTTGGATTTATTTTGTTGTCTTCTATGTTGTATGTATATTTCCTCAGGTTAGTTTAAAGTTTTGGGGGAGGTGCTGAGAGCGATGAGCCTTTCTGTGGTTGTCCCAGCACCTTGCATCTTTTGTTCATTTTGGCAGGAGTCTCTGGTCCCTTTTATCTCCCTTGTTTTGTTTTCTTTGTTGTTTGATTTGGGATAAATGTTTGGGGTGAATGTTCGGTCTTCACTGCTGAGCCTTGATATCTTCTAGTTGCAGAGGCAGAAACACAGCCACTGAGGGCAAACTGGCCAGACACTATAAAGTTGAAGCAGCAACCATGCTGAAACATGGTGGCTTTGAAATGCACAAGAACATTTTCAATAAGTTCATCAAGATCCTGCATTGATCAATTTTTAAACATTCTCTGCCTTCTACTTTTGAACCGATGTTCCCTGCTGCTCTGAACCAGTGTCCTCACCTGCTCTTTGACCGGCCAACATGACGCAGTCCACATATTTATAGCTTAGGGTGACCCCATTGCCATGGGAACTTCCTCTTTTAAAGCAGAAATGATGGCTCCCTCAGAGCCACCATGAGATCAGACTGAATGACTGCGGTTTGGGACCGAGTGGAGATGGATGGGAAGACCATGAGAAATCCAGAAGGAGGGGAAGTCCAATTTAGAAACTTCCCTGACATCTGAGACCCATTAGAGCTAAGCAGCATGTTTTTATTCATTCATCAACCTAATAACTACTTTTAAAACGACATCTCTTTGTATTATCACCCATTTCATTGAGTGTTTGTGAATCTTCTGTAGCATAAATCAACCAGCTCACTGTGAGGCCTTTACAGCTTTTAGCAAATGCAAACGCATTAATCTTAAGTTGTAGATGTCCATCTGTGCTCACTGCATCTGGCTCACAGTCCACTGAAAGTGAAACATCAACATTAACTGCTGTGGGAGTGTTTGGTAGTAAAACAAACAGCAGCGCCACCCTTCAGAGGAGCAGAGGGGCGGTTACTCTCATGCTCTCCTTCAACAATCTCCAGAGTTCATCAGTTGTGTGTCTGGAATGCAGCATGCTCGGCCATGGAGCACAGTCCCAACAACCTATAAATAACCTCTGCTGGACCATTTGACTGTCAACTGGATTGGACAAGGAGGGAAGAAGGGGTCAAAAAGCAACCACGGAGTAAATACTCACATGCAAATGAGTCCAAATAAATGAAAATAAGTGATTTTCTCAATATGGTTGTGAGTGTGAGTGTGTGTGTTTGGTTGTGTTGGAGTCCTCTTGAGCAGCATGCACTAAACTCAATAAGACACAACAGGTAAAACACCAGCTTGTACGTATAGGCACAAAAACAACAGTGAATTACACTAAACAGGAGAGCTAAAGTGTTAAACAGAATCCAAAATGACTTTTTGTAAAAAGCGAAGTTGTCAGTGTTGGAGTACTGGTAAGTCCCAAGAATATCTGGCAACCCCAGTCTTCTGTTTTATATCTAACACACCTTAATCTCTGGCTGGTCCCAGATGAAAGTTTTTAGTTGGCAACAGCTTAGATTTCAGCTCCCAGCTTTTAGAGATAGAAGGGATATTGAGCAGATAAAACAAAATATGAGTGTTTTAAAGACTGCATCCCCTACCTTTAACTTGAAAGTTATTTATTCAGTTTTTTCACCTGCTAATGACTTGTAATGTTTGTCGTGGTGAGGAGAGGAGACGTCTGCAGATGATAAAGCTCCAGGTTAACCTTGTAAAAAATGAAGACTGAATATCCTATAAAAGTTTACATCCTGCCATTTAACTACTTAAGATTTAGCGACACAGAGCAAGTCAGCTGTCAAATGACGGCAAGGATAATGGTGTTAGGGGGATGGCCTATTGTATAATGTGTGTTTATGTGTGCTAACAAGTGTATTTATAGACCCCTATAAACTTCCCAGAATGAGGTCTCATCAGTGAACTTCTGCTCCAACTGTTCCTATCTGACTCGTCTCCTCTCTTTGTCTGTAAGTATTAATCACCAAGAGATTCTGCTGTGCAAGTTCATTTTTAAACCTCCTAATGAGCCGTGACAGCCCACTGAACGCCTAAGACCCCATAAAATATGTGGGGTCAGCAGCAGCAGGGACAGTGGGGGACTTGGGGCCTGGAGCCACGGAGTACTGCCTTGTATTGTTATGTTCTGGTAAGTTGGCCAGCGTCTCACCCCCGGGGCCCCCAGACTGTGCAACAGTAGCTTCAGTGGATCCTATCCAGAGAGTACAGTAGAAAGAGAGGAAGAGTGTCAGGCATTGAGGCCAGTGAGGAGACACAGAGCAGGCTGCAGTGGTTGCCAGTAAACACTTGAGTTTGATTCATACGGACGAGGTGGAGAGATATAAATGTGTTTGAGTGCTGCTTATAACACGGATGAAGTTAAGTAGAGAGCCCTCTCTTTCAGCAGCCTTAAAATACAGACTTTAGTGTCTGTGCTGTTCTCCTACAAATATAAAAGATGGATGGGACTGTTTGAAAAAAAGACGAAAAAAGAAATCGAAGACAGACTCCATCATCATTGAAGTAGAGGGTAAAATACAAACAGACTGCATTTATAGAAAGTTTATTTTTAGATTATGCACTGGCAGAATAGTTGCCCAGACCGCTGGAAAGTAAATCCAAAAGCATCTGGCTATAAGCTATAAGTGTTTGCTAACTGGAGGCTTTTTGCTCTAAGGTTCATTTGCATGTAAACCTTTCAATTGCACCAAAAGTTAATGCATAACGGCTTGTTTTAAGAGGCCTACCCACAAACATCATACTCACTGACACTTTATCTTTTGCAAAAGAGTTTGGGGTGCAAACTCTTTGTCCTATTTGCAAAGGTCTTTTTGTGAATCAAAGTCTTTACTGATGCCTTTGTAAGGAGCATGCAAGTAAATCATGAAATTAATCAAATCTGGTGCAGAGAAAAGAGTAAGCAAAGTTTTGCATTACACAAACAAACCCAGGCTGGGATTAACCCGGTCAACTGGTGGCCAATCTCCAATAAACAAGCTCCTGTGTATGCAAACCAACCGAATGCATAAAATCCACAACCAAACACAACAAACAAGCTCCAAATCCATACGTAGTAGCAGTTAGTCCACATACAGTGGTGTTGCTGGTTGTCTGTCCCCACATAGAAGGTTAGATCAGTGAAAGCCCTAATATTATGAGAGGCAGATGTACACATGCTTGGCTTGTCTCCATTTCCGTCGCCTTCCAAGGGGTCAATGGCCATCTCTCTCCTCTCAGTTCACACACAGACACAGAGGGTCCCTCTGTGGGCCCCTCCGGTGGGCTGAAGGGACTCTCTGTCTGCTGATGGAGGGAATAGTGTCCCTTTCACGTCTCTCTGACCGAGTGGCTGCTCTGAACGGACACAGGATAAAAGCCACTTCCCTTGGAAAGAGAGTCCACGCACACACACATATCTACAGAAGTGCGGAGACACAACACACTTTTTCATGTGCACTCACACTCACACTCCTTCAGCCCGGTTTATGACAGGATCTTTTCAGCCTGCAGACAGTAAACGCTCTCCCTGGGAAAAGCAGGTGTTAGCTTAGCTGATTGGTACAACATGACACGCACATCCAGACCCCCACTGTAAGACTGATGAGGTTTATTGTTTGATTTCTTTTTACTAACCTCTTCTTCACAATTCATAAAAAAAAAAATACAAAAGCAACAGAAGATCACAGACAACAGGGCCAGACACAGCAGAGTGGTGTTAAACTGAAATACAAGATAAAGTGTAATAAAAAAGTAACTTTAAATGGACGAACATCAGTAATGAGACAGACGTTTAGCAGAGAAACTGCCTTCATCAGGTGCCACTGGTTCTCTGAGCCTTCGACAGCACTTTTGACCTTTGACCCTGACTAGGTGACAGAGAAGGGAGACTGGTGGTGTCATGGAAATATGACAGACTGGAACTGATGGAGCTGTTACCCTTCAACATGCAACAGGCTAAAGGATCAAAGAGCAGTCAAGAGGAAGCAGGGGGCGGGGCCTAATCGTACTATGAGAAAGAGAATGGGAATGATTGACAATAGCAGCTGAGGCCTAATTTAGCTTTTTAACCAGGCTCGGCTGACGGCTGTGGGACCCAGGAGCCCCTGCAGTGCAGTAAAATATAGTCCAAGTATGTTATAAATCCCAAAATGTATGTTTGAATATAGTTTGATGGACATATATGGTCCTTACAGCCAAGTCACCTCAAATAGAGCACAGTGAACTGACGCTTAAACAGCACCATATGCAAAATAAAGATAATAATAGTGAGAATGCACTTCTTTTTGGAGCAGGCTGTGGGACAGATCTTTAGAAATAGGCTCTGCTGACAGGACTTGAACACAACAGCACAGAGAGCAGCCAAAATCTCCAGCCACAATTACAGACCTCAGCTCTCTGGCCTCCCTGAGGAGAGTCAGTCAGTCGAGTATACTGAGAGAAAACGTGAGAAAAAGGAGAAATGGATGACGCAGCATGAACCATAACACGCACTTAGGGTTAGGCGATGCCTCTCAAAGTGCAGTTTGATGATGTCCAGGCTGAAACATGCTGATAAGGGAGGTTGTTTTAGTTTGTTAGGCCAGCGCAGCATGTCAAGATGACTATTGCATTTTGGCTGCGTCATTGTTCACAAAGCAAAGCGAGAGCAGGAGCATGACAGGTCTGTGAACTTAGCAGACAGAGCCTCGTAATGGCCACAAAATTCAGTGTAACATAAGCAGAGAAGAATAAAAGAAACTGAGGACAGCCTGAGGCAGAGCAGCTGAACTCAGGTCTGCTGTCTGCTTTAATACTGTCAGCTCCAAAGATGGCAGTCGATGAGAGCCAGGCAGTGCCAAAACGTATTAGACAGCCTGCACTGCTGTCATCTGACAAATTACTGAGTACTGAGATTTTTCACTTAGAATCAGCCTGGCACAAACATGGACGTACCCTGAACACATGGATGTTTTCACAGTTCAGATGAAGAGTTTTAATGTCCTGTTGTTGTTTGGACTGAGTGAAACCAACGCTGATAGAATTTATCTGCAGAAAAAAAAGACAAGAAGGTTCTTTGTGCTTAAGTTATGTAAAGTTGGTCCATTGTCAGACTGTCACTCCCATAGCTTGGCGTCCAAGGAATCCAAACTGAAGCAGCTTCTCTGGCAGTCTGATATTGTTAACAGACACATCGACATTACTGTGAGTTTGTGAGGGCTTGTTGCTAAAACTTTAATATTTTCTTGAGACGAATTACAACATGAAATGATCATTAAATAATCCAAAGCAATAGTCATATCTGAAGCACTCAATACACTTTAATGGAAGCCAACCAGAGTTGATTTGAGTTACTTTTATACTTGAATGTAGAAGGAAAAACCCACAACTCAAATATTTTTACACAACTTCAGCTCCTCTTACATCCTCTTAAGCTGTCCTTTTCATTTACAGAGCAAATAGTGTAGTAAAGAGAAAAGAATAGACAGCCAAAGTCATTTACATTCGGTCTTAAAGACAAAAGAAGCCCCAGAAGCTCGCCTGTGGCCGGTTTGCGGTTAGAGTTGAGCCCGGCCATATGCCAGTTTGAGGAATCACGTCATCGAGGACGCGCTGCTGGGGTCATTGTGTGGCAGAATACCGGGGAGGTGGCAGTGGGACGTGCATGCGTATTCATTTGTTTGCCAATGGTCTGCATACATTACCACCTACTGCTTGTACAGCCACATGTCGGAGTCACACACACACACACATACGCACACATACACACAAACGCACACATACGCACACGGCCGCCTCCTCTTTCACCGCACTCAATAGCCTGAGAAAGCCCTTTGTCGTCCTTCGTTGTCGTGACGACGTGCCTGGTCGAGTGAATAGAGAGTGGAGGTCTAGCCCGACCAGACTGTGGGCATTTTAATCAGCTTGTCACACTGTCTGTGGTCTCACTAAACTCCTGCTCTCCACTGTCCCCGTCTTTATACGCCCAGAGAAGCGACTCGCTGGAGTTTCAGTTTTTTCTTTAACAGGATCGTTTTACAATCCAGAGAGCCCTGGGAAACATCAAGTATGATTTTCTGCTCTTTTATTGAATTACACAGCAGACAATGAAAGAAAAAAATGCTATATCCAGCCACAAACCAGTGGGCCTGAAAGAGGGTTTTATTGCTAATATGCCTGGACTGTGGCTAGAAATCTGGTTTGCTTTCTGCCCATCCTCCACTTAGATAATTTTAGTGGTGATGAAACATGCGGTGCGTCTCCTCAAACGGGGAGAATAAGCCCGAAGAAAGCCCTCCATTTATTCCCAGAGGAACTAATTGCTGAAACTTTGGGGCAAGGATCTGACAACATGATTTGTTTTATTCATGAATGAGTTTGCAGCTCATGACCCCCTGCAAACCTTTGACTCAGAACATGCTAAGTGGAGCCGGTCCTGCGTCCCCCTTCTTCTCACAAATCCTCTCGCCTGTCCCTCCCTCTCTCCCTCACTGGCCCTCGTGCCTGGTATCTCAGGCGCCTATGTGGATGCCACACATACTCTGAATGTTTAGTCAGGGATTCTCTGCCGCTGCTGTCCCTGCAAGGCTCGTGGTGATAAACTCTTGGAGGTTATATCATTACGTCTCCCCCTAACAAGGAGAATAAACTCTAGAGGTTAACACTGATCCCTGTCTATCTCTGTGGGATTGAATTGACTTTTGAGGTTGCCACCATGTTTGAGCTCAAGCCTCAGGCCAGAGGACATAATTCCAAACACAGCACAATGGAGAGTTAGCATTTTATAGGTGACACACTCTAAGCTATGGGCTCTGAATGGAGCTCGGCAAACCATCTGTAGAGAGCTATGGTTGTAAATTTGACCATTTCCACCCCAATCTAAGCAAGTATCAGAGATTTACTGGTGATGTCGTCTTCTAAGTCCTCAGGCCATGACTGAGAGATCAACAAATGTGAATCAAACACATTGTACACTAATCAACCAAACACAGGAGAAGCTGATCTTGCAAATTCAGCTGGTTGAGATTCATATCAGACCCTTTTTCAACAACAAACACACAGGAGGACCCACTGTCCCAGCAGCCTTGGCTTACAAACCTCAACTTTGACAGTGAAAAAAATGCAAAAACACACTTAATTTTGCATAAATGTCAATAAAAATGAAACTTTTTTGCCATGCTGCATAGCTTGGTCACTGACTCAAGCACAAATGCCTGATAGAAAAAAAGGCTATCTTTGAAAAATGTGATGTTGTACAGGTTTGACCACGTCCTGGGATGACAGTGAGGTCTGCAGCTTCACAGTATTTTTGTTTTAGAGCCATAATCTTTTAAACATCCAAATCTACTCTGTGTTTTCTCTCACACCGACCATCAACACACAATTGGCTGTTCTGTATTTTCATTTCAGGGTGGGGGTTATTCACATCACATGTCACATATGTTAATACAATGTGTGTTACTTTGTGCATGTTTGAGTGTGTGTGTATATGATGCACTTTCTTCCCACCTTATTGCAATGTGTGTTCACACACAAGGGCACCAATATTGCATGATTGGGCCTTGACTTAGAAGTCTTTTCATAAAGTGGAGCCTTTTGTGTGCAGGTTCCTGCGCATGTTTGACCCTGAGGTGCTCTGACATGCAGACAGCAAGTAGCAGTGAAAGGAGCAGCAGGGTCGGCTGCATGATGAGGGATTTGAATTTTGATAAATCAGTACAGTCCTGGATGAGTTTGGGTAGAGTGTTCCTGAGGCAGCCATGGAGAAAGCCCCAGCCCACCAAGGTTTAGAGCTTGGTCCTCAAAGCAGGGGTGGGAAGGCTTTGAGGATCAGAGGGTGCACGCGGGAGTGTAGGGGTGGAGCAGGTCAGTGAGGTAGCAGGGGACCTTATTATGGAGGGCTTTGAAAGTGAGGAGAAGGGTTTAAAACTGAATGCCTTGGTGAAGGTATTGGAGGACTTGAGTTATGTGGTCACATGACTAGGTTTGGGTGAAGATGTGAGCAGCAGAGTTTCAAATGAATTGTAATGTAAAGATAATGTGAGTTCTTGTCTTCAGCAAAGCATAAACTCTGGAGTCTGGGCTGTGGAGGGGTGACGGTCTACAAACAAAGATTACCTTGTGGAAAATTTAAAATCTCTGTGGACAACTCATTTCTGAGTGTGTGTCAGCCTCTAAATAAAAACAATATTTTCATCATGATCTTCTATGATTCTTGTGTTTGGGGGCCTTTTCTGTTTTTGCTGGCAATTGTCTTTCCTTGATCGTTGGAGCTACCTGCCCACAGAAAAACAACACAACCACACTGAGCCTTTCCTTTTTCAGCAGCCTAGCAGGACACCTCAGTGTGCATGCATGCAAACACTCGTTTCATGTGCAGCCAGGGCACCCAAGCAGACATAATCCTGCTGAATCCCCAAAAAGGGACCAGTGACAAGCGTTCCTAATTCACATTTTACTCTGGATTGCACTCTACAGTCCTACAGGGGTTTAGCTCATTAGGTAGCTAGTGGAGGGTACTTCCTGGTCCCAGTGTGGTCTTTACTCACGGTAGAAACGCCCATCTTAACACCTTGGACCGTGTCCACTGAGGAATGTGTCATGGTGGAGTGAAAACCTTGTACAGAAATAAGTGATGTCATGTTAATTTCCGAGAAATGACTAGTAAACACAACTCTGACGGATCAGCGGGAATTCTGTAAAAAGAGCGCTGCTGTGGAAAACACTCAGCTGATGAGTAACCCCCGATACAGTACAGAAAGTGGAGCCCTTTCACAATCATCACCACAGTCGCAATATTATGATCGTCTCCTGTCCTCCGCTCTGTATTCAACCTTCAGCTCATTTAGCTGCCAAACTGGTGGTTTTTAGGGTGCAGGCAGGTGGGCGTGATATCCTGGCCTTCTGTCAACAAGCCGTGTGACGGACAGCTTCATTACAAAGAAAATGGACGCCCCTCGGAGACACGCCTTCGCACCCCCCCAATCCTTCTCGCTCGCTGGGATTGGGGGAGAGGACAATCTGAGCAGGTCTTTTAGAGTGGGAGGTCTTCAATTGTCAAATGCTTAATAGACTGTGCTCTCTCCATCTCGCTCAGGAACACGGACCTAAAAGTCGGATGTCCACACAATGAACACACACACACACACACACACACACACACACACACACACTTGCACAGTATCCCCACTCTCAGACTTTATCTGAACGTCTGGCAGGAAATCAAAGATGATTGATGATTGGTGCCCGGCTCGTGTTGAAGGTCTGAGGTGTGTGATTGTGATCGAGGACAAAGGAATCATTGCAGAAGGTTAAACATATGATAAAACCCTCAGGAGAGCAGCGAGGGGATCCTGCATGTCATTAATCACCTAAGATTTCCCTTTTCAGCCGCCTGTCATGTTTATCCAATAATCACCAACAATGTTATTTCGGTAATCAGCTCTCGTAATATCCACTGTGATAACTCTAGCACTAGCGCGTTTATCTTTGTTGATTGCAAACATCATGGTGAATCATGGCCACTGCTGCACCTACAGTCGCCATGATGGAAAATCACACCACTGTGCTTTTGAATGGCACACTAAAAAAAGTCAAAAGATATCTGTTCATTCTGTCAAACAGAAAAGTGCACTAAGGACTCAGGTGCAGCTAATCAGACCGATGTCAGCAATCAGCTGCTTCAATGAAAACCTGCTTTTTGACAGTCATACACCCTACCATCATGGGGAACAGCTTTATCCATTCAAGATCTTCATGAAAGCAGCCAAACTGGAACTCCTGAAGAGTGCAAATGCTAGTGTATTAACCAGGAATCCCTGGAGTCAGTGAATGAACACAGTAATCACAGTAAAGGCTAATTTATGCTCAATGTTACATATGGATCCAGATACGCACAGAGCTCTCTGTCTGTGCTTCACGTTCTTTTCGTCTGTATTCCTGCATGTATCCTTGAAGTATACAGATGCGCACCAGACAGAGCAGTACCACCGGAAACCAGGTGGGGGGCAGTGTTGCTGGGGGGCTTTTTGAGGATCGTCGTCAACTTCTCTCATTGGTAGTACTAGAGAAAAGAATTATCCATCCTCCAACCACGATGTGTTTAGTGGCCTGACCAACCACCGCCTTCAACAAAGCCTCCATTTCTGTCTCTTATGCAAAATAGACATTATCACCAGCTCCTCCACAGTCACCATGTTTCTTTTTGTTTGTTGTTGTTGTCAGAAACTTTTGACTCCGGCCTGCGCCCCAGTGGATGTAATGGTTAACATCCATGCCAATGTAAAGGGCGCATGGAAGTATGTGGGCAGTGATGGAACTATCATAACAGACGTGTCCATTTTCATATGGCGAACATAAATGAGCCTTAAAACACTGCACTGACGTTTCAACACTTTGCTTTTCTGACTTTTTTAATATGTGGTTTTATTTCAACTTCACCATCTCTGGATTTGCAGCACCTCTTATCATAGGGTGTGTAGATTCTAGTTAATGCATTTGAAAATACTCCAAGTCAGGACATCACAATAAGCAAACAAAGCACTGCAGGCAGTTTTTGACCATTTCTCTTCAGAGTTCAAAGGGTTAAAGCACAATTAAACATGACGGGGGCTTCACAGACAATATGCTTCATTATAAGAGGGCCGGGCAGTGCCACCGACTGCGTCTCCAAGAGGGTGTGAGGCTACAAATCAGTCCATCTAGACAAATGCCAACCAAACTGCACCAGGAAGCTTTGAGGGGTCTTTGTTCGAGGAGGGGCACGGGCACGGACCCAACACTAATATGGCTAATGGCTTAGGGAACCCCACCGCTTCTTTAATTGAAGCTGGCTCTCCACCGTCCAGTGGGGAGGGAAAGGAGAGGGCGAGATAAGAAACAGCAAAGGAGAGGGAGAGACTGGGGAGACGGGAACGAGCAACTCTGATCTTGAAAAGAAAGGAGGGGGCTGGGAGGGGGATGCAGAAGGTGTGTGTGTGTGTGTGTGTGTGGTGGGGGGGAGGTGTAGCCAATCGGGATTTCCCTTGAGCTCTCAGGACACCTGGGATCATCAATGATTGATCAAACTCGAGGGTTTAACCAAGGGAGAGATGGGTAAAAATGGGCTGGGGCTTTGGGGCGAGAACTACAAAGAAGTGTGTGAGAGTGTGTGAATGTGTGTGTGTGTGTGGTGTGTGCTTCTGGGTGGGTGTGATAATGAGAAAGAAAGAGACAGACAGAGAAGGCGAGAGCAAACTCCAACAACAGAAATGGACAAAAGAAGGCCAAAATCTCTGAGAACGAAACATAAAACTCTCAAACAAAAGCGGCTGTGGAAGCAAAGATCAGGATCAAAGCTGAAAGTCTGGCGCTCTACAGAGAGCTCGCCGCCCTCATGGTTGTGGCTGTGCTCAGAGCAGCGAAAGACAAACACAGTCCTGAACTGGTCCACACTGGCTGCAGCCTCATCCAGAGTCAACACACACCAGTAACCTCCCAGCATACTACAGTACAACCACTTTATCATCCTCGTTTACCACTTTATGATGCTTCGTCATCAAATACAGTCACCTTGTCTGTGAAATCCTGTTTTTTTTCTTTGAAGGAGATATTAAAAAATTTAAAACTAGCTGAGCTCAAGAGGCATGGCTTGGGTTGAAGATAAAGATTCAGCATTTATTCATCATTAATTCATGTGGGATTGAAATACATCACAGAGAACCAGTTGAAGCACTGGTCAATGAAAAATAAATGTTCATCTAAATTACCCAGCTCCTTCATACTCTTTGCATTTTGCAGCCTCAGCAAAAATGAGTCATGCAAAATCAATCACGTCTCTGCATTTCACAATTTGAAATATTAAAAGTTTTGTGGATTAATGATCTGATTGAAGGCTGTTTAGGTCACTGAACTGGGAGGTAAATATGCCCCAGTAAAGATCTACAGATTCACAGCTTTGGCTTGAGATTTGTGGATTTGATCAGGCACATGAATTTCATTCCCACTTTTCGGTGCCTAACAGCATCATAAACATTCAAGTGAGAGTTTTGCCGTCTGCAGAAGCTTTACGCACATATGTGCCAGGATTTGCTGTGCCGTAGTAGTTGCACTTCTTCGCCACTGTTGACAGCAAAATCCATTGGTATCACTTTTCCACAATACTGCTATTCACGTCACAACAGTACTTTTTGGTTATAATTAGTTGGGGTGGGAGAAAAAATCGATACAGCATAGTATTGCGATATTTTGTCTGGTGATTTATCGTATTGTCTCATTTGCCAAGTATCGATTTTTTTCAAATTAATTGCTAATATGAAGTCAAATCTATGATAATGGAAAAATAAAGTCAACTGTTTGTCCAGTGAGGTCGGCAAAGGTGACATCATAGAACAGGAGACAGTTAGTGCAACAAATATAACTGCACCTGAAGAAAGACATTAAGAATGTCAGCAGGGCACAAGTGAGATGGACCTGACACATACGGTTTGAAAGATGTGCTACATGAAAATAAAATACTTTGTAAATAAGACAAACATAGAGAAAAGACAAATGCTTAATTAGCCGTTTTTCAATTAACAGTTGAAAACATTGCATAAATCGCAATATATTGTATTGCAATATTCACTGTATTGCAAAATGTTAAAAATCGCAATAATATCTTATCGTGGCCCAGGTATCGTGATAATATCGTATTGTGGGATCGATGGTGATTCCCACCCCAAATAATTTGGGGTTTAACATTAAGAAAGCTGATATTAGTGAGAGACAGTTATCTGTGCTGGCCTTTTATTTTGCAGAATAATGTTTATTTTTACAAAAATAAGGAAAGAAATCTAACAGTTTACTTATAAGACTTAAATATGGCCTGAAGAATCTGTCACCTGTGTTACCACATACTGGACGACATGCAGTTTGAAAGTTTTCATTCCGTCTGCTATGGTTGCTGCAAACTTTGCACGGATTAAGACAAATAAAGTTGCAGAGTTTAATGCTGATACAACTTTAAAGTGTATCGGTAGCTTCTTTTCAGGCTCTGGTGTGACTGAAGTCTAAGAAATGCCCTAAACTGAACATTCTTGTGAGTACATTTTCAGGAGGAGGGAGTTTGGACTGGCATTGATTTCACTCTGATTTTGATTTAAGTGCCCTCCAGCCTGTTTGCTGCTTTGTTTCAAAGCTTAAGCCTGGCTGAAAGTGAAACATGTTCTTGCTGGATTTTGGGTAAAGCAGATTGGCTCTGAGGGTTGCCTGGCATTGTGGCTGAATCTTTGAATAAAGACTTGAATCCACTCCCTCTGTCAGGACTGCTGCTAAGAAATGCATTATTAATGAGAACAGTCTGACTGATGCTTGGGATTAATTACAGTAGCTTTGAACGCCGTTCCAGCCCCACCCCCCCACCACCCTTTTTTTTTTTTTTTTTAACACTTCACGACGACCAAGGCAACATTATTTTTCTGTTCATTCAAAACCCAAATTAAACCATGCAAGTGGTTTGCAGGAGTCTTGATGGTGAAACCAACATTACTGTCTACTTGAATTATTTACACCCTCACTTCACTAAATCCGCTCTGAGCTGTTTTCTACATTTATCAGAGCAACAGTTGCATGGTGCTGTCGTCACCTGCCTGCTCACACAGACAAAAAGCTAAAAGGCTTCTTCATTGCCCATTTGCATCCTCTTTTGTCAGCAGACTCGCTCACAAGTGCAGCTGGCTGGTACAGCAACATGGGTGTAAGAGCTGTTATGAAAGACTTCCTCGACATCATTTATTCAAGTGCTTTATATTTTTATGAGCAATAAACTATCATGACGCCCACCAATCCAACAGCATAAGGTTATAAATCACGAGCTTGTGTGAATTTCAGTTCCTCTTCACACTTTACAGCTTTATTAATACACAAGCCATGAACTTTCAAACGCCTGTCTGTATTCTTCCAAGTTAGCTAACAGCTGAAACAAGGTCATGACCAGACAACAAAAAGAAAGTAATGAAAAGACCTAAAGACCATTTACCCTGTGTTATATTCATCACTGAGGCATAAATCATGCATGTTAATTATCATCCTTAACCCCGAGACACACAATCAAGTAACAGTCACATCCAGGAATTCCTTGATGTTTGCCAATAATTTCAAACTCAAATTGTAGAGCAGTAGCCTGTTTCATCTCCACTGCTCCCTAAAATGCGATGCTTTCAAACAAACATGCTCGATATATTCAATATACCATTTGAGAATCTGTTAATGTCTTTGTCTTGCATTTTGCAAGCAATGAAAGTCATGCATGTCCTTTTCCTCTGAGTCAAAAGGCTCCAATATTTTCAAAAAACTTCATTTCATAAGTGAACAAAGCACTACTGCACAATTTGGCTTTTTATTAATATGTCACCCTCACACTTAAGTTTTTACAACTGACCCTGGCATGTAAAAGCGAAAAATACAGATTGCATTTTGTGGCATGACTGTTCATCACTGTTTCAAAAAAATGGATATGTAGTTGTATGTAGGCTGTGTGCAGTTAGAACCACCAACCTTCACCAGTCCATTTTATCTTTAGAAATCCGAATTCAAATTCATCGTTTATCAACCAGAAGTAAGACAATGTAGACTCTCCCTATCAAAACTGTGTACGTAGACGTATCAGAGATGACAAGAGAAAACAGCACACAAAAATTACCTCTGGAATAAGCAAGATCAAAATTAGTATCATAACCCTTTTTGAACTGAAGAGGGAGTTTTCTGTGTTTGACCTCTTGCATTGCATTTGGTGTCATTGCATCTCTTTGGTCTGAGGCGAACAGACACGCCAGCAGAGGCGGTTTTAGCAGTATAGGAAGCACCACTAATGTTTCCTTCCAAAACAATATCTAGGTGGCCCGACAAAATTTAAAATCCTTTAGATATTTTTCCCACAGAGAATTACCATCAATCCATCAATAAAAAATAAGAGGACAACTTAATTCTTGGAAGTATCCACTACTGATCTGTAGGTAAAACAGAAACATTACAGACCACATCGCCAACAACAATACAATGTTCCCAACAACGTTACCAACAACGTCACCAACAACGTTACCAACAACGTTACCAACAACGTCCCCAACAACGTCCCCAACAACGTTACCAACAACGTTACCAACAACGTTACGGACAAAGTGACAATGGTGTACAAGATTATTATCTGTTTGTCGTTGTTTTGGCTGTTTCCATCTACCACAGAACTATTAAATCTTGGAGAAACATCTGTCTTGTCCTTTCAAAATAAATGTATGCTAATAATCAAAACAGGAAAAAAGGACCTTAGGTGTGAGGCAGTTACAAAATTAAAGCACCACAAGAAACACTTTTTCTTTTTATAACAACACGCCTTTTTTTTAAACTTAGACTTAAACTCACCTATTTTACTCTGCAATAAACTTTTTAAAAATTGTATGGTGAAGCCAGCTTAGTGGATACTCATCCCAACACTTTAGGAGAATATCAACTTTACCTGAAATAAAACAGAAATAATATAATTTGGATTGTTTTTTTTGGTAGAGTAAGCACAAAAGCGACGGGGCAGGACAAAAGCACTGAAACACACTAAAGTGTTGGTTTGGATCAGTTTATAGATTTAGCTTAAATGAGACAAGGGACAGCCTTGACCTTGAAGGAAGATGCTATTACTTTTTTTTTTTTTTGCATCCATGCATGTAAATTTCAAAACCCACATTCATCTTGCTGTCATACACTGACATGACAAAGGTACAATTTTTCTCGCTAATCTTGCAAAAACCAAGCACTCAACAATAGCTGATGAAGGGGTGATCACCATGTGAATGCGGCAGATCCTCCATCCTCCTCATTCATCAATCCAGCACACACATGCACACACAAAACGCTCATTTTCACCGGCCTTGGGTTGTTGTTGGTTTCAATTAGTGGACCAAACATCTGACACCGGGCCACAGGAGTCTGTATTGATTGGCTGAAGCTATAGAAATGAATGTGTCAAGGGCAACTGGGGTCAAACTGTGGACCCCTTGAAAAAGAAAAGATGCAAAGAATGACAGGGGGGAGGGACGGAGGGAGGAGAGGGAGGCAGACGGACATGGGCTATGGAGAAATGCCTCTGTAGAAAGAGGGGGAAAGAAAAATCCACTTAAGTTGGACACAAAGAAACAAAGCCGATGTGTGGAGGGGAATACAAGAAAGATAAATGTATGAAATAATAGTTTCAAGACTTTTGCCATGATTATAGCAGTGAACGTTAAGAGTTGAAGTTTGTCTGAGTTTGGGAGGGACTCAAACCAGTGCAAAAGTGTAGGAGTGTGTGTGTTTGAGCCTGGTAGGGGGTGATTCAGCAGCTGGACAAACAGACTTGATCCCACTACTGTTCAGCTAATGGAGACCACTGAAAGTCTGGGGCACACACCCACATGCACACCAACAATAACAACAACTTCTGGCCTGTTTCTCATATTGCACTCGACCACTTTCATGTGAAACCATGATGCTGTAATAATAAGCCTGCTGCGTAGCTTGTGGGCTCAACCTGGTGGGAGGTATCATTTGTGTTATAATGTGTGCGTGTGTGTGCGTGTGTGCGTGCGTGCGTGCTTGCGTGTGTTGGGGGGTGGGCACCTGGAGGACTTGAGCATCTACCATCTGTCTGTCTCTATGACAATGAACTTGGGATAACAGGCGCTGTAGCCCAGCTGTCTGCAGGTAACAAACTCCCCAGACCAATTTCACGAAGCTTGTTCAATAACACTTGGTGTCAGAGTGCAGGTTTTTTGGTCTGCTGCTATTTCGAAAACTTAAGATAGACTCATGTGGTCCAGAACTTTTGAGCTAAGAACACGTTTTCTTCTGAAAAGTTCATAATGCTGGAGTCAAAATTAACTTATATGTTATCAAATCACATAAAATAAGCAACCAAAATCAAACAGGATATCATAGTGTTGGGTTGAATAAAGACGGGCTGTTACACTCCAGTAGCTTCCTTATTTTAGCAGATCACTGCCAAAAACCACCATCTAAAAACACTTCATTATATTTTCTGATGACCTCTACGTTACAGCCTTGCACTTTTTGAGCATCAGCCTTTTATGTTGCACAGGTAAAGCCTTGTTAGCAGCTAAAGGTGCTTTTCCATATTAATTTATGGCTAAAACCACCATAGTAAACACCAGGCCCTTATTATTCTGCCAGTTTAACCCCCACAGATCAATGGGTGTCAGCGTAATTTCATATTTCCGAATTAATCAACACAGACATGAAGAACAGGACATTAAGAAAGAGGTTCATCATGAAGTTTGTCAAGTCAGGTGCATGACTAATACTCTGACTGCTGTCTCAAATGGTTGACAGTCAGTGCGTTTACATGCACAGCTTAATCGGACTGAGCTCATAATTCCTTTTTTATTGTTGTTTTTTTCACCAAATCTGACTTCTCACCTTGTCCTCTTAAACATGTAGCTAAGAAAATCGAATTATTGACATGAACGTGTCTTTTTCCCCGAAACTATGGGTCTCTCCAGCGGCGCTGTTTCTGGTTGACCCCATAGCAAGTCTGTGCCGGACGTCAGAAGTGGTTACAACTGCTGCTGGGCATTTTCAAGCAAGAACACGGAGCATCGTACAGCGTTGTTTTTGTCGTACATGATGTGTGCACTACTTTTTCTGTAGATGAGGTGTACACTACTCCTCTTCTCTGGTGTTTTTGTTCCGGGGTTACAGGGGCGTGGCGCACGTGCACATGCATTGTACAATCAGACTCCAACTACATTGGTTACATGGTAGAGAAAATAGAAATTCCAATCGCAATAACTGGGTGTCTTAATCGAAGTTCTCCGACTCCAATTGGAGTTCTCAAACTCTGATTATAGTCAGACTAAGGTGTTTACATGCACTTCAGTTGTCCGGTCTTAATCAGAGTAAGGCAATAATTCGATTTTCTTGAGTGTCATGTAAACGTACTGAATGTATAACACTTCGGGGTGCACAAATAGACTTGAATGAATGAAGCTTTAAAACAGATCTTTTAAAGGGCTCTTTACTTCTTTGGGAAAGTTTGACAGCTTCGTAAAGTGGTAGTAGTGACCCTGCAGTGAATAAACAGTGATATCAGACATGTCTTTGTACTACAGCGCTGACATGAAAATGATTCTTGCAGAAGTGAAAACAATCTGAAAAAAGGGCGTCTTAAAGTCGGTTTCATTTCCTTTAGACTAGAGAGAAATCTGTGTTATTACCATCAGCAGCATGCAGGTAAAGTTCAGATGTGGCTGTGAAACTGAATAACTTCATTGACAACAGGAGACAAAAGTGTCGAGCTGTCAGGGCTGTAACGATGTGGTTAGTGTGTTTGTGTCTGTTCTTCGTGTTCGCTCACTGTGTGGTCAGCTGTGCTGTAACCGCTGTGAAACTCTATACTCCCCTTTACATCCAGACTCACCCCACTGTACTCTGTTTGGTTAGCCCCCCAGACTGCTGGACTGCTCCTGCTCCATCCGGACAGTCTGACTAGTACTGTTCTGGAGGATGGAACAAAGGAAGTAGAAAGAAGACTTTGAGCCCAAAATAAGCTCCAGCTATTTAGATATTCAACAACTGTCCCAAACGACACCGTCTGTAAGTTAGAGATGATTGATTTAGAGATGGAAGCCACTTTACTCATAAAAACACTTAATGGAAAGAAAGACGGAAACGTCAAGGAGAGGTTTAATCTGCAGCAAATTTCTTTTAAAGCATAAGTTCAGAATCAATGATATTTTATGCAGATTGGACCTCTGTGTTTATCTCCAGAAAGTAGTAATAAACCAGCATTAGATGTGATTGTCTCTTTACTTATCATCACAAGAAAAACGAGTTGGATCGCTTGTTATTGGTGCCGCATTTCACTTTAGTTACTGCCTTCTGGGGACACGAACAAATCCAGCATGAAAACAATTTCCACAGGGCCTCTGGGTTACTCACGTCAATTATCTCGGCTTTATCATAATAAGCAGCCATGTTGTTTTTTTCTGGATGATGGAAATGAGGCAGACTTTTTCGTCTGTCCTGTTCAAACCGGTCAGACAATCTAAATAATTCCTCCTCTTTCTGCTGCAGCTGCTGCATTTGGAGCAGACGCACAAAAATCAGGGGTTTATGTCAAACTCTGTCCACGAGCCAAGGTCCTTACTAAATTATACAGTTCAGCACAGAGCCGTTTACATCCCCTCTCCTCTCTTTGTCTAATAAAAACAGTGAGAGCAGCCTCTCTCACGGGCTTGGAAGAGTTTGTTTGAAGGGCATCTCTCAGCCAGGGATCAGAGTAATTTAAAGCCACTTTTCAGGTTCAATACTGGTCTTCCGGATGATTCTCACACAGAGTGAGATCAGCGTTTCCTGTTGGGTTACTGTTGAACTGAAAGTGGAGTGTTTGCATTAATAGCTGAACTTAGAAAAAGATGCCTCTCTGAGTGGGAGACTCTTTCTCTTCATAGTTTTTCATCTCTTAAGAAAGGGCACTAGAAACAAAACATCCTAAAAAATCTGTTTGCTTCTTGTTGTCTGAGTGACACTGCAGGTACACATCAAAAAAAGGGATTAGAAAGTCTCTGTTACATATTTTAACACTGAAGGTCTCAAAAAAGAAGAATACCCTGGTAGTTGCACTGCTTTTACTGAACTTGACTGTTTGCATTTCCATATTTTCTGGCGATGTTTCAGATTTATTTGCCAATAGTAGTTTAAAATGATCACCCACATTTTAGTACTTCTGGTGAAGCGTTCAATGGCTTACAGCCAAGACCTCCTTTACTGTGCAGTGTTTATATCTGCAACATAATTGACACTTCAGTCCAGACCACTTTTGTCCCTGTTTTAATGTACATATGGGAAAAACCAAGGTAGGAAGAGAAGCAGCAAAGAAGGAAGGGCACACCTCCCCTGTTTCATTTAGATTAATAAAAGGACAAAGCTGGAAGAGCAGCAGCAAAGATCCCTGAGTACAGCAGAGTGCAGGCCTCTGTGAGAATACATGTACTGCAGAAAAAGACGGCTGGGATGGGAGTTTAAAAGCAGAGGAACACAAAGAGTATATAGTATACGCACATTTTGGACATATGTAAAGTGACTATATATAACATAATCAGCTGAACTGTCAGCTGACATGGGCTGGTGTTAGTATCAGCTGATGTCCCGTTGAACAAACTTGACTTCATATCCTTTTTCAATTAAAAGTTATGCTTCAATTTTGGTCCATTACATCCCAATGAGGGGTGCCTCTATTTCAAGAAGCTCTAAGCAGACTGTGGACTGTTTGTTGCTTGGGCTTCACTCTGGCTTACTTCTGCACCAGGTAAGAAACTATGGCTGGGCAATATGGCCTCAAATCAATATCAAGATATATTGAGCAGTTCATCTTGATAACGATAAATGGACGATAACTACTCCACAAACTGCTCACCCCCTTCCACATTAACTTTGTCTACCTCAGCCGCTGCTCCAGCTGCTACAACTTTTGAACCGTCCTCCATCTCCTCATCTGTCTTTCCCTCTTTGTTACGGACTGGATGGGATGGAGTCACGTCTCTGAATTAGGACAGCGTCTCAAAGGGACATGAGACTATAGCCTACCTACACACATCTAAAACCAACTTTAATTTATTTAATTTTTTTGACAACGAATATACTGACATGGGCAAAATGACATCGGTTATTGTCGGAAATTTCAGTAACTGTAAGTTTTCGGTTTATTGCCCAGCCCTATAAGAAACTGTCTTTTTTTGTCATGTACTAACAATTTACAAGCCTTGAACTTGAAAAAGTAAAACAAATTCATGATACAGATTTGTCAAAAATAAGAATGAAACATTTGAGGTCTGTCCTAGAGAGGAACATCTTACAAGACACGAGATTTTCCCAAACATATTTAACTGGTTCTTGAATTCTGTAGTTTAGTGGGTCAAATGTAAAATAAATGATCCAAACAAATTGATTTTAACCTGACAAAAAGTGCCCAGATGTGGGTTTAATGGTAATACTCTGAAATCGACCAGTAGCCAGCTTTATCTGCCCCAGACAGTGAGCGGACTTCATACTGAGGGGCTGGCAAACATGCCTTGGAGGTATTACGGTTTAATCTTCAACCTTATTACTTTCCCTCGGCTTTTCATTAATCAGCAGGAGACTCAAGAGGATTTTACTGTCGCCAACATCCCAATATCGAAATTTGAAGTGAGCTTTTTTCAACAGGAGAAACACTGTTGGCTCTTTTTCTAATACAAATTCATGAAGAACGGAAGGAGCAGAGCAGACTAACTGAGCAAACACTGTCATAGAAGTATACGGGCCTTAGAGGAGTGGTAGTAGAGCAAGCGTTGGAAGGTTGATTTGCAGCACAAGAAGAAATTAAAATAAAGCATGTCACTCACAAAATATATGCAATTGTAATTTGCTGCCATTCATCACTTCATGCCATTAATGCCAATAGGTATTTAACAGAGACAGAAACAATTGCAGGCAGCATGATCTGGAAATAATCAATGACCCAATCAGGAATCTTGAGATTGCTCTCACTCTCACCTCCTCTTTAGTAGCCTGAGGGGATTGAACTCGTCCGATCTATGGGGATCTAAACTGACACCCTGACAATCCCCTTCACTGCTGATAAACTTGAGGATCAGATTAACCCTCTGCACTACAGTGAGCCCTGCTACACACAATAAGAGAAGGAAGGCTGACTTAGTGTGAGCCTACAGACTGGTTATCCACGAGTACAAACAAGTGAACTCAGAGTCCATTAGCTGGATTGGCAGCCAAGGAAAACAGCTGAGCTGGTTCCGTTTGATCAATCAATTCCTCGGATGTTATCTTGACAATTGTGCAAATGATATTGATCACTTATTGACCACGCAGTCCTTCTTAGCAGGAATAATTGATTCAGTTCTGATCTTGAAAACAAACAAAACAAATCAAATGTTGTAAAGGCGATGAAGCCACATTCAGGATTCTGTTTAAGGGGACTGTAGGACAGTTGCCAGAACCTCCAAAGCCACAGCTCAACCCAGAAAGCCCACCGACAAATGCAGACGCATTTCTTCCAGAAAGGGAATGCTCCACCTGTGAGTCAAGCAGATCGCTGGCATAACTCTTCAGGGTCCAAAAGCAACTGTCCAGGGGGAGGTGGCTGGCTGTTAGAGGCAAAAGGGTTTATGTTTCTAGCAACTGGGCCAACACATTTAACCATCCAGCAGCCAGAGCATCAAGGACTAAATATAGACAGCTGTCAAACAGACAGAACTGTAAATCTGACTTTAATTATCATCAATATCAATGTCCTGTATACCACTTTACCCTGTATCTAAACATATTCTATTGATATGCAGACTGAAAATTAGAGCTGGGCAATATGGCCTTCAACAAAATCTCAGATTCTTTCTTTCATTATTTTTCTTTCCCCCCCTCACTAAAAAACAAGATTCAAGCCTTTTAATGTCCATTATTCCAGTTTGGAGTAATGGAATCAAAAAAGGCGTTGCTCTCTAGCCCACGGTGCAAAAATACAAACCAAAACAAGCAGAAACCTCTGGTCTTACAAAATGAAGCCGATGTAGAAATGCTAAAACTGCAATTCCTCTTGTGCCCACTTGAGGGTGGTTACAGAAGCATTGAAAACCATACACACCAAGCTCAAAAGCCTGTTGTCAGAGCGAGAAGAAAAATGTTGATAGCCTGGTTCAAAAAAAGGATATTGGTTTGAATAGCTCAAGGCTGTCACAGCACCCACTGTGTGGCCCACCTCTCTTAGGTCAATGAAAGTTAGATTGAGTCCACATTACTCAAATGACAACCCTCAGCGAAAGCTTCAAAACTCTACTTCACAAACAAATGATTGGCATTACCAACACTTTATCCAGTTATGACACAGTCGATGTAAAAAATGCTACAAATAGGACAGAAATGAATCAAGACAAGGATTTAACCCCAGGGTGATTAGCTCATTTTCACCGCCAACAGGCAGTTAGCTGTAAGAACGCTGATATACTGTCTACCTAATATGTTGGCTGCTTTCTAGCAGGTGTCTGCTGCCTGTAGGATCTTGTGTATCTCTTACTGAGACACATTTTTCCCACTTGTCTGCATGCTTGGTGGTCCTGCCTCCTTCAGATGCAATGACCAATGCAACCTTTGCAGCTATAGAGTCAATAGCAACAACCAAGAGGAAAAGTTAATCTTCAAGGGCCTTTAGGTGGATCTGAATGGGAAGTCAGGCATCAAAAAAGTTGGTGTAAATGAAATCTGCCCTCACAGGAAACGCAGGGATTAACAAAAAGATCAATTATTGCCTTAATGATGGGCTCTGGGATTAGATTTTGGAAAACGCATTCAGCCCCTTTAGCTCTTCACACAAACTGTTTTTGCACCAACAGTCAGGGCAAAGTTGTTGAGCAGTTTGACTTGAAACTGCAGGAGGTTTTTTGTAAGGACTGTCCATTACCTAAAGGTTCTGCATACATGTACATTTTTGCAGAGGTCTTGTGAGAAACTTGTGAGTCTTAAGGAAATGCCACATAAGAAACATTGTGGCTTCATATTCCAGTTCACTTGGGTGTGGCAATAAATTACTGAAGCATCTCTCCTGAACCTCTTGTGAACAGTGCCTGTGGCAGTGATATAGAAGAGGGCAGCTGGGGGTTTAAGGTTTTGTCTGGAGGCCGGTCTGAGGGGTCTCAGGGGGCTGGGTAAAGAACAGGGGCTGTGAATGAAACCAAGGGCTGATGGCATAGCAAAACACAACTGTCCCCGGGCTGAGGGCTGCATCTGAACAATAAAAACCACACCCTCTGGGTTTAATACTGCATGCCTTCCTCTGGCTCAGTGTAAGCAGATTAGATTTCCAAAAGGGATTACATCAGTGAGGGTTAATCTTAACCCTTCTGATGTACTGGATGCTGACTTCTGATATCAACACAGGGACTAATCTTCCTGATGTAATCAAATGTTTCCTTTGCTTGATCATTTGGGGACGATAACCTTTCTGGTTGAGTCTGAACTCTTCCTCTACCCAGACAAAATCAAAATATTTTACCTGAACTTGTTGGAAATCTGGATACAGTATTTTACACAAACCTCCAGAGATTATTGTGATTCAAGTATTGCAAACCCCCAATTTTGTTTGATTATAGGAAAGCTTTACTTGGTTTTTCTATTGCTGTTTTCTTTTTAAGTTAATCATCAATATGTCAATATATCTTGACTTCAGAAAAAAAGTGCAAAACCATCTTACAGACAGTGAACTTGAACCACATGCACATAGTAAAGATTATTGCATTGAGACTGATAAGCACAAAAGACTCCCTTGATGATTACAGACAGTTATACTCATAGAAATCCTTATCTTTTACACCTTTTCACCACTGCTGCACAGTGTTGACATAATCCTTGTCTTGGCTGGAGTGGCATAACAAAAGAAAAAAAAAAAAAAAAACAGTGCAAAACCACAAAAAAGTCACTCCAAAGTCACACTACATATAATGAGCACATTTACACCCTGCAGATGTAGGGTGTTGGGACCTGTCAGCACTAAAAATCAGTTTGGATATCACATGTAGTGTGTCGCTATGAAGGACAATCAAAGCCCCATCTGGAAAAGGCTCACAGGCTCTTAAGAAAGTCTGGAATCAGTGATACAGTCCAGTGATAACATAGAGCGCTCTACACAAGAGAAAAAGCCATGACATGAACAAACATGATGGCGAAGGTAAAAGAGAATCTATCATTTCAAGGCAGGGCATGGGTTATGGCTCTATGATTACTTAATGTGGCAGTGACCATTATAACAGAGTAAAAGTTCATGTAGTCTGATCTCAGTATCAAGTAATCAACAGGTTTCTAAGTGTCGATGGGGCAGTAGGCAACGCTGCAAATAAATGAATGTTTTATGCAGATCTTTGCGTATTTAAGGCGCTATGAGCTCTGAACACAATGAGCCAGAGGATGGATGGATGGATAGATAGATGGATAAATGGATAGATAGATACTTTATTAATTCAATAATGGTGCGACCTTACCTGGGTCTAGTTATGTAACTAAAATTAGATTCTTATTATGGATCCAAATATATGAAATTGCCAAGCATGTGTTCTCATGGTGGATCAACACAGACACAATGACAGGAAAAGTCGAGAAAGTCCCTTTTTTAAGTGTTCAGAGGTAACAATAGTATGATTAAGTACTGTATCAATATAAAAATAGTTGATTGATAGAAACATCTAAATCTCCTCATCCTGTACCCTCTCAGAGTGTGTATCTTTATAAGACGAGAGGATGAAGAGGATTTTCATTTAAGTACAGCAGATAGACGCTCGCTGCTAATGAAAAGAAGAATTTATTAGGCTGCCAATCTACCCTTCAGCCAAACCCCCCAGAGGGATTGTAGAAGCCCAGGATCCAATCAACTAGGCAGATACTGAGGGTATCAGGAGCAGGGTCAGTATTTGTGAAACATTTCATCTGTGCATGTAACAAAGAGAAGATAAAGATGACAGTGAGGCACTCAGAGGAGAGCGACGCACTGCAACACTGCTCATTCTCCATATCGACTCATGGATGCCTGTGGCCACAGTGGTGCCCCAGCAAGTGTTTTCTGTATCACAGCACGTGTTTTCCCACACACTCTTACACACTCACACACTCACAGAAGAATGCAACATGAGGGACCACCAGCTGTTGCAGTGAGCGAGATGGGAAACGCCCTGAATACAATCTGGCCCTGCGTAGTCTGTCCGCTCATGCTCACCTCAGATCAACACATCAGGGTCTGCAGACAAGATGCCACACGTCAGCTCCAGAGGCTGAGCTAATTAATGCAGAGGAATCATGTCTGACTCACCGAAAAACTCAACAAGACTGTAATTACTTAACAAGAAGAGAGCTCATCACAAACTTTGAAGGTAATGCTGATGTTGGGGGATTACATGATCCTGATTCATGATCATGAACAACCTACTGCAATGTTAATCATGATGACAAACTTCCACTGGACTCTCACTGCTGAGGACAGATCTAACAGAGTAAAACAGCCTCAGAACTTTAAAATAAAAACCACAATCTGAGGTTTAAATATAGACTTGACTGGATAGAACTAGGACTGGGCGATATGGCCTCAAACCAATACCACGATATATTGAACAGTTCACCTCGATAACAATAAATGGACGATAACTACTCCACATTAACTTCGTCTAGTCACGTCTCTGACGTAGGACAGTGTCTTAAAGGGACATGAGGCCATAGCCTACCTACACATGTCCAAAACAACCTTTAATTTATTATTTCTTTTTTTACACCGAATATATTGACATGGGCAAAATGACGTTGGTTATTGTCCTAAATTTCAGTATCTGTAAATTTTTGGTTTATTGCCCAGCCCTAGATATAACATAACTTCTGTCACAATCATAATACCCTTTAAACTGCTTTATTATCAAAACACATGATGTGATTAAAACTCAAATCAATAGTTATTTGTTGTAGGGTTTTTTCCATGTTATTCAGCCCTTAATTCTCTTTTCACATGACGTCATTTCTTCACTCTTATTTAGAAATATATCAACCCAATGACTGAATGCTTGTAAGTGCTAAGAATATCTCTAACATGCTACTACAGTATGTGACACCTGGGGTGAACAGATGCTGCTGTGGAGGTTCACCAAGCGTCTGATTTCAAAAGCATTAACACCGCTCCCTCTTTATCATTCCCTCTTATTCTCAGTTCTCACGCCGCTGAAAGGAAAACTACTTAACCTACAATGTGGCCGACACTTGACCCCTATATATCATAACAGCCCGTCCTCTGCGCATATAAGCCTGGCAGTCTTACTTTTATGGTTTATAGAACGTGCTTGAAAACGGTGGCTTCAGCTGCAGAGCATCGCTTTTCAATGACCAGCTGCAGCTGAAGTGGCCTTCGACCCGCTCCTCTCTGTGTCTGAGAGCTTTGAGGTCCGGATGGTAACCCAACCACTTCCTGTACGCCACCTAATGAGAATAATCAGCCCACAGTCTGATTTCAAAAGCTCCCCAGAAGCAGAGAAATGGCAGCAGTCCTGAAATACCATTTTAGATTCAGAGGCAGACCCTGTAACTGATTTTTAGACGAGGCAAAGATATGTTTGCATACTAAACAAACGATTGTTCAACTCAAAGAAACAGACTCTTGTACTGTCTTTCATAAGATTACATATGGTACACCACAAAAGTCTTTGGGTTATACAGTAACACATTTACTTTGTACAATATCTTTGATTGGTTTGTAAATGGAAAAGATATTATATTTTGAATATAGACATCCAGACATGTGGTCACTGCTCTACTGAATGACTGAAGTGGAGGCTGCTCTCAGGATTTCATTGGCGCGGGGGCTTTTTCATTCTCTCTTTGCAGACATTTTCACTGCTGTTCACAATTATGGCTCCTGAGTAGGGATGGGCGTTAAATTATTGTTCACGATTTAATCCTCCATGATAATTATTTGCCATCTCATGATAAATGTGATAATTGCATGTTAATGGCGCAAGTGACGGAGTCGCAGCCATAGCCCACACAGAGCAGAATAACAAACAAACATGGCTGAGAGTGGTGAAGATTGGGGCTTAGACGTGTGCAATCAGGTATGCCTGACATCGGACAGTGGATCTGCTGCTGCTGTTCACTTTGTGAAATAAGAGTTGCAGTTTGTTTGTTTGTTTGAGTTGCACTTAAGCTTGTGGTTAAGCATCTTATTTGACTATTCCAACTGATAAGTGCCATCCAAGAACAATGTTTGTGGGTTTCTCAAGACAGTGAGTCAAAAATATAGATTGGAATTATAATATTTTTCATCGAGAACTGAATCGTTATGGCCAGAATGGCAAAACTTATTGTGATAATTTTTTTAGCCCATATCACCCATCCCTACTCCTGAGATGCACAATTAAATTGTTAATATCAAAGCAGAGTTGTTGTTTACAGTTAACACTGCAAATACTTCCATACAGGTCAAAGAGTTAAAGCATCACCCACTGAGCCTATAGCAGCTGATGATCCCCTGGGCTGTAGCATACTACTAAACCAAAAGGGTTTTGCAGAGTTTCCTTTTGTCAAGCTCGTCTGCTAAACTTACAGTGACTGAAACAGGCTGGACTTAAGATTTGTCATAAGTCCAAAACTTCTTCAACCAGTCCAACAAAGACTAACCCAAATTTCAAGACACTGAGTGAAGGATGGTGCGTGAGCCAAGGACAAAACATCCAAATTTGGACCCAATCTGAATTGAAATGACTAAATATCAGTAACAAGAACAAGGGCTGTATTTTTTTTTTTTTAGATTTAAACCCTTATTCAAACTCTGAAAGAAAGGTTCCAATTCGAACTATACAGAGCCATCTAAACTCATAATAAAGTACACTAACGCATCTGACTGCCTGAAATAGTTTGCCATAGGAGGGCGCTTCCATTGTAACCTGACAAATTCACGCCCTCTTGATCTCATTCACTCATACAAGAATGTTATTCTACAAAAAATGGATTAACTAACTAGCTGTTGAAGATGAAGATAACACTGAGCAGAAGAAGCAAAGTTTTTCAAAGTTTTCTTCCAGGTATCATGAGTTCTTTGTTAATGTGTTACTGCTAAAGTTCACAGAGTAAGACTGCTGAGGCTGCAAAGGGGAAAAATATATGCATTCATTTATTTCTACTAATAACAACACATATTTCCTTTTTTAATTGTTTTGCTTGTGTGTGATCACTGGCAGGTTTCACCAAGACAAAAGTAACAGTTGAGTCCGAAATCAATGAACAGACATTTTTACACACCCCAGTCTCTGATAAAGTCAAAACCATGCACAGTGTTATTCATCCCCCACAGTCAAGTGTGGGTAATGTGATATGGTGCTGCTGGAACAAACCCTCAGCAAGCAGATGGCCAGATACTCCAAAATGTGTGGATGCTTGGACTTCACAAAAAATCCTGAGACACAAAGAAGATTCACATTTCAGAGCTGCACTAAAGACTCTTCACAAATGTCTATGTCTTGGATTGTATGATCCTCCTTAAACAGAACTTGGGAGGCATTTCTTCTGCTACCCCAAATAAGACAAAGAGAGTATCTAAATGTCTGCACTGAAAACTTTGTCTGCTGATTTTGATGAAACGAATGATAAAATGCACCCGCTTCAAGCTGTTTCCAACAAGTTCATGAGCAGACCCCACAGTGAGGAGCTTTCAGCGGGCTCACCGGGAGCAGCACACAGACTGAGGGGGATCATCTGCAGGCCAAGCCTCACCTAGTCTGTGAACAGCTGAAATCACAGCACATGACCCTTTAAACACACACACTCCCTCTGCGACAACAGCTTTTCAATTACTGTCACATTCATTAACAGCTGATTAATCCATTAGTGAACAAAAGAAAATTAATTACCAGCTCTAGAGATAATCCATCAAACTTTTGTTCATTTGTCAAGAAAGCATGTAAAATATTAGTTAGTTCCAGCCTCTTGAATGCAGTGATTGCTTTTTTGAGTTGACAGCACTTCTGAGTTTTGGTTGTATGAAAAAAGCAGCTGCAAGATGTTGAAAAGTGCAGAGAGAAACTGTATAAGCTTTTTTTCACATTTTTTGGACAAAAAAGTTTGTATGATGCTTTGGATTTTCATGTCATGAGGGTGCAGGCAGATGCAGAGGCGGAAAAACACCAGAACAAAAATGAGAGCACCCCAGGAGAACCCAGACCACACATATGACTCACAATTTGCTCAAACTGCATCACTAGCAAGGGAAAAAAAACATTATCCATCATCTCTGGAACCTTAGACCTTCACAACAACAACCACACATCTAAATCTCCATATTTAACTTAATGTCAAGTTCAGTGAACTTTGTCAAAGCAGGTGATTTCAGTTGCCTAAATGAGGCAGTAAATAGGCAGCCGTGTATGTGCAGCAGAGTGCTAGCAGGTGAACAAGGCATTTGACATTTGGCTCATACACATTCCTGCATCAGCTGACAAAAGAGTGTGAGCTTGGTGTGTGTGTGTGTGTGTGTGTGTGTGTGTGTGTGTGTGTGTGTGTGTGTGTGTGTGTGTGTGTGTGTGGCCTAAAGTCCAGTGAACACCGTAGTCCTAACTGCGTGGGCAGCAGCCTCGTGTGTGTGCTGAGTGTGCTATATTTGATCCTGATCATTATTATCAAACAAATTCTAGTAACATCCAAGTGAACGGTCTGTCCATGGAGAAAACAATGGCCTCGAGCTCACCTGTTTGTCCGGTGAAGAGGTGAATTAGCCGGTCATGTTGTCGCGTGAATCACAGCCGCACATCCACGCGAACAAGCACAAAGTAACTGTGATGAGGTCCACCAGCGTCAGTTCACATAAGTGCTAAGTTGTCCTCAGAACCCGGCAAGTTATCAGGTAAAGTCAGGGTAAAAGTTAATATAGACCACCAACAGTGGGCAGAGCGTGTGTGGGTGAGTGTTCCCCTCAAGACCGGGGCCAGTCTGCGGTGTGTGTGTGTGTGTCCGCCTCGAGCGCTCCGGACGGTCAGCTCCAACCATCTGACAGGCTTCAACAAGAGCCAGAGCAGCGACACAGCAGACACGACAAGTTACACACAGTCGCACAGGGTGGGACAGGAAATAAAATAATGAAGCTTTCAAAATAAAGACCCTTTAATAACGCGCAACCTTAAAAGTTGTCTGACTGAGAAACAACCATTAAAACAATAAAGGGACAGAAATAATAGATCCTTTAAGTGGGCTGCAAACTCTAGGAGTAACCTGACAGTAGTCAAAACAAAGCAAGAAGAAACAAAGAAACATCAAAAATCAAACAAAAATATCTATATTCATTTTTTGTCTTGTTTGTGGACCAGGAGAACCAATTTATATTGAATAAATATTTGCCTTGCCTCATATTATTATTACCACAAAGGTAATAGTTTTATTCTTATACACACAAAATAACAGTGACAGTCTTATGGAACCCCTGGAGCACTGTTTATTATTATTATTATTCTATTTTATTTATTCATAAAATTAACAATATATTGAAATGTAATTTGAAAAAAATAAAATTAAAAAACTACTTACAACACAATAAGCAATCAAAGTTTTGCTATTTCAAGACAGCATTAGTTGCACAAATCTCTCAGACTGTAGTCAAAACAAAAAAAGCAAAAAGTAAACTGAAGCAGTTCTCATGACAGCCTCTAACTTCTAGAATGTTCTCATTTAACCAAAGACCTACTATAAGTGTTAATAAGTTATAATATTTGAAAACATAAGCAGTGTCTTGTTGCCTTATTTTATATTTGCCATTATTACTTTTTCAACCCTTATTTCGTTTAGTCTACAACCAAGAGCTTTTATTTTGAAAATACTTATCGGGCATGTTATGGTCATCTTAGTGGGCTTCACACCGGGCTGAAGCTCTCCACAGTGACCGGTTCAGACAGGAGGCTGTACTTTCTTTGTAACTGGCGAATGAATGTGGTCTACTGAAACATGACCAGATTTCCCGTGGTCCTCAACACATAATTTAAAGTCCTTTTTGAAACCCTAAGTTTACAGTATTTCTGATCAGATTGTTCATCCTCTTAGATATGGTGGGTTTTGTTTGGTCTTTTTCACTGACAGTTGTTACAGTTTGTTGAGGCAAACTGATCAAATCATGTTTGAATTCCACTTTATAAATGTGAATGACACTGAACAATGCCTCCAGGAGTCTCCTCATTGTCTGGACTGTAGAGATCGGTGTGTGGCTGCCCTCTGCTGGTCTGTTGGCCTACTGATCTCAGTGTTTCGCTGTAAGTTTGGTGTTTTTAAGAAGAGGCTCAAGACTCACCTTTTTAACCAGGCCTTTCACTGATTGCTTTTTCATATTTCTGTTATTGCAAATGTTCATTTTAAGTTCTTAATTTTTCTTTTATGTCATGGTAATAATTATCTCTGTTCTTAGTCTTTTTCTTAATTCCCATCATAAAGGTTTTTACTTCTTCTACCCCTTTTGCATGGTAAAGAGCTGTTACTTATCTGTCCATTCAATATTGTTTTCTTGTTTTAGTCCATCAGGTTTTAGTCTGTCTTTTTACCATTTTTATCTTTATCTCCAGTGTTTCTCAAAGGTAGCTCTTTCCTCACGTAATATCTCGGTGTCAGGCCATGTCTCTTTAACAAAATATCTTAAATTCTCACTTTGTGTGCTCTTGTGTGTGTGGGTGAGTGAGGGTGTGTGTGTGTCTGTGTGTGTGGGTCCATGGGTGGGTGTGTGGGCGGGAGGGTCGGGTTTTATTGTTGTTTAATTGTTGTTTTTAGCCTCTGTGAGGCACTTTGAACTACATTTTCTTTTGTCTGAAAAGTGCCATACAAATAAAGTTGAATTTTGAATTTGAAGTTTTTAAGAGCAGCTTTTGTACCGCCGGGGGCTCTCTTATCAGCGTGGGTAGACTGTCTGTCTTACTTTTATAATGCCTCTGGTGTTTTTACTTTCCATGCAGCAACTTCCACTACAGAGTCACATTGTTCATATAGCCTTTTTTGTTATTTTAACGCTTATTGTAAAGTTTTTGCCTTTTTTTTAAACAAAGAAGACAGTTAAAATGGTTTGCAAACCATCAAATATATCTATCTATCTATCTACAAACAAAGGTGTTATCCTATTATGGTCTATATGATAACAGGGTGTGCCAGGTGAGTCCTCTGACCTGAAAACACCTCCCTGTAATTAAATTCCTGTATCTCATGTCTCAGTAATGAACTGCACAGAGGGAACTGACAACTGTCCCCAATATTAAATGTATTCATGTCAAAGCTGACACTAAAGTACACTTGAAACTTTTTAAAGGGTAACATTTTCCAGCCTAAGTTTTCTGCTCAACTTCGACATGTGAAAATGTAGAAAATGTAAGTGTTCCATCAGGGGTCTTAGGACTTAAACAGGTGTTTTTTGTCTTTTTCCTCAGAAGAGAAAAAAGTAATTCCTGGATAAACAGCATAAACTTAAGAGCTTATAGTTAGTCTTCATATTTCAAAATTACAGGTCAAAAATCAGACATTAATGCTTGTTATGGGTAAGAAATCAACTGTCAGTGAAGGAGAAATGAGCACCTTGTGTTTCTTGTATCAGCAGACTTTCCTCTTTGTAAATGATTTGGCCTAAATTCTGGCTTGAAATATCTTGAAATAAGACAGTTATTTAAACTCTCTGGTGGATGTTTTCGAATAATAATAAATATATATTTATTTTACCATAACTATATTTAAATTTTTGAAGTTATTCTCATAAATAAAGTTATTCTTATATGGCATCCCTAGAGCTAAATGACCCCAGAGACATGTTACCTGTTTTCAAAGGTATAATTTGATTGGCTAAATTTCTTGTTTCCCTACAGTGAAAGGGTTCGATTTTGTAGATATTTGTATTTTTAAGTCAACAAAACTCGCCAGTCTTGCTTTAACATACTTATCAGTGCTGAAGCATTTGTGTTTCTGGAATCTTAAATCAGTACTTGACATTGCAGATATCATAAACTGACATTTAATGAGGCTGTAATGACACAAATAAATAAGAAAATTTTATCAAACAGATTGGTTAGACTTGAAATGTTGTGTTTTTAATTCATCCCTGACCAAATCAAGAGGCTCCTGATGGTCTGAATGTGTCCGCATGTGATTGAGCTGATATTATCAGCAGACACTTACTTAAAGCAGAGGCGGCAGAGGAGGACCGGGGGCGTTTCCCTGAGCCGCTCTTACCTTTATAGTCCTGACCTCACCTGTCAGGGTGAGACTCCTCGGCTGTAAAAATCGTGCATGTCCACAGAAACGCCCGGAAAGTGAAACAAAACAGCGACATGGACTCTCCAGCCAAGGACTCCCCCGTCAGACCGGGATTCTACCGACACGAAGTGCAGAAAACGACCTGGGACATCCCGGAGAGATACACGGCGCCGCGACCGATCGGCTCCGGAGCTTATGGGACGGTTTGGTAAGTTTTACCCGGGAAAGGGTGCTTGAGTGGGGGCAAAGTGACGAGGGAGGTGTCGCAGGCTGTGTGTCAACCTTTAAAAGAGTTTTTAACCAGTGTTTGAACTTTCCTTTGTAACATCCTAATCCTATTTATTTGAGTAAATCTGAAATCTAAAATGACATGAAATGCTGGACTAAAACCAGTCTTTATCTCACCCCTAAACAGTTACTTCTGACAGAAATGAAGCACGTAAAAGCTCATCCAGCTTCGTGATTATTATATGCACGCTGTGATTCTGCTTAAAGCTATAAAATAACAGCTATAGTGTGTCTGCTGCTATAATGTCTCTCCTGTGTTCCACTCAAAAAGCATTATGATAGACCTAAATGTTTTCCCATAAGCTGTCTACATGTAGTGGGCCTGCAGTCCACATTCCTCCCCCTGCACTGTGTTGCTTGCTGTCTAAGAGGCCTCCATGACTCTGACATCTGCAAACAGAGGCATTATTGTCCGCCTGAGGCGAGTCAGCAAGTCAAAGCAGGTCCTCTGATAGGAGAAGAATCTCTGAAGCAGCCTACAGGAATCCAGGATATCTCAGTCACAGGCCTATCTAATGATCCACTGCTGACAAACCAGATCTTGTAACTGATAATGACAAATCAGGTCAGCAAATAAAAGGATTAGATCACTGATCCAAATGTTTTATGTACTTTGTGGGGGGTTCCTGCAAGAGCCAGAATTCAAGAATTTTAATCAACAGAAGTATTTCCAAGCTCCAGATGACCTCTAACACATGTTTTTCACTTCACAAATCCACCAGGAACCAGGTAGCCTATTCTTGTTGGACTGTAAAGCTTAAAGTTTTAAAGTTTACCAATCCAGCTCAGCTAAGTTGTCAGTGTGACTACTGTTACAGCCCAATTTAGAAACCTAAGATGCTTTTTATGAAAAGAAACTTCCCCCAGACTCTCACCTCTACAGAGGCCCTGAAGGTCAGCTGCTCCAACATGCCACTGAACATCAAATGTATTTTCCTAAACCCAAATGCAGTTTTTCTGCCAATGAAGAACAAATTCAGTAAATGCAAAATAATGCCATATGTCCTAATCAAAGTATTTATTCCTGAAATATCTTTGTGTCATGAGAAGCCTTTGAGTTATGTGAAATTGTTTTGGTGTTTCATTAACATTTTTTTTTCTTTATGTTTGAATCTCTAATGTATAATAAAGTTATCTTTTAGACGTGTTTTTTTTATGTGATTTTGAATTGAAAATTTTTAGGAGACAATCTGTCTTAAAGTGCTGTGTTAGTGTTCATTTGTTGTTTTTTTGCTCTGTATTCATAAAAATTGATTGAACTGATCAATGTGAACTGTCTGCCATGTTTGATTTCCTCATAGCTCTGCTATTGACCAGAAGACAAAAGAGAAGGTGGCCATCAAGAAGCTGTATCGTCCTTTTCAGTCGCTCATTCACGCCAAACGGGCCTACAGAGAGCTCAGACTGCTACGACACATACAGCATGAAAATGTAAGGATGCTCTGCAAATTATAAGCATGTATAATTTTTTAAAAATATATTTATTTTTATTTGAGAGACAGAGAGGAAGCAGGTACATAAAACTCTTTTTAGATGTGATGCAATGAAAAAAACAGCAGAGACTCAAACAGCAAGATTGGGAGACTCTGAGGGTGATCAGACTTTGATATAAAGATAATCTCATCAGAGTTCCTCTGAAAACTCAGGTGTGTGGTGTAATGTCAGAGCCCTCATGGTTCAGTATTTTCAGTAAAAACTTTACAGAAACCACAAACACTCACATAGCTCCCTTTAAATGAGCTGGTTATGAATCACACTCAAAATGTGAGTGACGACTCTCTCTAACCTGCAAAAGTAAAAACAAGCATGAATGACAACCTCAATCCAGCAAGTGGGGACCTCGAATATTAACAACCTTGCAGATAGTTTTCTGTTTATTTTCCCAGGATTTACTCGCTGAGAGCACTGTCTCAGGTTAAACCCCCGAAATCTTGAGATTTGATTGAAAATGTGGATCCATTGATATTATGACTTTGTTGACCTGAATCAGCTGCAGGCATTTTTGGAAATATTGTACAATGCATGGTCCCCAGAGGAGAACAAATGCCAAACTCACTGTTAAAATCACAACTTTTTTAGTTTGCCATCATGACATCAAATTTTTGAGTACATTTTAGTAAATTGAGGGCTAATTATTGTGTAAATTTGCTTTTCTGAATGTTAAAGATTCCCAGAGGATGATGCTCACATATTTATTAGTGGTTTGGTTCACCTGCAAACATTAAAAATATTCAAAGTTAAACTGTTGACGGTGCTATGAGGATAGACCTTTAAAAAATGTGATGTTTTTTTTTTGAACTAGGAAATTTTCTCACATGTGTTGGCTAGATTAGCCCCTGTGGTGATTAATTATCAGACTAGACAGTTTAGAGAAAGGTTAAAAAAAAAGAAAAAAGGCCAGATTTCATGTCTTTCACTGTTTATAGAAACTATGACATCTATGACAAAATCAGTGTTTTTGTCTTTGACCTAACTGAAATAAGTTTGCATTGAGGTTTCAGCGTCACTATTGTCATCAGGGATAAATATAGTGAGCCAATTAAACCTGCGTGTAGATGTATGACGCACGTTCTGTAAACCAAACTTGTTCCACCGGTCTCATGTGTCAGAAATAGCGAAAGAAACTGTTTCATTTTCAGTCATGATTATGGCTCATCACAGTCCAGCAAGTGTGATCACTGGCACTATTCATCTTTAGCATGTTGTGCTTCAGCAGCTACAAATTATCAGGCAGCCACAGGTGGAGAGAGGAGAGCAGGGAGAGGAGCAGGAGGTGGAGAGAGGAGAGCAGTTGGGGGCAGGTGTTTGAGCGCCTGAAAAGCCAAGGGACAGGAAAAGTACCGCAAAACAGAGGCTGTTGTGATCACAAACGTGCACAAGCATCAATGGGCCAACAGCTGCCAGGTTTCACAGTGAGTTTGGCCTGAATAACAATAAGATATAGGACATAGTCTTGGCGTTGTAGAAATAGGGGCTTGAAAATGCTGAACGATGGGTTGGATCAAATGTAAGTGGTGGAAGAGCTCAGGTGTTTTGGTTTGATAATACTGTAAAAACACTCCACAATGAGTCATTTGATTAAGAAAGTATTAATCTCAAAATTAAGCAAATCTCTAAAAGTGAAAAATTAAAGCATGGTCTCTTTCATGTCTATAATACATATGATATTTGAACATCCATAATATCCAGTTAGACAGGCAGGCATTATTGAATTTGGAGAATTTGTAGTTTTAAAGCTTAAAAGAGGTTTTAAGTTGCATAAATACATATGAGGTAGATGTCAAATCATGAGTAATGTTTGATAACTATGATCTGGGTATCAATAAATGAAAAAAAAATGTTGATTATTATTTTTGCCATAATTGAGCAGCCTTCAGTGAGACCTGGCCCAAACAGAGTCTTCTCTTGTGGTGTGTGAAGTGGTTCTTGGATGCTGATGCTAATTTTAAAGCTTCTCTGAGGCATCTTTGGTGTAACTTGATAAAACACCAGTGAAGGGAGGCACCCACTTGATGTTGGCAAAGTGCTGCCTCTTTATGCTCTTCTGTTTTTATGCCTGGGTATAAGTGTACATTAGATTACTTTACTCATCACACACTGCTGTTGCACCTAGGGATGCACAATGTTGGATTTTTAAAATATTTTTGATATACCCAACCCATTTTGGCTGATATCCATATGGAAACTGATACAAATGAACAAAAAGTTTGTGAGGATTCACTTTGCGATGATTAATTTGTTAGCCTTCTTGTGATGGTCTATTTGTCATAGAAACAGACATGAAAACAACACAAACGACATTTGATTCTACCATAAAAGATACAGTTCGGTCATTTGTCTGCTGTCTGTTTCCAATACTTTCAAATACCTGCAAAAAGTCTCAAAATACGAGTGTTATGAATATATTGAATTCTAAATTCCCCTTTATCCTTTTTCCTCAAAGGTGATCTCCCTCCTCAATGTCTTCACTCCTGACTCCACTCTGGAGAAATTCCAAACCTTGTGAGTCTAAAAAAACACATTCTTCTGTATTTTGTTGCAGCTTGTCCAGACCCTGTGTGCATGTGTGTGCATGTATGAAAAGTTCAAATAAGGATGTGACAGCGAGCTGTTGTTGCACAGTTAGTTCAGTTGGTTTATGCATGTTGTAGTCCCTCGCCATAGCAACAAGTTCTTATCATCTTTGGCTTTGAGGCTGTCTCTTTGAGTACCTCTCTGTTGATATTTGACTGACTACGATTTAATTTCCTGTCTCTGCCCCCTTCACCTCTCTGTAGCTACATGGTGATGCCATTCGTAGCTCAGGATCTGGGCCACATCATGAAGAGAAGGAGGTTATCTGATCGAATCATCACGTATCTCTTTTACCAGCTGTTGAGAGGGCTCAAGGTGAGTTCTATCTCTCTAACTTTATATTCATTGTTTCTGTTAATAATGCAGTCAGCACTCAACTTTAGGTGAATGTTACAGATACTCCAAAGAGATATTCCAAGAGAGCATTTCAGAACCAAACACCGACACAGACATGCGTTTACTGTAAATAGTTTTGGTGTCAGGGGCTGTCTGAGTGGTAAAAGCAGGTTTAATATCACTACCAAGTGCTTTAATGGTGTAAATTTAAGGGTCTACATCCATTTTTGTATCTTAAAAACCTCTGTAAGCAAACCAGTAAGCCAGAAGACCACAAACAAGACTGATGATTCCTATATTGTAGTTTTAATGCCTAAAACTGCAGAGAGGGAGGAGATGCTACTCTAAATGTTCTATAGGATCCTTTTAATTTCATTTTCAGCAGCAGTTAGTGACATATTAGTGACAAGTGCGAATAAAAAACAAGAAAAAATATGTTTTTGCTGGAAGAATCTACTCAGAACTGACCACCAAAATGAAAAGGTGTGCATCTTAGCCGACAGGGGGCGCCACATTTGACATTAACTTAAAGTTTCTCATGAAAGCCTCTACCTTTGCATTTCAGATGTTTGGCAGTTTACTGTTTTTTTTATGAAAACAGGTTCAAGTTTTAATTTCGTATTTTCAGTCACTCAAGTTTTTGCTTTTTTGTGTTTTTAGCTTTTGTGGTTGAAGCACCTTATTTGAAATCCCATGAAGTCATAAATTATTTTACAGTCATTATTGTCAAGAAAACTGCAAGAGTCATCCAAATTTGTGTTTTATACAGTAATAGATACAAAACAGAATAAAACAAGTAGAGGTTGTGATGATTAGTGGTCAAGGGAGAAAGAAAAGGAGCACATGCATTAGCACAAGTGTTTATTTGATGATGTCTGTGTTTAGTGAGTTGACAAAATAACTTCCTCACCCTTGCTGGTCTACACAAGAAATACCAGACAGTTATTATTACCATTTCTCATTTCAATAGGCCTGAGATGCTGGTTATTTATTGGCCCACCGCCAGCCATGGCTGCAGCTCCTTTTAACAGATATTGGCCTAATACTAATGCTCTACCACCTGGATGTTAAGAGACACAGACGACAGATGGCTTCTCCTTGCCCAGTAAAGTTTGTCAGGAATTGGATCTAGAAAATGTAAATAAAATAGTATGATTGATGTTTCTGTTTAAACTTGTATATTACCACTGGAACAGAGTACTGTGTACCAAGCATAAACATGTGAAACAGAGGATTAATAATAAAGATACTAAGCATATGATTGTTCAGTTAATTAAAGTAAAGTTAAGGTTTTTTATTTTCCATCCATTCGTTATATGCATCAAAACAAGGGGTCAGCTCTGCAAAGCATTGTGATCACCCCTGACCTTTGACCCCACTCTACTCCCCCTTATAAATGCACCTAATTACATCTTCAGTTCAGTAACTACAAACTCTATTCCCAGACACGATGTCCTTGCAGCTCTACTCAGTGCTTGTTAATGTTTAACCAAAAGTGTTCAATGGAAATGTGAAAGAAATCACGCCTTTAACTCCCAAACTGGACCAACTTCTCCTGTATGTCTGTTTGTCTTTGTATCAAGCTGTAAACCTTTGACCCCCTGGACTATTTCCACTTCTTATCTTTGTACGAGCCATTTATGCACAATTCTGGACTGGCTCTGAGGACTGGGGAATGCATTATTTAAAGCCCTGCTCAGCTATCAACATAACTTTTTATATGCTTCAATTTAATTAGTTTCTTTTTTTTTCCTTTTGTTTACAGTATATTCATTCTGCAGGAATTATTCATCGGGTCAGTATATGAACTTTTTCTTATTGTGTCTCGTCAATCTCTGTTTTTTTTTCTTATTAATATGAACTGTAACTCTGTTGCAGTGGTATCTTTATTTATTTGTTATACATATACATTTTTTTTTCTTTTTTCTTCGTTTGCCTTTATGTCACTTTTGTCATGTCATGTGTAACACCCAAGGCTGCAACATCTTAACTTATCTTCATTTAGAGACTCATGCAGCCAATTCAAGGTTGATTTGAATTTAAACACATGCAAAACTCAAAAAAGGAATGTAATGAATGTGTCTGCAAACCCAGAAAACTAATGCAAAAGAAAATCCCTGCATATCAAGTCACCTCAACTGTAGCCTGAGTCACTTGCTGAGGATGGCTAAGTCGGTTGCAGCCTAGTTGATTTGTCAGCCATGCACATTAGAGATTAGTTGGTAATAACCAGAAGGTGTCATTTAAAGCAAAAAATTAAATTACTACATACATTCTCTGAGGCCTGTAACCTCCCAAATGGCTTTTTTGGCAATGGCAACACTTATGTCCTCAACCTCAGGACACTTTTTACTGGCAATTGTAAAAATCTCCTCTGCTGCCCTTCATAGTGACCATTTCTTCTTTTTTGAATTGCACTGCTGTGTGCTCAAGGTTTGCCTTAATTCTAGGACATTTTTCCAAGGATTGAGGCCTGGCTTTAGCAGCAGCTCTTGGGAATTTTCCCCTTAAAAAAATAAGTTTAAAGAGTTTAAAGTGCATGGGATAAACTCTCTGTACTGTAGTTGAGCCCCACCATCATTTCTCTAAAACTCGACTTTCTTTCTAGTGACAATGCTGAATGCAGCAATAAAATTGATGGTTGGAGGTTAGAGTTAGCTTTTGGCTTTGGGGACTGGGTGCTACAGATGTTGAGCTGTACTGGTCTGAAACAGAAAGAAGCTTTTTGTAAGCATTTAATACTCTGCAGATACAGGTACTGATATTTTAGAGATGTGTCTTACAGATGCGTTAAGACATGGGTCTATTTTTCAGTTACCTGAGCAAAAGACACAAAACTTATCATTTTTCAGACTTTTGTTTTACAAAGTTGTGCTTTGTTGCAGGATCTGAAGCCGGGTAACCTTGCTGTGAACGAGAACTGTGAGCTAAAGGCAAGGATTAAAAGTTCAGATAATAAAAGCTCCAGACCATACTGATCAGGTCTTAAAGATTTTGAACATTTGACTCTTGATTCTTCTTTCAAGTGCAAAAAAAGTTAAAAAAAAAAAAAAAAAAAACGTAAACTCAAGCAAATACAAAAATAAATAAAATAAAATAAAATAAATAAATAAAAAATCCCATCAGCTTCTTTGTTACTCTTCTTAGATCCTGGATTTTGGCCTGGCCAGACAAACTGAGAGTGAGATGACTGGTTATGTGGTGACACGCTGGTACAGGGCACCAGAGATCATATTCAACTGGATGCACTACAGTCAGACAGGTAAGAACCTCACCTGCCTTCAACACCATCAGCCATTTTCAGTCTGTTGAGAATAAACCAGATTATTACAGATAATTATGACAAAGAATTAGATTGATAAAACTAAAACCCCCTCTTTCTGCCTCCCTCTCTTACAGTGGATGTGTGGTCAGCCGCCTGTATCCTGGCTGAGATGATCACCGGGCAGGTGCTTTTCCAAGGACATGACAGTATCCTTATACAATCAGCCCTCCAATTTACCAACTTACCAACTCCTACTCCAATGGTGGGATTTCCTATGTTCAATGTTGCAAAATTTACACCAGTCTGAATCTGCATTGACAAAACTTCACCTAGAGCATATGAGTTAAGAGGATACAAACATAAAGGCAATCAGTAAGAGTTACCATATAGAAGACTCAAATGCAGACGAGTTACAGAGAAAATCTGAGTGGTGTCAGAAGAAGCTGCTTTATTGTTTCAGTTTTCTTCATGTGCAGAGACATGGAGCCTGCTTTCTGTCTTATAAACATGTGACTGCCCTAATACCTTCTTGTTTGCTGTCCACTGTGCTTTATGAGGCCTCCTTAACCAGAGTGTTCAGGTATTGATCAGCTGAAGAAGATCCTCCGTCTAACAGGAACCCCAGACTCCTCCTTGGTTCAGAAGATGCAGAGTAAAGATGTGAGTATCTAATGGTATTTAAGTCAAGACAGAAATACATTGTGAGTTTAGAGTACTAAGATTTTATTGAAAGGACACAAATGAGCTTTTATTTATCTTTACATCATATGCTTTGCGAGGGTCTTAGTCCATCCTTTTCAGTCCAGCAAAAAAAACTGTTTGTTTCAGGCTCAATCATACGTGCAAGGGCTTCCTCTACAAAAGAAGAAAAACTTCAGGGAAGTGTTTCAGACCATGGATAAAAATGGTGAGCTGCCTTTACTTTTCTTGATTTTAATTGAAAAAGGAAAGTTCTTTTGTCTGTGACATTTTCTTTTCCATTCTGCACCAACATAGCAAAGTCTTTAGCCAGTTATTTTCTCTGCAATAGTAATAATATGTTTCCTGTGGAAGACAGTGACTCTCCAGTAATTTAGCAAAGTTCCTCATTATCCCCATAAAAGGGATTTAAAGAGCCCAGGAGGGTGGAAAATAGTCTGTAATAATATTATTTCGAGTCACTTTTAAAAAGCCATTGATAAATAGGTAAATAATTTCTACATTCAATGGTTCAACCCATTTTTCCAATGATCTGTTTAGTGGTTATGGGAATTTTGAACTTATAAAATTGATAATTCTTACAATGTGCTTCAGAATAGGGCTAATATAATTAATCTATTGACGCATATCAGTGCTGAGAATTCTGTGATGCCCTGAGAAATGTCTGTTTAACATCTATACACTCAGGAGTGGACTTTGTTTGTTGGTCTTTGTGGTGTTTAGGTTTCTGCTCAGTGTAGGTGTGTAGTCTAAGCAGAAGAAGCCTTTAATGTATACAGGAAAAAAGAGTCTATGGAGAGCAAATTATAGTCATGATATGCGTTATAGAATCGTGACTGGATGAGAGAAGGCCCCAGCAGTAAGGTAAATCAAAACATACAAAAAAGTTGACTCAAAGTAAGGATTTATAGCTGATTTTATTTATTAATTGATGATTTATTTAAACAGCAAAAAATATAGCCCCTCTAATCCACAGTTGGTAGCACCATGGCAACGGTATCATCATCAGCTGATCAACAATGACCCCAGTACAGAGCAGAAGAGATGTCATTGAAATAGAAAGTCTGTTTTGAGATTAGTCATTTGGACACGTAGGAGAATGGCAGAGCTGTAAGCTAAAATGGGCCGGTGTTTAAAACAGCTGATGTTATTTGAGCACATCTTTTGGAGTTCAGTCAGTTTTTGCTATTGTTGACCAGATTTTAAAGAAACTATCACTCACTGCATAGAGAAGACCAGACAATCTGCAGCTGAGAAAATTCATGGATGGCCGATGTTTTCTTCCTTTACCTCTCATGGCCTCCATAAGAAGATATTAATTTATTGACCGGTTAAGGCTATGATTAAATAGCTCTGAATAAAGTGCTTGTGTCTTGATGTTTCCAGCTGTAGACCTTCTAGAGGGGATGTTACTGCTGGACCCAGAGGAAAGGCTGACAGCCAAGCAGGGACTGTCACACCCGTTCCTGGCTGAATTTTATGAACAAGAGGGTGAGCCTGACTCAGACCCTTACGACGACTCTTTCGAGAGCCTGGAGCTGGCTGTTGGGGAATGGAAGAGTAAGTAGAAGAAGCTGGAGTTGAATCTTTGCATATCGATAATAAGATCTGTCTGCATTACATTCCTCTAAAATTCAGTTCTCGTTGAACATTTTTATCATTATTTTCTTTTTCTAACCCTATCAGGTCTTATCCACATGGAGATCATGACCTTTGACCCTGACAACCCCTGTAAGACAGCCATGTAGGATGACGTGAAGACCTGGTTTCTCTCAATGTTTTAAGGCACGCACATATCAAATACTCTTTAGGTCAAGGACATTGTCAGACTCGTGGGGAAATATATATATACATAAGAATATCCAAAAGATATGTTGGGCTGTGAAGAAATAATTTCACTCTAGTACAACCTCACAATGTATGATAGCCTGTAAAGGACAATGAGACGGTATAAGGGTGTGTTCAGACCAGAAGTGAGGCTTTGGTTTTATGCAGTAAGATAAAATAAAAAAGTAGTACCTTACAAGACAACTGAGGATGGGTACACAGATAACCAGCAGAGGGCGCAATCTGCCTTTGACTTCTCTTGTAGGGCATTAGACATAGTGGCAGCAAGTGAGGATTTTGCTTAAAGTGTTAAAAGTGCATCTTTTACACCAAACTTTACGATAAAACTGTTATTTTTTCATTAAAAAACGACTGTGTGTCTATGTGTTACAACTGCATCTGAAACTTTAAAGTCAATCTTTAAATTTGCATTGACTACAGTTACATTTTAAACTAACTCAGTCATCGAGATGAGGGTGGGGGCCATGAATAATAAAAGTTGTTTCTTCCCACTTTTTAATCAAACTTTTGTCTCAACTTAACTGTAAGGATCAAAACTGTTACTTTTACATTTTTTTGACATCAGCAGGATGGATAATGATAGGGGGGAATAGCACAGAAAAATGTGTGTGAGATCTACAGGATATAGGCTCTTGAATAGTTGCTGTGTATGCTTTTTCTCTTGTCTGTCATGTATAGAATATGCAAAATGTTGCTTATAATAAAAGATGTCCTCAGACACATTTCATCATAAAACACGTGCAATTTTCTCATTGTGTTCTCACTTATCAAATAGAAAGGTGAAAGGTGTGGAAATGTTTGTGCAATCTCCAATTTATGCTGAAAAACATTGCAGTGTTTTAAGATAAAAAGTTTTTAAAAGTCCTGCAAATGCTGAATCAGTGGTCACTGTTAAAATGATCAGATGATTGAGTTGGTTGTACTGTATTATCTAGAAAACATGATGCGTTCACATTACAGATCAATAGAGGGCAGTATTGTACCATAACAGGGTTATGGTTTGATAATTTTATTGAGACTTACTTTTCCAGTCCCAGTGTTCATGCCAGTATGTGCAGCACTGATCAGCTGTTTGCTTGGTGCCAAAAAGTGGCTTTTTGAAGGTATGGTAAGAAAAGCCACTGAGAAATTACAAAATAAAGACTTACATGGACATTAATAATTTTGTTGGATCACTGTTTCTTTCAGAGAATAGCTGATTTACACTGTCTCTCTCTGCTGTGGTTGATTATCCAGCTTCCTCTGCTTATATAATACATATGTAATGTTATATAATAACGGTTCTGAACTGGCTGGCATCCCGAACATTTGCTTTTGGCCAATACCACTTATAAGCACATCTTAAAAACCTAACGCCACTTTGTTCTCAATCTTTGCAACCACAAACTTAGTCATGGTCACATGCAATGCATGGTGGGAAATGAGGCATGGGGGGCCACCACTGCAACATTTCAGTGTTGTATATATATATTTTTTTACTTATAGGTAAATACAAGTGTTGAATTCACTTGTGAAATACAAAACACTTTGTGCTGCAAGTAACATGCAAGTGTATCCAAACTATTAACCTGTTTTTTTTTCCTCATAAAAACTACTGGTTTGTCAGAAAAAAGTCCAAATGTCAGACCAGCACCTAAGCAAAAGACAAAAAAAAGAAAACGCTCTTTTTCTCATTTTGACTGCATCAGCCTGCAGTGCTTCTATTGTTATGGGCAACCAGCTCAAGTTGCCGTGGCAATCTGTTAGCCTCAAGCCAGGCCCATAGCTGAGACCAATTCACAATCACTAATCAAGGACTGCTTTGCTATCTCTGTATCACTGAATCACTTTTAGAGCAGTTTGATAAAACCTTAACTCTCAATCAAAATCCTCATTAGGGCCACAGAGAAATGCACCGGCACTTACACAATAGAGATGCTATTAACTTTAGTGCAGGCCCCTATACAATTGTGCATAGCTTGAAGATTTGTAGGACAAATTATACATCAAAACGTGCTGTATGATCAGGATCGGTGTGCTCTTAATTTTCTCTATTGACTTTAATGAAAAACATTTAAATTAGCATTGAAGTTGTATATAACAATGCTAGTGGTATTAGTTATTTGAAATCTCTGGAGAATCTTATCATAATACACACCCTGGCAGTGGCCTCCATGGCCCTATCAAAATTTCCCAGACAGAATTTTCTGGTTTTTATTGTTATTGCCTGTTGGCTCATCAAGCTTTCACTTAAATTAGTGCCCCATATCAGTATCTATTGGCTATAAACGGGGAAGTCCCGCTCCTTACCAAGAGAGGCCCCAGTATGGCAGAAGTTGCTAACCATGTAACTGAGCAGTGCTGCACTTGTTGGAGCTAAACCGTCACTTGTTAACTTGTTGGTAAACTTGCCTAGTTAACCATCTCAGAGCCTCAGAGTTAGGCTTGACAAAGATTAAACCAGTAAACCTTTAATGTCATAAGGGTACTGCATCTTGATGAGTTTGCTGGTTATGCTTACTTATTTGTAGTGGTTCAGGGTGTAATTTGTACAGACTTTGACTTTTGCACAGCGAGTAAAGTTGTAATAACTCAGAAGTTTAGCGGGTAGCATGACATTGCCAGCTTTTTCCTGTGTTCAGGTTTTAAAAGATATGTCTGCTACTTTTTTCAGGAGTGCTTGTGCAAATTTGGTTGCATGGAAAAAATTTGCAGTCACAGAAACAAAACTAACCTCCGTCAGTCCAAAGTCTTATGGTGTCACGATGAGTATGTCTAATTTGAAGAATGCTACCTTTACAAGTCAATACTTTTGATTTTTTTGGTGAAATGTAAATATTCTGTTTGTCTTTATTTATCAGAAATGAACAGTCTGATGTCCAGGGTGTTCAGTCACTGACTGAGGAGGCAGAGGTTGTTGATTTCTGACAATCCAGGTAAGTTTGGCTTATATCTTAAACACAAAAGACACATTGTTATGTTGCTTGAATTTAAAGATATGGAACTTTTATATTACTGCCTCCTGCTGGAGAATAGTGTACCCAGCTTCCTGACAATCTTCTGCCATTGAATAATTTAGGTAGCTATCACAGTTGTTGCTTTTGACCTAACACACAGATTCAATGCTAAAAAAATACAGGGAACACATTTTTTGTGTAACTCAGAGTAAATATATATAACAGATGGGTGGGATAACAGATGGATAGGTAAGAGAAGTAAGTTGGAACAGGCTATAATCTCATTTTTCATTGTAATTTTGAGGATGATTCTGAATCCAGTCAACTGTGGGTTAATGATTTAGGTTTCCACTGATCATTCTGATTTTCTTTTCTTTTCAAGAAAATAAATTATGTAATCAATAAAGATTTTCAACTGAAATATATCTTGTATATTGAGTTCAGGGATGGGGGATGTAAGTGGTCCCGTTTTTGCCTGTGTATAAGGCCTCTTTTGTAAACAGGGTTTCTGTATAATATATCTGTCAAGATGTATGTTGAGCCATCACTTCAGAAAATGTCTTCTGTTCATAAATCATGTGTTAACACATCTCCAATGTATACAACCACCTGTGTAAACATGTACATAGCTTGTAGTTTTTGAATTTTCTTACATATTGGAATAAAATATATTTTCTTAAGGATGGTAGAGTACTTTGCAATCAAAGGCACATTTCAGACCCCTTTAGAAGGGTGCAGTTTTAAAATAAGTCAGGTCCTATCAGTAAATGTCCAGGAGGTGTTTTAACCAGTAGCAAAGGCTAGCAACAGCTCTCATTTTAGTCAACAGTTGAATAATTGTTTCAGATTGTTTTCTGTTAACTAAAAAGTAAAACATCCTCTCAAAACTTGTGAACCTCAAAGATAGTCTTTTATTGGTCACCCTTTTCTTTATGAACTCTAGGACATGCTGTAATTTATTTGTATAGTTCTCAAGTCGATGTACAACAAAGTGTAAAAAAGAGCCCAAACTGCCAAAGTGAAAATGAAATCAGATTTATTCAAGGTATTTGATGGTACAAATTCATGATAAATCTGCTTTCCCAGTCAGCCTTATCCATGTTGCTTTTTTTGTTGAGAGTGGAAATGGAAGTGAAGCAGAATCCGAAACCCTCTGGTTTGCTGTAGTGGAGAGCTAATTTTCTCTCAGAACAGGAGAAGAAAAAGAGGACCCCAAAACTGAAATTTGAGAGTGTGAAGTGGGGCTGCTTTTGCTTTGTGACGTTAAAATGCACCACAGGATGACAGGTGTGATGCAACAGAGGAGACTTTGCAGGGAAGAGGTGTTATAGGTGTGACAGGTGTATGTCATGTACGTTTTCTATATTCAAGGCCAGATATAAAGTCCTACCCTCCTGCTAAAATCTTACATCCACTGTTGTCATTTTGTGTACATTGCTTGTGGCTTTGTAAAGATTTTCTGACATGACACTACAAGTATCTTCTTGTCTGTATGACAGCACATCGATCAAGCAAAGGACAGCCAGGCTGACTGTTATTAAAAAAGAGAGGACGACTCACAACTCTGCTGCTCTTTTTGGGTTTAAAAAACACTCTGCCTCTACGTGTGTTTTTGATGTTATCTCTCACCCCGTGGTGTCAAAGAGGGAGGAGCAACACAGGGACTAAGCACCAAAAGAGACTGTGCCATTACATCAATCTGCCATTTGTTCAAGGTGGAACAGAAATTTTCCAGGGTCTGGTTTATGTTCAGAGGTGGTGAAGGCTTTTATGAGTAGCATAAGGTAAAAGAGGTGGAGAAAAAGGAGGTGGAGGGAGAAAAAAGAGGAGGAGAGGACAGCTGCTGACTTTAAAAACGCCGGGTGGATGTCATGCTGGACCGTGATACTGCGATCCCACCGCCGCCGCTGCTGAAGCTGCTGCCACCGTATCCGCCACCACCACTCATCATCATGCTGCCACCACCATATCCGCCGCCGCCGCCGCCGCCAGCACCGTATCCGCCACCGCCACCGCCAGCACCGTATCCGCCGCCGTATCCGCCGCCGTATCCGCCGCCACCTCCACCGCCACCACCTGTGGTTTTGGATAAAATGAAAATCTCATGAATCTTTCAAATCTTAGGTTTTTGGGTATCAAGCAAACATTTGATGACTTTTTTATACGTACCGAAGCTTGAGGCTGATTGCTGTACGTGAACGGTTGCTTGTACACCCCCAGCGGCAAGTCTGCAAACAAGTATAACAATTCTTATCTGAGGCCCTGCACAATGTAAACCAATGTCAGAGTAACTTCTGCTTTTCAATACCTGATCTCCTCTCCCTCCAGAAGCTTCCTGTAGGTGGCGATCTCAATGTCCAGGGCAAGCTTGACGTTCATGAGCTCCTGGTACTCACGCACCTGGCGGGCCATGTCCTGTTTGGCTCTCTGCAGGGCCTCCTCCAGGTCCTTGATGCGGGCCTTGGCGTCCTTGACAGCCAGCTCCCCACGCTCCTCAGCCTCAGCGATCTGGGCCTCCAGGTTGCCACGCTAGGCAGACAGGGTCAGATATAGTATGTAAAGGGATCTTTTATAACTTAAGTCTGCTACCGTTTGTTTACTTTTTTACCTTTTGTGTGTGTGTGTGTGTGTGTGTGTGTGTGTGTATATGACTTAAAGGTCTATAGTTAAAAAGAAGTTAAGATCATGCTGCTTAGACTGTGAACATACCTGTGCCTTCACTGACTCAATCTCATTCTGGAGACGGCTAATCATGCGGTTGAGCTCAGCAATCTCACTCTTTGTGTTGCGAAGGTCATCCCCGGCTGAACCTGCAGTAGCCTGAATCTCCTGGAACTAAAAATGACTGTCATTACATATCCCATTTTTTTTAATAATTCAGGATATGTTTTATTATTTCACATCTGAGGTGTTGATCTGTACCTACCTTCTGCTGGTACCAACTCTCAGCTTCAGCACGGCTGCGGGCTGCAACTTCCTCATACTGAGCCTTGACGTCAGCAACAATGGCATCCATGTCCAGGTTGCGGCTGTTGTCCATTTCAACAATCACTGAAGTGTCTTTGATCTGTCCCTGGAGTTCAGCCAGTTCCTGCAGAAGAGTCATGTCGTGTTTAGAAATGAAATTAAAAAGTACTATATCTCTTTTGCCTGTGAAACAAGTGTTTGCCTTAACATAAAAGTGAAGAAAAAGCATTCTTACCGCTGCAAAGACAGCTCTGAGGAAGTTGATTTCATCTTGAAGTGCGTCAACCCTGGCTTCTAGCTCAACCTTAGTCATGTAAGCTGCATCAACATCCTGTCAACAACAGAAAAGGAAAAGTTGGCTGTTAGATTATATTGGAAAAGAAAGAAACAATTTCTTCAGAAGAGTAACAACAATTTTCAGCTCTCACCTTCTTGAGGAGCACAAACTCATTCTCTACAGCAGCACGCTTGTTGATTTCATCTTCATATCTGACAAATAAGTGGAAATAATCAGTTGTTGGGACAAATCTGCTACTGAAGGTCATCTGTGCTGGATGTTTACTCACTTGGTCTTAAAGTCCTCCACCAATCCCTGCATGTTCCTCAGCTCTCCCTCCAGCTTGACCTTCTCATTGCCGAGCCCATCAAGCTGTCTGCGGAGGTTGGCGATGTAAGCCTCAAACATGGCATCAATGTTGGAGCGGGTGGTGGTCTGTTCTTGCAGCAGGCTCCACTTGGTTTCAAGCATTTTGTTCTGCTGCTCCAGGAAGCGCACCTGAAAAATGAATAGATATGTGCAGTGTGAGTCCACTGTTACTGAGGGATAGCAGATTGTAGACAGGACTCCCTGGTCTCCGTTCAGTAGAATGCAGGGCAGTAATTTGTCATCCGCAGTCATGTAAGGGGGCCTATTTTCACATCCAACCTTAGGCCTCTTTCCTGTGCAGTCTCCCCCATTTTCTTGTTGTATCCATAATCTACCTCCTCTAAAAAATGCATAAAAGCCCCAAAATACAACACAAAGAAATCTGTAACACAGAAGTGCATTGAAAATGGATTTCTCACATCATTGAACATTTTTTCCTTGTAGCTGAAAGCTCATTTCTAAATTATGAACCCATTTAGTTTAAATTAAGCAGTAATAAGTAAACTTCATGGTGGAGCTTTAAATGATTGACAAGTCAACATGTGACATTGACCAGGATAGACTCCTTTCTACCCTGACATTGAAAGAAGCCCATATTTGTTTGCTAACAAACAAAATGGAAACTGATAAATTACCAAACTCAATGTTCCCAAATGGGCGTGGGGTGTATTTGCTACATTTACTAGATTTTTTGACAGAATAAAGACTGTTTATAATCCATATCTTTGAACAGGAGTGGCGGCAGTGTTTTAGTTGCTCTTGTTTGATCCCATCTGGCCAAACAACTTTTTAAGAAATGTGGTCTTAATTTACTGCCTCTTTTATCCTTAATTCAGCATGCTGACTGCAACAGAGAATTCCATCTCAGTCAGAACCTTTTTTAGAGTAACTTACATGCTGACAAACATGTTTTAAAGGGAGACAGAGAAAAGATATCTGCATCTAACTTCAAAGCCCAAGAGCAGGCGGAGCCAAACTTCTTCTTATGGGGGTGTGACTTTGTCCCTTTACATTTTTTTTTTTTTTTGAGACGAGGTGAGGTTTGCCACACCTTGGCCTTGCCCCTCCCCTCAAACCCCGACATTACCACTCCCTTGCCTCCAAGATGCATACTTCACATAGTGAACTTGTATGCCACAGCCCTCAGTAATTAACGGTAAGCTACTTATTGATGCATCAGTTGAATGCTGATACTCGAAGGTAAAAGTGACGGATGATGCTCAAAACATGCTTTGCTTTAAAATAACAAATCATAATTATGATTTTGAATCATCTCACTGCCACAGAACTTCCCTAAAGGATTTGAAAAGGCATGCAGATGGCTGTCTGTAGACGAGCACTGTCTAAGGAATTGCTAACTAAGCATTTTTTTTCTCAAAGGGGGTGATTGTGAACCTCCCTTGCATTTTTTTATCTTTACAAATTACTCAGTCAAACATGAAAAAGTGCAGATTTGTTTACAAAAATAATCATCACCCAGTAAAATGTTCAAATTATGAGTGGAAATTTGAACAAATTGTACAATACAAAAGTTTAAGGGCCTTTCCTGCAGCAACCATAAAACATTGTGAGGTCTTGCTGCCATGGATGTGTGCGATAACCTGATCCCTTCCCTAATTCTGAGCATCACTGGTTCCAACCACTCCAGTGTTTCCTGCCTCTCAGTCTATGCAGAGACAGCTGGCAAGGGTTCAGTTATTGACCAGTTTAAGGGGCAGGTCAGGTTTCACTTGAAGTCTTAGAAGTGTTAGCTGATGCAGAGTTTGCTGAAAGAACTTTACAACCCTGCAGTTATTAGGGTCTCACCACATCATAATCACACTACAATCTGGTGCTTGTCAGCTTTGACTTTAGGAGTTACAGCATTTTTGAGGAGTCTGATCATTTGTTGTGCAATATTAAGTGAATCCAGAGGTCCCCTTAGAAGCATCTTGCACCAGTTATTCATGCTCCTACAAACCATTTAACTCTAGCTCATCATTACATCCATTAGACATGGATTCCTAATGTTATCTGCTGTTCTGCCTGATGAACACTGGGGTCATCATGCTGGATTTTTCTACATGTAAATAGACTATGACGTATGAGAAATAATTTTAAACCAGTTCATGTCTAGAAAATAAACTTCATGACAGCTGTGCCAACATGTGATGAAAATGAATCTCTTACCTTGTCAATGAAGGAGGCAAAGCGGTTGTTGAGGCTTTTGATCTGCTCTTTCTCCTGGGTTCGGACTGTCTGGATATTTGGGTCGATCTCAAGGTTCAGAGGGGCAAGCAGGCTTTGGTTGACTTGGACATTTGAGATTGTTCCCATGCCGCCCATGCCGCCCATGCCGGCACCGAAGCCGCCGCCACCAGCACCTCCCATGCCAAATCCGCCACCACTCATACTGGTTACAGTGAAACCACCACCACCACCACCACCGTAACCACCACCGTATCCACCACCACCACCACCACCACCACCACCACCGTATCCACCACTGCTGACTCTCATGCCACCTGAAGCCATTGACATGGCCCTGTTACCGCTAACAATGGCAGATCTTGCAGTAAATCGTGCACCGCCACCTCCACCACCTCCACCAGAGCCAAAACTACTGCTAAATGAACCTCCTCCACCACCACCACCACCAAAGCTGGTTCTGGTGCTGCTCGAGGACATTTTCATGCTTGATCTCATCTTGTCCGATGACAGGTAAAAATTCACGGAGAAAAAAGAAGAGCAGAGAGAGGTTTGGCAAGGTGCACTAAGAGGAGAGTCGAGTCCCTCAAAGTGTCTTCTTTCTCTGGGTGATGGACTTTTATCTGCCTTGTACTCTGTGGGAGGTCCCAGTGAACTCCGCCTTCTCTGTACCTCCTTTACCTGCCTTCTATTACCTGGATCCTGGAAGATGCATTTACAGGCAGTTAGATTGGCCAGGAGCGGATTAGCTACCCCTGTGAAATGATCGTGGCTTGACACACCCAGTGCTCGCAGAGGAATGGCATTCAATGCTTATATAATACATATGTTGTACGTGTTATATAATAACGGTTCTAAATTGGCTTGCATCCCAAAAACTTACTTTTGGCCAATACCACTTATAAGCACATCTTAAAAACTTAATGCCACTTTGTTCTCAAGCTTTGCAACCACAAACTTTGTCTAATTCAATGCATGGTGGGAAATGAGGCATGGTGGGCCGCCACTACAACATTTTAGTGTTGTAATTTATTTGTTTTTTTATTTTTTTACTTACAGGTAAATACAAGTGTTGAATTCACTTGTGAAATACAAAAACCTTTGTGCTGCAAGTAACACGCAAGTGTATCCAAACTTTTAACCTGTATTTTTTTTTCTTCCCTCATAAGAGCTACTGATTTGTCAAAAAAAGTCCAAATGTCAGACCAGCACCTAAGCAAAAAAACAAAACAAAAAACAAAAAACAAACAAACAAAAAAACAAAGCTCTTTTTCTCGTTTTGACTGCATCAGCCTGCAGTGCTTCTATTGTTATGGGCAACCAGCTCAAGTTGCCGTGGCAATCTGTTAGCCTCCAGCCAGGCCCATAGCTGAGACCAATTCACAATCACTAATTAGGGACTGCTTTGCTATCTCTGTATCACTGAATCACTTTTAGAGCAGTTTGATGAAACCTTAACTCTCAATCAAAGTCCTCATTAGGGCCACAGAGAAATGCACCGGCACTTACACAATAGAGATGCTATTAACTTTAGTGCAGGCCCCTATACAGTAGTGCGTAGCTTGAAGATTTGTAGGACAAATTATACATCAAAACGTGCTGTATGATCAGGATCGGTGTGCTCTTAATTTTCTCCATTAATATTATTGAAAAACAGGAGAAATTTGCATTGAAGTTGTATATGACAATGCTAGTAATATGAGTTATTTGAACTCTGAAGCCCCGGTGGCCCTATCAAAATTTCCCAGACAGAATTTTCTGGTTTTTATTGTTATTGCCTGTTGGCCCATCAAGCTTTCACTTAAATTAGCGCCCCATATCTGTTTCTATTGGCTATGAACGGGGAAGTCCCACTCCTTACCAAGAGAGGCCAGAGTATGGCAGAAGTTGCTAACCATGTAAATGAGCAGTGCTGCACTTGTTGGAGCAAACCGTCACTTGTTAATATGTTGGCAAACTTGCCTAGTTAACCAACAGGAAAATGTAGGGAAGACAGAGAGATCACAGCATGATATGCATGAGAGAAGTCCAGAGCTTTCTTCACTGTTTTGGTGGGTGTAGCTAAGTTGAGCAAGCATGGCAGGTGATATCAGTTAATGTCATTAGTGACACCATCTGCCATTTCCAGCCATTGTTTCTGATTCATTTGAGAAACAGTCTTTATTTGTGAGTTGAATCTTCAAAAACTATACATTATTGGTATTCAAAATAAATTAAAAATACCATAAGAAAAATGTTATTCAATAAATAACGTCATTGAAATGTTTACAGTTATGTGAAAAATATTCATGGTTAACTGATTATGGACATTGAAAACATGGGTTGAATGACCTCAGAGTTATAGCTGTGTTTCTGTACTGGCTAGGATTTAAAGCAGCGGCGATTGCTCTAAGACTGTGTACATTTCATTAACTAAATACGCGCTAGAAAGCCTTCATCTTTTGTTCAGAAGCTGATGATCACAGGTAACCGGCACAACTTCGTTCTCAGTCATCATCACAGCGCTGAGCGTCCGGCTGACTTCAATGTGGAAGCTCAAAGTGGGTTGTTCCAGCAGCAAAACAAGACGCTCATTGGATAAATGCTGGGCTTTGTCCCGCCCTCGGACGCTGAGCGTCCGAGGGCGGGAAGAAGGAGTTAAGAAGGAGAGAAGAAGGAGAGACAGAGACAGAGCAAGAGCAAGAAGCCAAACATGAAAGTACATTTCAGACAGGCTCTTATCTGAAGGCAAGAGCTTTGGGAAACAGTTTTCTGCAAGTCTGATGTAGAGCTGGCTGTGTTGATATTGGATCGGTGAGTGAGATGGTTGTTTGAAGCTGTGTGCAGCTGTGTTGTTGGATTGGTTTTTATTAAGTAATTCACAACTTTATGATAGATAGATAGATAGATAGATAGATAGATAGATAGATAGATAGATAGATAGATAGATAGATAGATAGATAGATAGATAGATAGATAGATAGATAGATAGATAGATAGATAGATAGATAGATAGATAGATTGGTTGGTTGGTTGGTTTGTGGGTTAGTGTAGTTTTGACAAAGATTAAACCAGTAAACCTTTAATGTCATAAGGGTACTGCATCCTGATAAGTTTTCTGTTTATGCTTACTTATTTGTAGTGGTTCAGGGTGTAATCTTTTCTTTTTTCAGGAGTGCTTGTGCAAATTTGGTTGCATGGAAAAAGTTGCAGTGACAGAAACAACCCCAACCTCTGTCAGTCCAAAGTCTTTTGGTGTCACGATGAGTATGTCTAATTTGAAGAATGCTACCTTTTCAGGTCAATACTTTTGATTTTTTTAGTGAGATGTAAATATTCTGTTTGTCTTTTTTTTTTTTTTTTAATCAGAAATGAACAGTCTGATGTCCAGGGTGTTCAGTCACTGACTGAGGAGGCACAGGTAGTTGATTTTTGACAATCCAGGTAAGTTTGGCTTATATCTTCAACACAAAAAACACATCGTTATGGGACCTTTATATTACTGCCTCCTGCTGGAGAATAGTGTACCCAGCTTCCTGACAATCTTCTGCCATTGAATAATTTAGGTAGCTATCACAGTTGTTGCTTTTGACCTAACACACAGATTCAATGCTAAAAAAATACAGGGAACACATTTTTTGTGTAACTCAGAGTAAATATATATAACAGATGGGTGGGATAACAGATGGATAGGTAAGGGAATTCATGAGACATCCCCTATCAAGCAGTGGTTTACAGGTGGTGGCAGGTCCCGAGCCTTTTCAACTACTGGTACCATGAGGTAGTATCTGCAGCCCACAGGAGTTCCTGAGTGCAGCTTCTCAAGGATGGCACATCCATTCACATCCTCCACACTGCCACATCACACTTCAGACTGTCCAGGAGCTAACTGATGCCCTGATCCAGATCTAAGAGGAGGTCCTCGAGGAGACCATCGGTTGTCTTCATCAGGAGCTCGGATGTTGTGGGGAGTGCATTCAAGCACATAGAGGCCTTACACACACCTGAGTCACATTGTAAAATGTCTGGAGAAAGTTCACTGAAGTTGGAACAGGCTATAATCTCATTTTTCATTGTAATTTTGAGGATGATTCTGAATCCAGTCAACTGTGGGTTAATGATTTAGGTTTCCACTGATCATTCTGATTTTCTTTTCTTAAATTTTCTTAAAAAAGGAAATGTAATCAATAAAGATTTTCAACTGAAATATATCTTGTATATTGAGTTCAGGGATGGGGGATGTAAGTGGCCCTGTTTTTGCCGGTGTATAAGGCCTCTTTTGTAAACAGGGTTTCTGTATAATATATCTGTCAAGATGTATGTTGAGCCATCACTTCAGAAAATGTCTTCTGTTCATAAATCATTTGTTAACACATCTCCAATGTATACAACCACCTGTGTAAACATGTAAGTAGCTTGTAGTTTTTGAATATTCTTACATATTGGAATAAAATATATATTTTTAAGGATGGTAGAGTACTTTGCAATCAAAGGCACATTTCAGACCCCTTTAGAAGGGTGCAGTTTTAAAATAAGTCAGGTCCTATCAGTAAATGTCCAGGAGGTGTTTTTAACCAGTAGCTAATGCTAGCAACAGCTCTCATTTTAGTCAACAGTTGAATAATTGCTTCAGATTGTTTTCTGTTAACTAAAAAGTAAAACATCCTCTCAAAAACTTGTGAACCTCAAAGATAGTCTTTTATTGGTCCCCCTTTTCTTTATGAACTCTAGGACATGCTGTAATTTATTTGTATAGTTCTCAAGTCGATGTACAACAAAGTGTAAAAAAGACCCCAAACTGCCAAAGTGAAAATGAAATCAGATTTATTCAAGGTATTTGATGGTACAAATTCATGATAAATCTGCTTTCCCAGTCAGCCTTATCCATGTTGCTTTTTTTGTTGAGAGTGGAAATGGAAGTGAAGCAGAATCCGAAACCCTCTGGTTTGCTGTAGTGGAGAGCTAATTTTCTCTCAGAACAGGAGAAGAAAAAGAGGACCCCAAAACTGATATTTGAGAGTGTGAAGTGGGGCTGCTTTTGCTTTGTGACGTTAAAATGCACCACAGGATGACAGGTGTGAGGCAACAGAGGAGACTTTGCAGGGAAGAGGTGTTATAGGTGTGACAGGTGTATGTCATGTACGTTTTCTATATTCAAGGCCAGATATAAAGTCCTACCCTCCTGCTAAAACCTTACATCCACTGTTGTCATTTTGTGTACATTGCTTGTGGCTTTGTAAAGATTTCCTGACATGACACTACAAGTATCTTCTTGTCTGTATGACAGCACATCGATCAAGCAAAAGACAGCCAGGCTGACTGTTATTAAAAAAGAGAGGACGACTCACAACTCTGCTGCTCTTTTTGGGTTTAAAAAACGCTCTGCCTCTACGTGTGTTTCTGATGTTATCTCTCACCCCGTGGTGTCAAAGAGGGAGGAGCAACACAGGGTCTAAGCACCAAAAGAGACTGTGCCATTACATCAATCTGCCATTTGTTCAAGGTGGAACAGAAATTTTCCAGGGTCTGGTTTATGTTCAGAGGTGGTGAAGGCTTTTATGAGTAGCATAAGGTAAAAGAGGTGGAGAAAAAGGAGGTGGAGGGAGAAAAAAGAGGAGGAGAGGACAGCTGCTGACTTTAAAAACGCCGGGTGGATGTCGAGCTTGACCGTGATATTGCGATCACACCGCCGCCGCCGCCGCCACCGTATCCGCCACCACCACTCATCATCATGCTGCCACCACCGTATCCGCTGCCGCCGCCAGCACCGTATCCGCCGCCGCCGCCACCGCCACCGCCAGCACCGTATCCGCCGCCGTATCCGCCGCCGTATCCGCCGCCACCTCCACCGCCACCACCTGTGGTTTTGGATAAAATGAAAATCTCATGAATCTTTCAAATCTTAGGTTTTTGGGTATCAAGCAAACATTTGATGACTTTTTTATACGTACCGAAGCTTGAGGCTGATTGCTGTACGTGAACGGTTGCTTGTACACCCCCAGCGGCAAGTCTGCAAACAAGTATAACAATTCTTATCTGAGGCCCTGCACAATGTAAACCAATGTCAGAGTAACTTCTGCTTTTCAATACCTGATCTCCTCTCCCTCCAGAAGCTTCCTGTAGGTGGCGATCTCAATGTCCAGGGCAAGCTTGACGTTCATGAGCTCCTGGTACTCACGCACCTGGCGGGCCATGTCCTGTTTGGCTCTCTGCAGGGCCTCCTCCAGGTCCTTGATGCGGGCCTTGGCGTCCTTGACAGCCAGCTCCCCACGCTCCTCAGCCTCAGCGATCTGGGCCTCCAGGTTGCCACGCTAGGCAGACAGGGTCAGATATAGTATGTAAAGGGATCTTTTATAACTTAAGTCTGCTACTGTTTGTTTACTTTTTTACCTTTTGTGTGTGTGTGTGTGTGTGTGTGTGTGTGTGTGTGTGTGTGTGTGTGTGTGTGTGTATGACTTAAAGGTCTATAGTTAAAAAGAAGTTAAGATCATGCTGCTTAGACTGTGAACATACCTGTGTCTTCACTGACTCAATCTCATTCTGGAGACGGCTAATCATGCGGTTGAGCTCAGCAATCTCACTCTTTGTGTTGCGAAGGTCATCCCCGGCTGAACCTGCAGTAGCCTGAATCTCCTGGAACTAAAAATGACTGTCATTACATATCCCATTTCTTTTAAATAATTCAGGATATGTTTTATTATTTCACATCTGAGGTGTTGATCTCTACCTACCTTCTGCTGGTACCAACACTCAGCTTCAGCACGGCTGCGGGCTGCAACTTCCTCATACTGAGCCTTGACGTCAGCAACAATGGCGTCCATGTCCAGGTTGCGGCTGTTGTCCATTTCAACAATCACTGAAGTGTCTTTGATCTGTCCCTGGAGTTCACGCAGTTCCTGCAGAAGAGTCATGTCATGTTTAGAAATGAAATTAAAAAGCACTATATCTCTTTTTCCTGTGAAACAAGTGTTTGCCTTAACATAAAAGTGAAGAAAAAGCATTCTTACCGCCTCAAAGACAGCTCTGAGGAAGTTGATTTCATCTTGAAGTGCGTCAACCCTGGCTTCCAGCTCAACCTTAGCCATGTAAGCTGCATCAACATCCTGTCAACAACAGAAAAGGAAAAGTTGGCTGTTAGATTATATTGGAAAAGAAAGAAACAATTTCTTCAGAAGAGTAACAACAATTTTCAGCTCTCACCTTCTTGAGGAGCACAAACTCATTCTCTACAGCAGCACGCTTGTTGATTTCATCTTCATATCTGACAAATAAGTGGAAATAATCAGTTGTTGGGACAAATCTGCTACTGAAGGTCATCTGTGCTGGATGTTTACTCACTTGGTCTTAAAGTCCTCCACCAATCCCTGCATGTTCCTCAGCTCTCCCTCCAGCTTGACCTTCTCATTGCCGAGCCCATCAAGCTGTCTGCGGAGGTTGGCGATGTAAGCCTCAAACATGGCATCAATGTTGGAGCGGGTGGTGGTCTGTTCTTGCAGCAGGCTCCACTTGGTTTCAAGCATTTTGTTCTGCTGCTCCAGGAAGCGCACCTGAAAAATGAATAGATATGTGCAGTGTGAGTCCACTGTTACTGAGGGATAGCAGATTGTAGACAGGACTCCCTGGTCTCTGTTCAGTAGAATGCAGGGCAGTAATTTGTCATCCGCAGTCATGTAAGGGGGCCTATTTTCACATCCAACCTTAGGCCTCTTTCCTGTGCAGCCCCCCCTTCATTTTCTTGTCGAATCCATAATCTACTTCCTCTAAAAAATGTATAAAAGCCCCAAAATACAACATAAAGAAATCTGTAACACAGAAGTGCATTGAAAATGGATTTCTCACATCATTGAACATTTTTTCCTTCTAGCTGAAAGCTCATTTCTAAATTATGAACCCATTTAGTTTAAATGAAGCAGTAATAAGTAAACTTCATGGTAGAGATTTAAATGATTGACAAGTCAACATGTGACATTGGCCAGGATAGACTCCTTTCTACCCTGACATTGAAAGAAGTCCATATTTGTTTGCTAACAAACAAAATGGAAAATGATAAATTACCAAACTCAATGTTCCCAAATGGGCGTGGGGTGTATTTGCTACATTTACTAGATTTTTTGACAGAATAAAGACTGTTTATAATCCATATCTTTGAACAGGAGTGGCGGCAGTGTTTTAGTTGTTCTTGTTTGATCCCATCTGGCCAAACAACTTTTTAAGAAATGTGGTCTTAATTTACTGCCTCTTTTATCCTTAATTCAGCATGCTGACTGCAACAGAGAATTCCATCTCAGTCAGAACCTTTTTTAGAGTAACTTACATGCTGACAAACATGTTTTAAAGGGAGACAGAGAAAAGATATCTGCATCCAACTTCAAAGCCCAACAGCAGGCGGAGCCAAACTTCTTCTTATGGGGGTGTGACTTTGTCCCTTTACATTTTTTTTTCCTTTTTTTTTTTTTGGAGACAAGGTGAGGTTTGCCACACCTTGGCCTTGCCCCTCCCCTCAAACCCCGACATTACCACTCCCTTGCCTCCAAGATGCATACTTCACATAGTGAACTTGTATGCCACAGCCCTCAGTAATTAACGGTAAGCTACTTATTGATGCATCAGTTGAATGCTGATACTCGAAGGTAAAAGTGACAGTTGATGCTCAAAACATGCTTTGCTTTAAAATAACATATCATAATTATGATTTTGAATCATCTCGCTGCCACAGAACTTCCCTAAATGATTTTAAAAGGCATGCAGATGGCTGTCTGTAGACGAGCACTGTCTAAGGAATTGCTAACTAAGCATTTTTTTTCTCAAAGGGGGTGATTGTGAACCTCCCTTGCATTTTTTTATCTTTACAAATTACTCAGTCAAACATGAAAAAGTGCAGATTTGTTTACAAAAATAATCATCCCCCCAGTAAAATGTTCAAATTATGAGTGGAAATTTGAACAAATTGTACGATACAAAAGTTTAAGGGGCTTTCCTGCAGCAACCATAAAACATTGTGAGGTCTTGCTGCCATGGATGTGTGCGATAACCTGATCCCTTCCCTAATTCTGAGCATCACTGGTTCCAACCACTCCAGTGTTTCCTGCCTCTCAGTCTATGCAGAGACAGCTGGCAAGGGTTCAGTTATTGACCAGTTTAAGGGGCAGGTCAGGTTTCACTTAAAGTCTTAGAAGTGTTAGCTGATGCAGAGTTTGCTGAAAGAACTTTACAACCCTGCAGTTATTAGGGTCTCACCACATCATAATCACACTACAATCTGGTGCTTGTCAGCTTTGACTTTAGGAGTTACAGCATTTTTGAGGAGTCTGATCATTTGTTGTGCAATATTAAGTGAATCCAGAGGTCCCCTTAGAAGCATCTTGCAGCAGTTATTCATGCTCCTACAAACCATTTAACTCTAGCTCATCATTACATCCATTAGACATGGATTCCTAATGTTATCTGCTGTTCTGCCTGATGAACACTGGGGTCATCATTCTGGATTTTTCTACATGTAAATAGACTATGACGTATGAGAAATAATTTTAAACCAGTTCATGTCTAGAAAATAAACTTCATGACAGCTGTGCCAACATGTGATGAAAATGAATCTCTTACCTTGTCAATGAAGGAGGCAAAGCGGTTGTTGAGGGTTTTGATCTGCTCTTTCTCCTGGGTTCGTACTGTCTGGATATTTGGGTCGATCTCAAGGTTCAGAGGGGCAAGCAGGCTTTGGTTGACTTGGACATTTGAGATTGTTCCCATGCCGCCCATGCCGGCACCCATGCCACCGAAGCCGCCGCCACCAGCACCTCCCATGCCAAATCCGCCACCACTCATACTGGTTACAGTGAAACCACCACCACCACCACCGTAACCACCACCATATCCACCACCACCACCACCACCACCACCACCACCGTATCCACCACTGCTGACTCTCATGCCACCTGAAGCCATAGACATGGCCCTGTTACCGCTAACAATGGCAGATCTTGCAGTAAATCGTGCACTGCCACCTCCACCACCTCCACCAGAGCCAAAACTACTGCTAAATGAACCTCCTCCACCACCACCACCACCAAAGCTGGTTCTGGTGCTGCTCGAGGACATTTTCATGCTTGATCTCATCTTGTCCGATGACAGGTAAAAATTCACGGAGAAAAAAGAAGAGCAGAGAGAGGTTTGGCAAGGTGCACTAAGAGGAGAGTCGAGTCCCTCAAAGTGTCTTCTTTCTCTGGGTGATGGACTTTTATCTGCCTTGTACTCTGTGGGAGGTCCCAGTGAACTCCGCCTTCTCTGTACCTCCTTTACCTGCCTTCTATTACCTGGATCCTGGAAGATGCATTTACTGGCAGTTAGATTGGCCAGGAGCAGATTAGCTAACCCTGTGAAATGATCGTGGCTTGACACACCCAGTGCTCGGAGAGGAATGGCATTCAGTGCTTATATAATACATATGTTGTACGCGTCATATCATAACGGTTCTAAATTGGCTTGCATCCCAAAAACTTACTTTTGGCCAATACCACTTATAAGCACATCTTAAAAACTTAATGCCACTTTGTTCTCAAGATTTGCAACCACAAACTTTGTCTAATTCAATGCATGGTGGGAAATGAGGCATGGTGGGCCGCCACTACAACATTTTAGTGTTGTAATTTATTTGTTTTTTTATTTTTTTACTTACAGGTAAATACAAGTGTTGAATTCACTTGTGAAATACAAAAACCTTTGTGCTGCAAGTAACACGCAAGTGTATCCAAACTTTTAACCTGTATTTTTTTTTTCTTCCCTCATAAGAGCTACTGATTTGTCAAAAAAAGTCCAAATGTCAGACCAGCACCTAAGCAAAAAAACAAAAACAAAACAAAAAACAAACAAACAAAAAAACAAAGCTCTTTTTCTCGTTTTGACTGCATCAGCCTGCAGTGCTTCTATTGTTATGGGCAACCAACTCAAGTTGCCGTGGCAATCTGTTAGCCTCCAGCCAGGCCCATAGCTGAGACCAATTCACAATCACTAATTAGGGACTGCTTTGCTATCTCTGTATCACTGAATCACTTTTAGAGCAGTTTGATAAAACCTTAACTCTCAATCAAAGTCCTCATTAGGGCCACAGAGAAATGCACCGGCACTTACACAATAGAGATGCTATTAACTTTAGTGCAGGCCCCTATACAATAGTGCGTAGCTTGAAGATTTGTAGGACAAATTATACATCAAAATGTGCTGTATGATCAGGATCGGTGTGCACTTAATTTTCTCTATTACAGTTTTTCTCAGTCGCTTTGGTACATTTCTCAGATCAGAATTGAAATTCTCAAAACTACGTGTTCAATCTTCACATCATTGTGCCACTTGTGCACATCAAAAAAGCAGTTTCTCATTTCTTTGAACAACTTGCAAATGCTTTGGTACATCCATGCAATTGATTATGTACAATTTTCTGCTGTTTTCTACATTATCAGTTGCTTATATCATGTTGATCAAAATGTATTATAATGGGTCTCTGTTGAATAGTCTCACCCCCCACAACATTTAGGCATTAGTTCATCGCATAAGTCTTTACATGCAAAATGGTTAAACAAGCTGTCATAATATGTCAAGCATATTTCTATACATCAATGCTAAAAAAATACAGGGAACACATTTTTTGTGTAACTCAGAGTAAATGTATATAACAGATGGGTGGGATAACAGATGGATAGGTAAGGGAATTCATGAGACATCCCCTATCAAGCAGTGGTTTACAGGTGGTGGCAGGTCCCGAGCCTTTTCAACTACTGGTACCATGAGGTAGTATCTGCAGCCCACAGGAGTTCCTGAGTGCAGCTTCTCAAGGATGGCACATCCATTCACATCCTCCACACTGCCACATCACACTTCAGACTGTCCAGGAGCTAACTGATGCCCTGATCCAGATCTAAGAGCAGGTCCTCGAGGAGACCATCGGTTGTGTTCATCAGGAGCTCGGATGTTGTGGGGAGTGCATTCAAGCACATAGAGGCCTTACACACACCTGAGTCACATTGTAAAATGTCTGGAGAAAGTTCACTGAAGTTGGAACAGGCTATAATCTCATTTTTCATTGTAATTTTGAGGATGATTCTGAATCCAGTCAACTGTGGGTTAATGATTTAGGTTTCCACTGATCATTCTGATTTTCTTTTCTTAAATTTTCTTAAAAAAGGAAATGTAATCAATAAAGATTTTCAACTGAAATATATCTTGTATATTGAGTTCAGGGATGGGGGATGTAAGTGGCCCTGTTTTTGCCGGTGTATAAGGCCTCTTTTGTAAACAGGGTTTCTGTATAATATATCTGTCAAGATGTATGTTGAGCCATCACTTCAGAAAATGTCTTCTGTTCATAAATCATTTGTTAACACATCTCCAATGTATACAACCACCTGTGTAAACATGTAAGTAGCTTGTAGTTTTTGAATATTCTTACATATTGGAATAAAATATATATTTTTAAGGATGGTAGAGTACTTTGCAATCAAAGGCACATTTCAGACCCCTTTAGAAGGGTGCAGTTTTAAAATAAGTCAGGTCCTATCAGTAAATGTCCAGGAGGTGTTTTTAACCAGTAGCTAATGCTAGCAACAGCTCTCATTTTAGTCAACAGTTGAATAATTGCTTCAGATTGTTTTCTGTTAACTAAAAAGTAAAACATCCTCTCAAAAACTTGTGAACCTCAAAGATAGTCTTTTATTGGTCCCCCTTTTCTTTATGAACTCTAGGACATGCTGTAATTTATTTGTATAGTTCTCAAGTCGATGTACAACAAAGTGTAAAAAAGACCCCAAACTGCCAAAGTGAAAATGAAATCAGATTTATTCAAGGTATTTGATGGTACAAATTCATGATAAATCTGCTTTCCCAGTCAGCCTTATCCATGTTGCTTTTTTTGTTGAGAGTGGAAATGGAAGTGAAGCAGAATCCGAAACCCTCTGGTTTGCTGTAGTGGAGAGCTAATTTTCTCTCAGAACAGGAGAAGAAAAAGAGGACCCCAAAACTGAAATTTGAAATTTGTACATTGCTTGTGGCTTTGTAAAGATTTCCTGACATGACACTACAAGTATCTTCTTGTCTGTATGACAGCACATCGATCAAGCAAAAGACAGCCAGGCTGACTGTTATTAAAAAAGAGAGGACGACTCACAACTCTGCTGCTCTTTTTGGGTTTAAAAACGCTCTGCCTCTACGTGTGTTTTTGATGTTATGTCTCACCCCGTGGTGTCAAAGAGGGAGGAGCAACACAGGGACTAAACACCAAAAGAGACTGTGCCATTACATCAATCTGCCATTTGTTCAAGGTGGAACAGAAATTTTCCAGGGTCTGGTTTATGTTCAGAGGTGGTGAAGGCTTTTATGAGTAGCATAAGGTAAAAGAGGTGGAGAAAAAGGAGGTGGAGGGAGAAAAAAGAGGAGGAGAGGACAGCTGCTGACTTTAAAAACGCCGGGTGGATGTCGAGCTTGACCGTGATATTGCGATCACACCGCCGCCGCCGCCACCACCGTATCCGCCGCCGCCACTGCTGAAGCTGCTGCCACCACCGTATCCGCCGCCGCCGCCAGCACCGTATCCGCCGCCGTATCCGCCGCCAGCACCGTATCCGCCGCCGTATCCGCCGCCACCTCCACCGCCACCACCACCTGTGGTTTGGGATAAAATGAAAATCTCATGAATCTTTCAAATCTTAGGTTTTTGGGTATCAAGCAAACATTTGATGACTTTTTTATACATACCGTAGCTTGAGGTTGATTGCTGTACGTGAACGGTTGCTTGTACACCCCCAGCAAGTCTGCAAACAAGTATAACAATTCTTATCTGAGGCCCCGCACAATGTAAACCAATGTCAGAGTAACTTCTGCTTTTCAATACCTGCACTCCTCTCCCTCCAGAAGCTTCCTGTAGGTGGCGATCTCAATGTCCAGGGCAAGCTTGACGTTCATGAGCTCCTGGTACTCACGCACCTGGCGGGCCATGTCCTGTTTGGCTCTCTGCAGGGCCTCCTCCAGGTCCTTGACGCGGGCCTTGGCGTCCTTGACAGCCAGCTCCCCACGCTCCTCAGCCTCAGCGATCTGGGCCTCCAGGTTACCACGCTAGGCAGACAGGGTCAGATATAGTATGTAAAGGGATCTTTTATAACTTAAGTCTGCTACCGTTTGTTTACTTTTTTACCTTTTGTGTGTGTGTGTGTGTGTGTGTGTATGTGTGTGTGTGTGTGTGTGTGTGTGTGTGTGTGTGTGTGTGTGTGTGTGTGTGTGTGTGTGTGTGTGTGTGTATGACTTAAAGGTCTATAGTTAAAAAGAAGTTAAGATCATGCTGCTTAGACTGTGAACATACCTGTGCCTTCACTGACTCAATCTCATTCTGGAGACGGCTAATCATGCGGTTGAGCTCAGCAATCTCACTCTTTGTGTTGCGAAGGTCATCCCCGGCTGAACCTGCAGTAGCCTGAATCTCCTGGAACTAAAGGAAAATAGTGAAAATGGCTGTTATTACACATCCCATTTTTTTTAATAATTCAGGATATGTTTTATTATTTCACATCTGAGGTGTTGATCTCTACCTACCTTCTGATTGTACCAACACTCAGCTTCAGCACGGCTGCGGGCTGCAACGTCTTCATACTGAGCCTTGACATCAGCAACAATGGCGTCCATGTCCAGGTCGCGGATGTTGTCCACTGAAACAATCACTGAAGTGTCCTTGATCTGTCCCTGGAGTTCAGCCAGTTCCTGCAGAAGAGTCATGTCATGTTTAGAAATGAAATTAAAAAGCACTATATCTCTTTTTCCTGTGAAACAAGTGTTTGCCTTAACATAAAAGGGAAGAAAAAGCATTCTTACCGCCGCAAAGACAGCTCTGAGGAAGTTGATTTCATCTTGAAGTGCGTCAACCCTGGCTTCTAGCTCAACCTTAGTCATGTAAGCTGCATCAACATCCTGTCAACAACAGAAAAGGAAAAGTTGGCTGTTAGATTATATTGGAAAAGAAAGAAACAATTTCTTCAGGAGAGTAACAACAATTTTCAGCTCTCACCTTCTTGAGGAGCACAAACTCATTCTCTACAGCAGCACGCTTGTTGATTTCATCTTCATATCTGACAAATAAGTGGAAATAATCAATTGTTGGGACAAATCTGCTACTGAAGGTCATCTGTGCTGGATGTTTACTCACTTTGCCTTAAAGTCCTCCACCAATCCTTGCATGTTCCTCAGCTCTCCCTCCAGCTTGACCTTCTCATTGCCGAGCCCATCAAGCTGTCTGCGGAGGTTGGCGATGTAAGCCTCAAACATGGCATCAATGTTGGAGCGGCCTCCGGTGGTCTGTTCTTGCAGCAGGCTCCACTTGGTTTCAAGCATTTTGTTCTGCTGCTCCAGGAAGCGCACCTGAAAAATGAATAGATATGTGCAGTGTGAGTCCACTGTTACTGAGGGATAGCAGATTGTAGACAGGACTCCCTGGTCTCCGTTCAGTAGAATGCAGGGCAGTAATTTGTCATCCGCAGTCATGTAAGGGGGCCTATTTTCACATCCAACCTTAGGCCTCTTTCCTGTGCAGCCCCCCCTTCATTTTCTTGTCGTATCCATAATCTACTTCCTCTAAAAATTGTATAAAAGCCCCAAAATACAACATAAAGAAATCTGTAACACAGAAGTGCATTGAAAAATGGATTTCTCACATCATTGAACATTTTTTCCTTCTAGCAGAAAGCTCATTTCTAAATTATGAACCCATTTAGTTTAAATGAAGCAGTAATAAGTAAACTTCATGGTGGAGCTTTAAATGATTGACAAGTCAACATGTGACATTGACCAGGATAGACTCCTTTCTACCCTGACATTGAAAGAAGCCCATATTTGTTTGCTAACAAACAAAATGGAAACTGATAAATTACCAAACTCAATGTTCCCAAATGGGCGTGGGGTGTATTTGCTACATTTACTAGATTTTTTGACAGAATAAAGACTGTTTATAATCCATATCTTTGAACAGGAGTGGCGGCAGTGTTTTAGTTGCTCTTGTTTGATCCCATCTGGCCAAACAACTTTTTAAGAAATGTGGTCTTAATTTACTGCCTCTTTTATCCTTAATTCAGCATGCTGACTGCAAGGCAGTATAGTTGTTTGTCATCTTTGTTTTACTTTACTCAGGTGATCTTAAGAGCCGTACCTTTGTGTGACTTTCCCACACAGAGCTGCTGCATGAAAATACCCCTCAGGGCACAGAGTCACAGACACAGCTCAGACTGAAGTCTCCTTGAACAGAGCATTCGATCTCAGTCAGAACCTTTTTTAGAGTAACTGACATGCTGACAAACATGTTTTAAAGGGAGACAGAGAAAAGATATCTGCATCTAACTTCAAAGCCCAAGAGCAGGCGGAGCCAAACTTCTTCTTATGGGGGTGTGACTTTGTCCCTTTACTTTTTTTTTTCTTTTTTTTCTTTTTTTGAGACAAGGTGAGGTTTGCCACACCTTGGCCTTGCCCCTCCCCTCAAACCCCGACATTACCACTCCCTTGCCTCCAAGATGCATACTTCACATAGTGAACTTGTCTGCCACAGCCCTCAGTAATTAACGGTAAGCTATTTATTGATGCATCAGTTGAATGCTGATACTCGAAGGTAAAAGTGACGGTTGATGCTCAAAACATGCTTTGCTTTAAAATAACAAATCATAATTATGATTTTGAATCATCTCACTGCCACAGAACTTCCCTAAATGATTTGAAAAGGCATGCAGATGGCTGTCTGTGGACGAGCGCTGTCTGGGGAATTGCTAACTAAGCACTTTTTTTTTCTCAAAGGGGGTCATTGAGAACCTCCCTTGCATTTTATTATCTTTACAAATTACTCAGTCAAACATGAAAAAGTGCAGATTTGTTTACAAAAATAATCATCCCCCCAGTAAAATGTTCAAATTATGAGTGGAAATTTGAACAAATTGTACAATACAAAAGTTTAGGGGCCTTTCCTGCAGCAACCATAAAACATTGTGAGGTCTTGCTGCCATGGATGTGTGCGATAACCTGATCCCTTCCCCAATGCTGAGCGTCACTGGATCCAACCACTCCAGTGTTTCCTGCCTCTCAGTCTATGCAGAGACAGCTGACAAGGGTTCAGTTATTGACCAGTTTAAGGGGCAGGTCAGGTTTCACTGAAAGTCTTAGAAGTGTTAGCTGATGCAGAGTTTGCTGAAAGAACTTTACAACCCTGCAGTTATTAGGGTCTCACCACATCATAATCACACTAAAATCTGGTGCTTGTCAGCTTTGACTTTAGGAGTTACAGCATTTTTGAGGAGTCTGATCATTTGCTGTGCAATATTAAGTGAATCCAGAGGTCCCCTTAGAAGCATCTTGCAGCAGTTATTCATGCTCCTACAAACCATTTAACTCTAGCTCATCATTACATCCATTAGACATGGATTCCTCATGTTATCTGCTGTTCTGCCTGATGAACACTGGGGTCATCATTCTGGATTTTTCTACATGTAAATAGACTATGACGTATGAGAAATAATTTTAAACCAGTTCATGTCTAGAAAATAAACTTCATGACAGCTGTGCCAACATGTGATGAAAATGAATCTCTTACCTTGTCAATGAAGGAGGCAAAGCGGTTGTTGAGGGTTTTGATCTGCTCTTTCTCCTGGGTTCGGACTGTCTGGATATTTGGGTCGATCTCAAGGTTCAGAGGGGCAAGCAGGCTTTGGTTGACTTGGACATTTGAGATTGTTCCCATGCCGCCCATGCCGCCCATGCCACCCATGCCGGCACCGAAGCCGCCACCAGCACCTCCCATGCCATATCCGCCACCACTCATACTGGTTACAGTGAAACCACCACCACCGTATCCACCACCACCACCACCGTATCCACCACTGCTTACTCTCATGCCACCTGAAGACATTGACATGGCCATGGGCCTGCTACTGCTAACAATGGCAGATCTTGCTGTAAATCGTGCACCGCCACCACTACCACTTCCACCAGCGCCAAAACCGCTGCTAAATGATCCTCCTCCACCACCAAAGCTGGTTCTGGTGCTGCTCGAGGACATTTTCATGCTTTGTCTCATCTTGTCCGATGACAGGTAAAGATTCACAGAGAAAAAAGAAGAGCAGAGAGAGGTTTGGCAAGGTGCACTAAGAGGAGAGTTGAGTCCCTCTAAGTGTCTTCTTTCTCTGGGTGATGGACTTTTATCTGCCTTGTACTCTGTGGGAGGTCCAAGTGAACTCTGCCTTCTCTGTACCTCCTCTACCTGCCTTCTATTACCTGGATCCTGGAAGATGCATTTACAGGCAGTTAGATTGGCAAGGAGCGGATTAGCCTGTTAGACAGGTAACAGTGCCACCCCTGTAAAATGATTTTGGCTTGACACACCCAGTGCTCGCAGAGGAATGGCATCAGAGCCGCAGGTTAGGAGGGGAGGAAAGACATGTTGGCAAAGGAGTTTAAACTTGATTAGCCAGAGGGGTTAGGAGAGGTGTTGGTGGTTAGAGGAGTGTTTGGGTGGGGTGACGAGCTATATACCCACTGATCCATAATGTTTTAGTTTTGCTATTTAAAAGTTAAATGAGATTGGATTTGGTAATGTGTTGTCCAGGTGCTAGTTTGACTGTTTTCATGTTAAAGCATCACATTTGTGACAGTGAAAGTTTTAGAAACAGAGCCAGAGTTAAGGATTCCACACAAGTCTTGGTGTTTTGGTGCATTGCAGTGAAAGAGACAGCATGAAACATGTCAAAACTAAAATAATACAATTTGCATTCATGCAACACACTATTAGACAAGACAAAAATCCAAGTAACAAGGGATTTAAAAGAAAAGGCCTTATTGATGATGCTGCCTGCAAAAATGATAGAAACAGTTTGCATTATAACTTTGCATGAACAAACCACACTACACTAAATTTGGGTAAATAGAAGTAACTGTCCATTAAGAGAATATGTATTTTAACAGACAGTTTTTTTTTTGTTGTTTTTTTTTAATCCTATATCTATGTTAGAGGGATTTATGTTTTTTAATTCTGTCCTTTAACCTTTCTCTGATGCTACATCATCACAATTTGGTCATTTAGTCATGACAAACATAAAGTAAACAAAACTTAAGGACTTTGAGGGGTTATTTGTGTCTTAAGGTCATTAAAATATGACAGAGAGTGTAACCATAACTACAGAGAAGTGGCAGCTGAGGGACATTTGACCTCAAATGTTTAAGACGAGATGAAGTCAGAGTCACTGTGATAGATGGTTTTTAAGTTGTTTTTTGTTATGAGGTAGATAGATAAGGTCCTTATCAGCAATAAGGCTTTTGTGCAGCTTTAGATTTTGTTGCATAATTAAAAGCAAAATGCTGTAGATCTGAGCCATAAGATTAACTTTTCTCACTTTTATCTCATCTTAAATATGTTGCATCCTATTTACTGGCCCAACGCTACTGTAAACTGAGCTTGTAACAGATTGGCTTTCATATACTACTGGAACTTATACTGCAGATTTTACAGCAAATGATAACCCTTAAATAAAACGTTTTAGACAGGGTTGTATGCATTAAAGAGTAGAATTAAGTACACAAGGTAGGTCTCATATGACAAAAGTCACCATATCATAATGCTTCCTTTGAGATAAGCACAAATAAGTTTTCAAGATGAATACACCAATAGTTAGGAGTAAATTACTAAGCTAACACACCTATTTTAAAATATTTCAAGTAGGAATGTGTGGACAGAAAATAACGAGACCCAAAGATAAATAAGTAAGCAACTTTTTTTTAAAGAGATGAGATTAAAATTCCAGTTATTCGTTTAAATCTACCATCCTGTTAAAAATGGGTCCAGGCTTGTAGCGTGTAGCTGCTGAAGGGCACTGTGCATACTATTTGTAGTACTCATACTGCTGTTTGTCTTTTAATCATTTTGTCTGATAACGTTCAGCAATAGCAAAACTCATGCTCACCCATATACATACTTGTGCATATTTTTAAACATATCAACTGCAATAAGGCAATCAAAAAAATTCATAAGCGTCAGATGCAGAAAAGAGAACATCGGGGGTTAAAACTGAGGCAGATTTCTTGCTCTGTCAGAATAGAATTGTTGATGCCTGTTGAAACCCATCAGGTTTAGGTGTTGGCTCCTCAGTCTCTGTTCTGTAGTAGCATCAAAATGAGCTGCAGGGCACAAATGAGTCACACCCTGACATGAAATGCTCGAACTTCATTTTCTCCTTTTAAACAATGTCTCAAGTATGAACTTAGAACGTATGCAGCATTCTGAACATTTATACAACTTTGCATTAATTGAACAGGTTTTGAAGAAACTTTTATAAAAAGATGATTGAATCTACTGTCATTTCCCCCAAATATATACTAAGAACAGCACAGTGGAACATTTAAATCATCTATTTTCACTGCCTGTTTTCATAATCCAGGATATGTAATACATTGTATATGATCTGTTGCAGAGTATTACACCATTTAAAATGCTTTGAATTTTTGATGCCTTTCAAGTAAATAACACAAAACTGCTTTGCAGACAGAAGCATTTGCATCACACTGTGTCTGACACTGGGACTGAGTAAAGGACAGATGGCTGAGCTAGCACCACAAAAATCATGGAGAGTAAAACAATCTGTTTTGAAAGACTGCTTTAAAATTCTTGAAAATTGTGTGTCCACAGCTGTTATTTGATGTATAAATTTCAAATAAATTATTAACTGACATAACCTTTTTTATTAAAATTGCTTTGATAACAGGGGCTTCACCCTCTACCTTTGTGACCTTGTCATAAGAACTATCAGTTCTTCATTACTGAATAGTGTCATTATTTTAATTTGAAAAACAATTTAATGAAATCTAATTTTCAGCTCTCCTCTTCCAAGGCAGTGGCACCCACAAATCAGGTGCAGGATTTTATTTGATCTCACATGATATGACAGGTGACATTTCAGGCTTTCTAGTCAGTGCATGCAGTGGAATGTTCACAAGCTCATTCTCTCTGTGAGAACCAAGCTGCAGATGGGAGTTTACTCCACTGAAACTTGGCAAGACAAACTGTCAAGGAGAGTAAGAATATTAAAGAAGGATGAGGAGATGATCTGATACGTGATCCTTCACTGCCAATTGGGACAGCGTCTGTATTATATAATTCTGATAACTAGAATCCGGGGTTGCCCAAAACAGCAAACTCCAGTGTATACACTATGATAAACTGTCAAGTGACTCTTTCAGCCAAGGCACAAACATTTATTTAGTCTTGCAGTGTGCCACATCATAGATGTCAAACCAATGAGATATACTGAAGAAAAAATGCCATTAAATTTGGTGTGCTCACATGAGCTTTAGTATCATGGTAATGAGCCTCATTCCAGCTTTGATCACATCCAGGCAACAGCATTTCATTCCCACTGAGAAACCTGGTTATTCATATCCTGACAACCATGATAAGTTCTTGACCCCGGTTTCTGATTACTGCATCTTATTTGCACACATATAGGGAGGCTATCATCTTACCTTGATTCTGTGTGCCTCCTTGTGATGGCTCAGCAACAGATGCACAAGTGACTAGCTAACATTATCCATCTGCTGTGGTGCTCAATGGATTGATTTTGTTAAATCTTAAAAGTCGCTGGATCAAAGCTACTTCTTTTCCATCTATATTTCCAGTGAAAGTCAATCTTGTGAATAAACAAACATAAAAACAAGCTACTCAGAAATCAAAAATGGGATAATCAATCCCATGCAAACACGTTCATAAAACATGCTATCACCAGATAGTCTTCAGGGCAGCTTTAAATACTCCACCTGATTTCTGATTGTTGTGCTGCCATTATGATCATAGCCTGTGCAAAAGATTTCCATCATGAGGTACAGCAGAGACAAAAAGTCCCCTTCTGACCATACAGGGATGTACTTTGCTGGGAATGCTAGTGGACTTTGCAGACGTGAGTAAGACTTGTGACCTACTGCAGATGTTATTAGAGGTATTCAGCAGCTATAGCCAGGACCTGGAGAATTCTAGGAAAAGATAAGGCAGGAATGGGAGATGAGCCATTGTAGGACTTAAATTAGTCTGTGTTTATTTTTTGTGGGGCAACCCCTGAAGAGTTGTTTGCTGCAACATGGCATTATTTCTGTTTTGCTATTGTATACCCTGTTGTCAGACTTTCAGTTTCAGTCCTAACTTGCGATCCCCTTCTCTCTCAGTGGGTCAAGACCTAATCCTTCACATCCCTAAATAGGTCTTAATGGTTCTTGGAAATTTAAGTTCTGCATGAGGAGCTGACAAGGACCCTATACCAACCCTTCTAAAATCAGGGGGAAACTTGTGCAGATTATCCTCAAACTGTGTTAATACCTTAGTGCACATGAAGAGTTTACATTTACACTGATGTTATCCTTCTGTGATAGTGTTAGGAATCAATACAAAAGTTTGCACCTTGATTTGCTACATAATGATAACTCTTGTCAAATTGGAGTGCTTATTGATTTTTTTATATGATAACATTGGAGCTTTCTGCCAGTTCTTAAAAACCAAGCTGAACACTTAAAAACTACACCTTCCTAAAGACAGACATGCTCATTGTCCCTCTTTGTAGCTCTTACTGTAACTGTGTTTGGTCTTGACGATTCATTCGTGTTGAGATATGTTTGTTTAAAGATCACTTTGTTTATCTAGATAAGAGCCCTCTGGCAGTGCACTAAAGGTTAAACCACTGAACGCAGCTGCAAAAGAGCACGGCATGTTGTAACACTGCTTACATGTAATTCACTTAAACCTCCACATCAGTGGCAATAACTAATCCTGTAAATATGTCTTTATTTTCTAATCAGGTTTGCTGTCTTTGATTTTGTTTTAGTTAGGCCTGGCTGAGGTCTATTAATTATGTCAATTCTTACAATTTTTAATAAAGGAACAATGCAAACAAACCAACTATGATAGTGTGTCTTTTTTCACCGTGTAGTCCCATCCCGTTCTGAAAAGGTTGACCAATGTATGACTTGTCTGGAAAACTCTGCACCCTGGTTTCACTTTTGCTTTCACAACCTGCAATTTTATTTGCAGGTTGAAACATTTAG